AGGTATTCGAACGAGCTTGAAGGCAGATATACAATGTTCCGCCGCTGAACTGGTATACGGCACGACATTGCGTCTGCCCGGAGAATTCTTCACACCACGGAGCAGACCTAATTTCGGTAAATCAGACTACGTCCATCGACTGTCTGCATTTATGCGAACGCTGTCTCCGGTGTCAACTCGAATACAACATTGACAGGTCGCTCTCCCTCGAGAGTTATCTACCTGTTCACATGTTTTCATACGAGTAGATTCGGTACGCAAACCTCGGCAACAACCTTACGAAGGCTCTTTTCACGTGATCGCTCGTCACGAAAAGACCTTCAAGGTTGATCGACACGGCCGCGTCGAGATCTTCAGCATTGATCGTCTCAAACCAGCACACGTCGATGACAGTGCCCTATCTGACAACCTGAGATTCAATGCTAGACCTAGCAAACCTACTAGCGGGATCCTCAAACCATCTTCAGGTCCCACGCTAGATACACCTGAGACCTCATTCTCACGTCCCGGTCAACAGCACGCGTCATCTGCACCGTCTACGGACGAGACGACAGTCTCACGTGCAGATCGGCAGACCACGCCGCCCTTGACTTCGGATGAGATTGCAGGCTCACGCGACACGAACGAGACTACCGTCTCACGTTCCGGTCGCCGAGTACGGTTGCCCGTACGCTTCCGCGACTAGCCGCACAGTTAACAACCGATACGGTGTGGGATTACTCCTATACTACACGCATGCTACACTTCTCTTTTTTGATTTTCTTTTTGTTTCCTGAGCCCACGCCTTCGACCACCTCCGTTTGGTTCCGTCGACTTCAGTCAACTTTGGCGAAAGCTGGCCTGATCACCCATGCTCTTGTCAACGTACTCAGTCGATATATTGGTTTCGAATGCTTGGCATACGCTTGGTCTCGAACTTGGTCGTTATGGTCGCTTCTGGTTCATCGGCTCAACGTGGTTTCGTCCTACGTCTGCAACGTTTCTGGTCCGGACCCCTACGAACGCAATCTTCAGATTCTGGATACAAACCACTCTAGTTTAGCATGCCAACTCAAGCAATAAATACAGCACATCGCTCCTGGTACCGTTCTCCGAAAACGACCTTCGTTGGCAACTCAACGATTAACGATCGCTTTCCTGTTCGCCAATTCTTCCGTCCTACAATCGCTCGTCAGCCGATTAGTCCCACGATTCAAACCGCTATTTATCGAAAGTGTAAACCCTTTCTAGCGGGGGGCTCCTGTAGTGACTCACATTTATCACGAGAACACGACTGGTTTAATAAAAACAATTATTATTATAACCAACTGTACCAGTGCTTGTTTTAATGTGCTTTTGTTTGACTGTGCTAATGACAGCTATTTTGTGCTTCATTCTTATACTTACACTTTGATTGTAACTTCGTGCGAATTCGGTTACGTTCTGTAACCAAGCTTGTATCCTGGCACGATCTCGGTATCCTTTCGATACCACGAGATCGCCAGCATATATATATCTCGACTTGGTCCATTAATTGTCTTCTGATATTTGGCTTCTCGGGGATTTTATGGGTTTCTTTGGTTACGTTCAACCTACGCCTTCTGATTTATTTGGCACGTGTTTCTTTGTAGTGGTGTTCATAGCTAATCCCAACTTGACGCCACGCTACACTATAATACTATTTAAAGTACAACAGTTATTGACTCAGATAACGTGAGAGAAACTAGAAAATAGGTCATTTGATTTATCTTATTTGCAGTCATGTAATATTCGCTAGTACGACGAAGAATCCTTTACATTGTGATTAGCGTGTGTAGTTTGGCTTTGTTAGATATTCTGGCATTGGATAGGTCAAGTTATACTCACAGTATAACCTTGTTTGAGGACCTAATTATTATTTATTATCATTTTGTTATCTGATCTGTGAACTCCAATACAAATTTCTTTTTGAATGAGATTTTTAATCTTATAGATATCCCTTAGCCCGTGCTTTTGATTATTGTTAGATTCTGACTAAGTGTTTAAATATATTCAGTAAACATGTCTGTTTAAAAACGCGCAGTAATGGCTGCCGTAGAGGTAGGTTTGAAGAAAGATAGAGCCGGTCAGACTGAAGGGTAAAACTGAGGGTCTTGGGGTACCAACACACCTAAATGCTTCTCAACTTAAGATAACTCTAGAGGGCAATTATCTATTATGTGTTCATGGTCTGCCACATGTTTCAGATGGGCTACTTTACACTTGGAAGTGTTGAAACTAAGTTCGTCCTCATCCTCCCAACTTTGAGGTTGAGTCAGTTCCTCCTGAAAAGCCAGATTACTGTATTGGTTACAAACTTGTCTCCAGAGTTTCACATCAGGAGATGTTCGTTAAGGGTCATTTATAAAAATTAAGAAAAGGAGAGGCATCAGTACTGAACCTTGAGGGAATTCACTAAGACAATCTGTAGCCTAGGTGAGATTTACATTAACATCAAATAGACGATTATTTAGATATGAAGTAGGCCAGTCAATTATCGGTAAGTTGATGCCTAACCGTTTAGGCTTATTCATGAGACGAATATGATAAGCCTTATAGAAAAGTGTTTAATAAGTCAGGGTATATGACATCAATCTTCCACTTGTCCCTCTGTCCACTGCGGTCAGCGGGTTTATTATGTGAAAGTGACCCTTTCTGAAACCATTCTGTTGAGATGAAATGAAGCTTACGGATGACAAGTAGTCATATAGACCATCGCATATCAGGGACTCCTTAACTTTTCAGGAATTGATAGAAGGGCTACTCGCCGGTAGCTCAATAGTTTGCTGTTTCGGCCGCCTTTAAAAATTGGTGTAAGTTGAGCTAACTTCCAATTTTCTGGTAATGTTCTTTGGCTTAGAGAGTGTGAAGATATCACAGTTACTGATTTTTCTGGGATCGAGGCCGATTCTCTCAATAGAGCGGGATGATTTTGATACGATGCTTTCTGGATGCTGTAGTTTCTGATATGCCACCTTAGCATTCAGGTTCACTTTTGAAGGTCCTGCTGAGTTGCAGATTAAGATCTCGTCTAAGAATATTGCACGGAATGTTTAAAATGTTCGAAAATACAATTTCGTCAGAAGGTGGGCGGCATCAACGTCACTGTTGGTTGTGTCATGAAGACCGAACAATTGGAAAACTTCACTTTTGGCTTCTCGAAGAGAGGCTACGTGATGAAGTAAGCTTTCAGACTAAAGACAAATTTATCGATTAGCTTTATCTTATGCTGAGACATATCTCTTCATTTTGCCTTTGTGCATTGGTGCATTGCTTATTTGGACTGCCTGTATCTGCTGTCACCACTCGTTTGTATTCCGCCCAGTAGAGCCTTTTGAATCTTAGCGTTTAAAGTGTGGAATTCGTTATAACTGTACATTTTCGGGGATCGTTTGACGGACAGATTGCTTTGTAGCACGTAAGATCATGTGCTGTAGGAAATCCAAGCAAACATTCACGTCAAATTGAGGATGGATTTCTCAGTTCACCTGCTGTAGGTTGTCCTGTAAAGCTGACTCGTGAAACTGTCTGAAATTCCAACGCCCGTTGTTAGTAGGATGTTTTAGCTTAGTTTCTCTGGTAAGATTTAGAGCTATAATGGCATTATCACTTTTTCCCAGAGGTCGAAGATTAAGAGGTTGTCAATTAAGAATTCCTAATTTGTAAATATGCAGCCTAAGTATGATGGCGTCCGCCTGTTTCCCGAACGAGTTGCTAAATTCGTACTTTTGAATGATCCCAAATCTTTAGTGATGCTAAAGAGTCGAGCTTCAGTAGACCTGTCAACTCCAATGTACGTGTGTTCAGAGGAGTTGACTATAGGAAGATTGAAGTCTCCTAGAATGAGGAAATGTGTGTGTCGGAGTGGGATAGGGCTGGATAATCCCCAGGAATACGATAGCTGTATTCGGTGTCTGCATTGGTCCTCTCAAGAATGACTTTAACTACACATCTCGAGGTTTTAGAGAATTTCAATGAGCACCATATAAGATTCATCAAGATAGATGCACTCCTAGGTGTACATTTGATGTGCTACCAGGCAAGAAAATAAGTATAGGGCTGCTCAGTCAACCATCCAACTTCATCTGTTGTTGCGTAACAAAGACATGTCGGGTATTACCAGCTCCTGGTCTGTAGTTTGATACTCTCACGTTTCCAACATCCCTACCAGTGTTACTTAGTTCATAAAACTCATCTTTTCTGTTTGAAAAAACTCGGAGCTTTCGTACACAGGCCGTTGTTGCTATTGATTTGAAACGCATGCGTTTCCTAGTCCTGTTTATCTGAGTGAGCCTTATGTGATTGGACAGACATCCTAGTTACCCATGGTTTCACGCGTTGATCGGTAATGACTCATCGACGTTTATTCCTTGTTTTCGAAAGTCCAATCTATGCATGCTTTGTGAAACCAATCTTTGTATTTTTGACATTCACAGGTCGCTTGTATGTGTTAAACATCAACATGGTGAACTATAGGTTGCTAGTTAAATCCTTGTAAAAGTTGATGACCGTTATAAGAACCAATGCACTCAAAACGTATAAAAACGGATATTGAAAGAAATTTAAGATATAATAAACCTAGCGTCGACGTGAAAATTCCAAAAACGAAAACGGAATGTTAAGCCGAGGCAAAACCACAATTGAAATCAAGTCGGATAAAAATCAAAAACAAAAGTAACTGGCTGGACTTTGAGGTCAGGAAGGATCATTGGATAAGGTCTCAGGAAACAAAGTGAGAAATTCAGAACACATTAAGAATAAAATATTTGTTCGTAAAACGCTCATTCTGTTTTTTGTAATACGTCATATTGGTTAACCATAAATTTATTTTAAAATGCACATCAGTGTCTGTTAGATGAATCAGAACTTTTGTGTTTCTTTCTTTCGAAAAATGATTGTTCAGACTGTTTTGTTTAAAATCACCATATACAGTTATAGTATTATTGTTATTGGCTACGCTATTTCACTATTTTGAATTCTGCACATGTTTGTTAAAGGAAACGATGGAAATTGTTGAAGTTCTCAATAAAATGAACAAAGACTACCTTAGATCAGATTTCGACAAAAAGTTTATGCTAAGGTCACTATTTGTGCAAGTTTTGGCAGGAGATAGGTAATATTTTCAAATTTTCATAATCATTGTAATTTTATAAATTAACGAATAAAGTATTAATTTGTGGGAAGATTTATACTCTTTTGTGACTACAAACTTGGATTTTGTACGATCAGTAAAAGATGAGGCTGAGGTAAACTGTGGATTCCACCCCATCAACTTATAGTTTTTTATAGTTCAGGTATTTTGCCAATCGATCTATGAAGGATCTTCAAATTTCACTTGATAACCAATCAGGAGATAGATCGTCAAGCTCAACATTACGTTTAAGAACTATTTTTGCTGAACTTTCTGAAATGTTTTCGTACGTGTTAACTACATGCTCCACAGGATCAAACATGGTGCACGATAGTGAATCTGTCACTATTCCACTTTTACCTTCATGTTACTGCGGTGTCAGTAATTTTCAAGACGGGAAATCAGTAATTATGCACTTCTTTTGATCCACATAATAGATTTCTGTCGATAGTAGTAAAACAAAGAGTAATCAAAGTTCATTATTTTGTTTGTTGGGACAGGAAGATCATTCATTGGTAAATTTCTGAAATAAACTGTATATTATCTTCTGACAGGAAAATCTTTTACAAAAAATTCCATTCGGTAACTCGAAATACAGAGCATTTAATGAATACATAAAGAATTTATCAAGTAATAAATCCGAAACACCTTCAAAAGAAATTGAGAATATGCGCCCAAATAATGGTTTTGATGCAATCGTCTACTTTTCAGTCTGCAGAAAAATAGGAGTTTATGAGTTTATGTACTTCACTAGAAAAAAACTCGAGAGCAGAAATATATCACCATATGATCTAGAACCTATTTTAAGACCAAGGGTAAATGGACAAATTTTTTTCTTAGAATATTTTAGGGCAGTTATAACATGAAGTCTAGATGCAAGTTAATTTTGCGTACAGAAGTCCGTCACAGTTTACGGACTTAAGCCAATCACTTGGATCATACTAACTGGTTTTAGTACAACAAGTTACTTAAAAGACCTCCTCATCATGCACATTTCAGAAGGTTCTCCAATCATAAAGATTTATTGGAGTACATGTGGGAAAGGTTTCAACCGCCACGATAATCACGGAGACAGTATTGGTTTTCTGTTCTTCCTATCAGCATTATGAATAACAAAGACTACACCTATGCCACCAGCTGGTCTTTTCAGTGATTATCTGAGTGCTGGAATTTAGTAAATATCACTAAGGAGTAATAATGTATCATTTTAGTTAGTAGAATATCTATAAATGTAGTCGAGATAATTTTAATAGATCGTGAAGTTTATACCCTTTGAGTTATCATTTCAGACAAGCGGATTCTAGTTTTTCCGAGATACCTATTATTTACCTACTATTATAAATAAATACTTAAACTGCAATCCAAAACTGATTTCTTAGAATTTATGGGATTATAATTCATACCAGTTGTACCTCTGTTTACGCCTTTGCATTGTCCAGCTTACAACCGCAAAATATCTAAGATAAAAGATGAGGCATATTCTTAGATCCATTTACTTTATTAATTGCCAATTTTTTGAATCTGGTATGTGGAATTGGTAAGTATAATGATATGAAAGATGCTTTCATTTGTGTCTTATAGATACCCAACAAATCATCTCAGGTAAAGCTTTGTTTGGATTCTCAAGCCTTTCAACTGAGATATTGGGATGTTATATGATCTGTTTACTGATTATTGTAATAACTAAATACTTCATGACCAGTTTCTGGGTTGAAGTGCATGATTGTAATGTGCATCATAAGTCAGTGTCAAGTCTGTTGCTATTACTAATCATAAAGTATGATAGGAATTTCATTCATAGTTTTACTCAAATCTAAAACGCTAGGAATATTTATGGGTATGTATCATTTTGTTCTCATATTAATGTCGAATACGCAAATAAAGAATTAAGAATTGGGAGCATCCAGGAAGACGATGATAAGACAAACAAAGGCTTGAAAACCCTTCTATGAGCTAATTTAAGCGATAGTTTTATATTCAAATAATCTATTTAACTTTCTCACGTCTTTATTTTTTTAAGGAAACAATTTGTTGCTAAAAGGTAGTATTCCTCTGGATTATTGTAATTCCTTCATTTCTTAATGATCTACAACTTGGCCTCGAATCCAATCAATTCTACAAAATGCTAAATGGTTCTTTTTCTAGTCACTTTTATGCAACAGTCACTAAAAAAACTTCATAAAACTTTTGAGACGAGCCAAATAATACCTTTAGTGGATAAATCGATCGAATATAGAGAATAAATGCAGGTTCTTTACAACAACAATTATCGTGTACTAACATGATGTTAAGTTCAAATAAAACAGGGATGACGAAATTTGCAAGTGTTATCACTGAGATGTTTCCTAAATTTGTGAAACAAAACAACAGAAAGTAATCTTATGGTTGGAAGATACGATAGTTCAGCACTAGAATCACTAAGCAATCGGATTTTAAAAGCTTTATTCAGCATAATGAGCAGTTTACAATAATATTGAGGAAAGAGTCTCGACGAAGAAACGTAGAGATCTCAAGCATGAAAAGGCATATAATTTTTATTTCAGATAACATTAACATGTCCAAGTTTATATACACTTTTATTCGGGCTAATGGAAATAATTAGAGTCACGGTTTCCACCTCTATTTTCTGTAAACGATCTGATAAAAGTAACCTTTAACTCTCAAGAGATTATCCTGCTATCTAAAGATTTTCCAGGTGAATGTCAGAGTATTGCATGGAGTTAAAAAGCCAAAAATATAAAGATTAATAATTTAAGGCTGAATGCAAAGGTTTAACTTTAAGTCGTCTGGAAAAATTATGTTCATGAACTATGTATTGCAAGAGAAATTTATTGTTAACGTAGATAAAATCTACTCTTACAATCTATACTGTTCTCTGCAGAATGATGAACCACATTATATATTCAGTACATTCGGTATACTGGTCGCGACTGGAACTGAACAGGAGCATTTAAGTCTCACAGAATGGTTTTCAGAAGCAGTTTTATGCGAAGCTTTAAAGAAAAATCCCACATTTTGCTACCTTTCAGCTTGGAAACCCTTTTTCACGTAAGTTAAATGAACACTGAAGTCTGCAGATGATAAGAAGTGTCATATTTTAGTCCACTTAACTCACTAAAATTGGTAAAAAGTCTCATGCTTTAAATTTTACGTAGCATAAATTATGACTGATTAGGTTAACTAGGAAAACATACATTAAGTACCGGGATCCACTTTATTTGTTTACAAACAACACTTGAAAATATAAGTCTACCACGGGTTTAATGTTCCTTATTTAAGTCGAGCGTCGTGACTACAGTATTTTAGGAAGACATTGAATTACAAGGGTATCTTGATTCTTCATTTATGGGCTGGAATTGTGGAAAATATGGGTTTCATTGGCAAACTAGATAAAATTATAAGTGTATGCTTGACGTTGTACCGGATTTTTCGTTAGATGAATTTGTCAAACTGTATTCAACTAATTATTGGCCCAAAATATCGAGCGATCTGAGACCTGAACTATGTACATTCTTTCCTTACACAACCACCCTTCTATGGCTCATTTTTGATGCTTATTCCTAACATAAATAGGGATCTATTTATATTCTTTTTTTCATGTCGAATCTCGCTCTCATGAATCGGGTCGTCATATCCCATCATTTAAAGATCTTCAACTTTGCAGAGTCTCAAGCATAAGATAAGATCATATAATATACTTAATATCCCAGTATCCTAATGTCCACTCTCAGACTGATCAGAATAGTCCAGTAATGATATTCATTTATTATGTGATGATTTTATCTGGTGCTAACACGAAGTTAATAATATCTCATATACATTTCGAATTTCAGCTGGCGTCAAATTACGAGAAGAAGAAAATTTAAACGAACACGTAATATTTTATTAAATAGCTGTCTGCTTGCAAATCCTTTATATGTTCGATTATTCCAGGTAGTTCAAAAGTAAGTGTATAGATGAAAAATATTTCTATTGGATGTTTAAAGATTTTATAAAACATTATTAAACATTGGTTAAAAATAAAGTGTAGTAGCTTTTCATTCTACACCGCACAAACAGTACCACATACCTTTTAAATAAGTGAAACCCGACATTTTTATAATTTTGCCTGAATTATGTGTTCGAATATATCTTAATTCCTGTTTTATTGATAGTCTTTTTTATGGGACATGTATTTGTGCTAAGTTACGCAGAGGGATTTTTACACCATAAGTGGTTTTCAGATTTTACATAAAATTTAAGAATGAACGAATTTGATCTCATATCATGTTAAGAGAGCGACAGGGATGTTTAAGTATGTTTCTTAGAACGTTTAAAACCGTTGAAAGGATTTTTTGTCATCATTCGGTAAAAATAAGTTTTAAAAATTTGGTTCTTCCTTTATAGATTGTATATAAAACTTGAAAGGACTCATTACCCTAGTCCCAAATCCCTAATTCTGGCACTAAATTCTAACTAGGAGCAATCTGATGACCTCTAAACTATTATTTTCAACCTTTTTAGCGTTCGAGAAGCCGTAGATTTTAAAGACATATAGAGGAACTTCATATATCATTTTTCTGCTTTACATACAGGAAAATGTGTATATGATTGGATGCCGGCTCAATGGTCTAGTTGGTTAAGCTCTTGGCGCGAGAATGATAGGTCCTGGGTTCGAATCTCGTGGAGTGTGGGATCGTGGATGCGCACCGCTGAGGAGTCCCATACTAGGACGAAACGGCCGTCTAGTACTTCCATGTTTTCCATGGTGGTCTAGCTTCAATTGACTCATGATTTCAATCTGTGAATTTTCTAAAATCTCCACAAACCCCTTCTGATAAACATCTAAAAAATCTTAATAACTATCGGTGGATATTTGGAGAATAACTTCATATAACCCAATTAGTAAATATCAATAATTAAAATAGCAAGGCAGATGTATGCAAGAAAACTGTGGTTTTGTGGTAATAATCACTTGATAAAAAAGGGAAATTAGGAATAATTTCTGCTGATAGCGACTACGACATTAAAGACCAATTCTACGAGCGGCTGCAATCATTCATAGAGAAGTTTCCAAAAAGGATCTCACCATTCTGATGAGAGATCTAAACGCCAAAGTCGGAAGAGACAGCACCGGAAATGAAGATATCGTGGGACGACATGGACTGTCTGGGAGAGAGAAACGAAGACTGGGAAAGATTTGCAAATTTGTGTGCATTCTACAAATACGTCATCTGCTGACTCCCTCTATTGACCAATAAATAAATCTCGGACATTCGCAACTTGTGTGAGGTCATTGTTATATAGAATATAGCATTAGATAGTGTGTATAGTTTCTGACTTGGTTATTTGTGCTGTACAAACTTCATACTCACGGATAGTTCTCAGTGTCAATACAACAAACACAACGCATTATACGACTAAGAAGGACAGGAACATGAAATACGGAGAAGTTTGTTGCAGCAGCAGCCAATCAACAAACCGAATTCGAAGATAGTTAACAACCGAATGACTACAGAATATCCTCAAACAATCCCGTTTGATACAAACAAGCTGAAAATGTACAATCATTCGAACTTTTAAGATAAATCTAGTAGTATGCAACTGGTCGATTACAAATTGACAATTCAAGAGCTTTGATCTAAAGGATTACTTTAGTAGTTACACACAATGTCTAAATGGAGCCTCACTCAACACTACTAATGTCAATTACCATGGGCCGTTCGAAGTATGATCGATTCCAAACTGAATGTTGAATGAAGTGGTCTGAAATTTGCTTGTCAAATGAATCTATGACCGTGGATAAAATTAGAGAAGCATCACTCGGAGAATGTCATGAAATTCACTTACAGTAGATGGTAATTAGAAATTCAAACCCATGAATGACGAAAAACAAAGTTGGTTGAAATAGAAATTAGTGGATATTACAAATCAGTACGTTACGAAACCAGTCCCACAATTTAAGGTGTTGACTAAATATCACCAGCAAGCATTGCTACTTCGTCCAGATAAGGGTTTAGGTGTAATCACTGTAAACAGAGGTGAATACATTGGGAAAGTAACGTTCATTTTAAATGATTCCACTATATTTATCGTCGATAATACCCAGAAAGACCTAACAGATGCGACTGAGAAGCGTCTTTTAAAAAATTTGAGAGAACTCTTGAAGAAAAATCTAATAGATAATCATACATACAACGGACTCAAACCAAACGGATCACAATTACCATACTTATACGGCCTACCTAAAACACACAAACTCGACATCCCGATAAGAACAATATTATCTATAACCAGATCATCCTTCCATAAACTCGCCCGCTGGCTGACAAGGTGCTTAGAACCAATCCTTAAGAAACTAGCACCCCACAGTCTGAAGGATAGTTTTGAATTTGTACAAAAGCTTGATAGTCTAATTGCTTCTGATAAATTCATGGTCTCGTTTGATGTCTCATCATTCTTCACAAAGATCCCCTTGGGAGAAACGGCAGATATCATATGTGAGTATCCTGAACTTCTGCCTTTACCAATCCATGAATTTAAACAGCTCCTGTTTCTGCGTACCAAAAACATACAATTTCGCTTCAACAATGTGTTGTACAGCCAAATTGATGGAGTAACCATGGGTAGCTCTTTGGGTCCAATTCCGGGAAACCTTGAACAGAAGAAGCTCAAGCACATAATCTATGGAACTACACTCTATTGTAGATATATTGACGACACATTTCTCGTCTGAAACAATCATAAGCATTCCATGAACCTACTTAATCTGTTTAATAAAGCACACAAGGATATAGATTTTACTATGGAACATGAAGTAGAAGGTAAATTCAATTCCCTTGATATTGGAGTCAGACGAACATCAGATGGCACATTACCACAAAAATACATGGAGTGGAGTTTATCTCAATCACTACAGTTTCTGTTCAATGAGTTACAAAAAGGGTATTGTCCGAACCCTTTTCGACTGCGCACGCAAAATTTGCTCAAAGGAATGCCTGGAAGATGAAATTGCTCTCATCGCAAATTGTCTACGTGAAAGTGCATATTCGTCGAACTTCATCCAGAAATATGCAAAAACCAACCCTCGGGTAAAGTATGATAGAGTGGAAAAGAAAATCTGCTTCTTATACTTACGCTTTAAACGGGACGAAATCACAGAAATAATTAATTGCAGAATAAATTCCGCGTTGAAACTGACCTGCACAGCAGTAAGACTGACGACGCTATGGGAAAAGAAATCCTCGCTCAAACATAATAAAATCGACAGGTTCTCTTTTCTCAGTAGCTCCGACTGCATTTACCAATTTACATGCACGTACCAAAGCACATACATTGGAAAAACCGAGAGAAGAGTACATGTTCTCATTTCTGAGCATGTCCTAAATAAATTGAGATTGTGAGGAACAAGGGCTCTCAACAATGCAATAGCTCAGCATTTACTTGACACCAGGCATATCATTGACATCGTTTATGCTTTTGAAGTTATTAGCAGACAAAGAAGTTCGGCCTCTCCGTTTTGCGGAAGCGATTGCGATAAAAAACTTAAGCCTGACCTATATATTCAAAAAGAGACAGTAATAAACCCATTACTACCCCAGTAATTCAATTTTTTGGTCATTAGTTTTATTTTGTTAATGTTTAGTTTGTTATATTTCTCTTCCATTACCGAATTTCCCTTCACTCATACATTTCCACTCACTTGATTCCCATAAATTATGTAAACACTTCAAATTCTATTCAATTATTACGTAACCCATCTTATCACTTTTTTTAATTCCATGCATCCTTCATTACTTCTAAAATTATCACATAATTTATCTTGTCTCTGAACTTCACTCAACGATTACATTACCCATCCTTAATGTTTCCTTGATTTGAACACATAATAACTTCTGACCTGTTCTTGCATATATATATTTATGTCAATTGCTCCACACTATATCTTACCTCAATGTAAAATTCTACTACATATTTGGTTGTAAGCAGCTGATGAGAAACCACGAAATATAATGAATTCATATTCTTCTGCATCCATGTTCATTCTGGCCTTATTTACATTCATAAAGGGAACTCGTTGCATGAAATTTCAGTGTGTTATTAGTAAATGAAGCTAATAAAGTAGGTCTTTGAGTTATAAATTTATTGATTAGTAACACATTTCAAGTTCTGAGTTCGATTCATCAAAAACATTGAAATAGAGCACTGAAAACTATTAATAAACTAAGATTAGATAATTATTTGGTGTTTCATGTACTCAATGTTACTTTTAGACGAATGTTAATTTATGATGAGTATAATTTACATATTAAGAAATTTCTAACAAATTTCAGATATCAGTATAGAGTTGTGGAGATTATTAAGCTTTTGATTGGGATCATGAAACGAATGATGTTAGACCACCACTGAAAACCTGGAAGCACTGGACGGCCGTTTCGTCCTATAGTGAGACTCCTCAGCAGTGTGCATCCACGATCCTGACCCTCGCGAGATTCGAATCCGGGGTCTTCAATCTTGCACGTGAACTCTTAACCTCCGGACTACTGAGTCGGCATCCAACGGTGTTAATGTCTAGCCTCAACCAATCCACGCGATTGCGCTACCATCTTCCATTGTTCTGATGTAGATACCTGTCTCTACCCGACACGGATTAGCTCCACTACTGAGGAGTCCCAAAATAGGACGGAACAGCTGTCCAATGCTCTCAGGTTTTCAGTGGTGGTCTAACATCAATCGGATCGTAATCTCAATAAAAAAATTTCATATATTTATTATCATAATCTTTTTAATAATGGAAAGTTTCCACTTAATCAATGTGTTAAGTATTATTTTTTGCAACTATACTACATTTTCATTTCCTGATTTGTTTTAATCCTATATAGATATGAATAACTGAATTCTGTTTGGTAAAATAGTTCGGTGTTCAATAGATTAACTCATACATTTTCTGTTCATGATTTTTTTTGTGTGTGTCTAGCATTAAAGAGTTATATACTCTTTTGATTTTCATTTTTTAAAATCCGTATATGTTACTAGTTCTTCTTCTGCTTATTCATTGTTTGTAGACTCTTTGATTCCTTGGATACTTTGAAATTCTTTCCGAATAGCACGTGGTAAGTTATGTGAATGATTATTTTATCTTAATAATAAGATAAACTTTTATTCTGAATATGATAGATCGTAGTCTTTAGTGATTATCATTTGTTACGTGAGGGGTGCATTACTGCTCTATGTTACCTAGCCGAAGGAGATGGGTTTCCTACGGGATCTATGAATGTTTGACTCAACCAAAGTGGACTCATAAGTCATTCGTTTATTTAAAAACCTGTGTCTAATGTGGATCACTGGTCTGTAGTCATAGTTTTTTAACCCCTGTAGGTTGATCTTCAGTATCCACCTACCAAAATTTAGCCCAAATAGTCCAACTCCCTCCTCTCATTTTTGTGTAGGCACTAATGTAAAATGAAATCATGGAGTAAGATTTGTTGATGAGACAATAATTGATGGACGACCTTTTAAGCGATGCTATAATGATCATGAGAATATTCAATTACTTGTTTGGGTTCAAAGACGGTTAGGTTTTAGAATTAGAAGTTAGGATTAGGAAATAGGTGTTATCCTTAATTTCATCGGTTTATCCATAAATTGTAGTTTCCTCGACTTGTTACACATAATAAATGAATGGTATCTATTTATTTATCTGCGTATATAATTCTAAAACCTCCTCTCTACAGGTCAAAAAGTATTTTCATCGTAGCTACATAATAATTAGGATTTCTCGTTTATGTCTTAGTATTTATGTTCTTCTTATTAAGACTTTTTATTTTGTACAGTCCATTGAATATGGTACAATTTTGTGCTCACATTAACCGAAATATACGTTACAATACTATTTTAATATCACATGTAACAAACTGTATATGTATTGCGTTAAAATTTGCAAGATATGCTCTTGCTAAACTAATACGTTATAAAGAAGATGAATTAAATTGGAACTCTAAGTAAGTTGATCATTACATACTATTAATTTCATTACTTTGTCCACTTGAATTAAATAAGACTCACTAATGTTGTTATGATGAAAGAATTATTATTATTATTATCGACTGCTTGTTATAAATAGTGTTACGAAGTGATTATTGTTTATCAAAAGCCAAACTATCCATTGTCTTCTCAAGATAACTGATTCCAATTTGATATGATTGAGCTCCACTGGTCATGACTTCTGACTCAAACTCGAGTGTGAGACAAATATCTACCAGTGACAATGAAAGATAGTCGGAAAATATTGTGGATTGATTGAATTTGGAGTTATACATAAATGTGTTGTTAATTAGTGGTCTAGAGGTTACGAGTTTACGCACAAGACTGAAAGGTCTAAGTTTGATCCCCTGTGAGTTCATCAAGAATGAACATTACTTAGGAGTTTCATGCTAATATTAAATAACTATCCACTACTTCAAGGTCTTCAATGGTTGTCCAATTTAGATTTGTTTGTGATCTCAACTTTCAATGTACAAAAACTCATTAAATACTTATGTTCTATAAAATTCCTAGATTTGCAGTAGTATTGTAGTGAACAGAACATGGGTGGAGAAAATCGAATTATTACTTAGCACAAAATTACAGAGTTACTTGGTAAAATAGAAAAAAAACCATACTATAATACTTAATTTGCAAAATGTTCAATAATTGTCTCGAACTTCATTGTTCTTGCATCTTCATACTAATTGTTTTCTATTCCCGTTCTTCCTTTCTTGATCTTCCCAATCTTCTGCTGCCAGACATTACATTCCTGACTCGCGCCATATACTACTTATATCAATATAAGTAGCACGCACCACAGTATATAATTGAATTCTCCGTTATAAAACACCTTTTAAATTATTCTTTATTGACATATAAATAACTTCTTTCTGTTGTATTCTTCATTTTAAACAAAGAGAAATCAATCAAACTATACCAATGACTGAAACATGGAAAAAAAGTTTAGTAATAAAGAATGATTTAGAACAATTACGTAACCAATTGGATAATTTTCCAAATGTATTACATTGTATCCGTTATCGACTGGCAAGTTCTCTTTTATATAAATTTCAATCAAGTATACAAAACTATATTTATAATGAATTAAATTTGAACTGTATAGAACAGAAAGATAAACAAAGAGAGAATATTAAAGAAGATATAATTGTGAAAAATTTTCGTTTAGTTATTTATCCTGTTTTATTAAAACAATCTGAGGGTAAGTTAAAAGTATCCAATATATGAACCTTAACTATTGACTTATGATTTCAACTATTGAAATTATTGTAATCTCCAAAAAACCCCTTCTGATAATAATCATCTACTCACTAGTGACTGACTTCAAGAGACATTTCCTGGAGTTCTAGTGAGAAGCTATTACCATTGGAGTTCAACCAGGTCTGTTGTGAGATATCAACTCACTGAAGACAATGGTGTACGGTGACGCAGCTTCGTGGATTGGTTGAAGTTAGACAATAACACCGTTGGGTGCCGTCTCAGTGGTCTAATGGTTAAGCGCTCGCGCGCGAGACTGATAGGTCCTGAATTCGAATCTGGCGGTGGGCGGCATCTTGGATGCGCACTGCTGAGGAGTCCCGAGATAGGACGAAACGGCTGTCTAATGCTTCCATGTTTTCCATGATGATCTAGCTTCAATCGACTCATGATTTCAACTATTGAAATTACTAAAATCTTCACAAAATCCCTTCTGACATTAACTATCCATTAATAGGGAATGAATTTTACTTTAATTCAAATTGTCTAGGTTTGTTTTATTTCTAAAGATAGATTTTTGTTGTCATCAATCGGTATGTTTTAAGTGAAAGGCCACTAGAAAACTGGTAGAATATGTAAAAGTTTGAAGGTTCTTAGAAATGAGAACAGATATACAACCGTACTCGGGATAAAACTCAATACCACTAGGTTTAACAAGGTACATTATACTTTTAAATATACCGTTAGGTTAGAATACAATGGTCTATATTTTCGCTTTTAGTTAATTCTTGATACGGATAGATAATCAGTTTATTGTAATCGGATAGTAACTATATCAACCTCAACATTTACATTAGCGAATTATTGTGTAGTAATCAATGTCACATTTATCAAGTTACTTAGTGCTGATTGATCAAGTTATGGTGTAACAATTAGTCTAAGTTACTTGACATTGTGTACACTATGTTTTGATATTATGTGGTTGGGATCAACCAGCAGATCAGTAAAGGCCCGAATAAGACAATGGTAACTAACGTCTTAGCATGGTAAGCTTAATAGAGCAGTTTTAAATCCCATCTGGTAGCACTAATCGTATCAAGATTGCGGGGACAGCCTGCTGAAAACTGCAAACAAATATGTCACGCATGTCGAAGGTTTTCTATCCGCTGTCTCTCATCGCCTACGCAATTTTAACATGATTTAACTTCACCGGTCATAAGTTTGTTAGATTTTTAACTTGAAACAAACCATATTATACAAATAACTTAATTTATGCTGTCAAGAACTGAACTAGAGTACTACTCTCAGACGTCCCAAACACTGTTTTCTTAGTTACAGAATATAGGTTTGAAAGTGGTCAATCTATGATGTAATTAAAAGTACACAACATAACCGTGTGAAGAACCTTTAAGTATCGTAACGAGTACAGGATTATTCATTCAAGATATCTAATACAAAATGTTTACAAATTAACTAGTAACGGTTTGCAAATTTTTGTTTTCAAAACTAAGGACCCAATTTGGATTAATCTATGTTAACATACATGCATCCCCTGAGGACCATCTTTAGTTACAAGTTTTGGTAGATTCGTATTATCTGCCTTGTCAATTAACGTGTTGATATTTAAAGCACTAATTATTGGGTTTGAGTTACAAAATGAACATTAACACTAATGAGACATGATGATGAGTTCCAAATAAGACGAAACGCATCCCACCTATTGATTTCCATATTGAAACTCAATAGCTGTCATTTCAAGCATCAACACATTATTTGTAGAGGTAGCCTTAATATAAATATATAGCTAAAGAGGTTAATATAGAGTTAATCCTTTCAGGATGCATGTTTACTGACAAAAAACTAAATAAACTTCATACCTCAATATCAGTAATAAGATAACACAAACTCTTATTATTATGTTAAACCATGTTAATTAATCTTATTTTGTCTATTTACTTTTGAAAAAACAACAACCCAACTTTATATTCATACTCAAATCATCATGTTATTGAAGAACCAAGTCAATTACTTCTTTGGCCACCATCTGTCACTATGGTAACTATTTTCAATTTGACATTTGAACAATTCAAAGAATCATTACATTTAAACAAAATAATATTAGAAAATCAACTTAATCAAATCTATTTCAATGAAGAGAAAGAAATTGATAATATTTGTGAAATCATTGATAATCAAGTTGATATTCATTCTATTATTCAAATGTTTTATAAAAATTCTAATTTAATGAACATAAATTATTTAAAACATACAACTATGATTCCATGGAATAGAATGAATCCAAATGGTTTAGAAGTAACCAATGTGTCTATTCGTGGTATGATTAATTGTTATCTACCAAGTTATACAGAATTTGTGAAAGGTTAATGAATGAAGTGTTTATTTCTATTTGTGTCTTTCTACTTTCTATTTGGTATATATATATATATATATATATATATATATATATATATATATATATATATATATGACCCAGTTTCTGTTCAGTTATTCGTCCAAATTTTGACGAATACTCAGATAAATGATGGAGCATGTTTATCTTTCATATGCTCTAATTAGACCATTGAAATACATTTACTTTGTTCACTCACCCCTAGATATAGATCACGACATTATAAAAGTGAAACACGGTCGGTAAGAGTAGAAAATATTCGTAGGTTACTAGTATTTGATCACATGTGTCTTCGAAACATTGCTCGTATATTCTGGGACCACCGAGTTAGTAATGCAGTTGTTAGGAAACGGGTACTGGGTAAGGATGGCAAATCAATTGATGAAGTAGTGAAACTCCATCAGTTGAGATGGCTGAGACACCTGTTACGTAGGTCCAACCACCTACTGCTCCGACGTGAGATGTTTTATGTTGTAGGAGTAGGTTGGAAGAAAGCTAATGGCGACCAGACCAAAACATGTCACGAATTCATGAAGTCACTGACAAGTGGACTGAGTCATGTTGGTAGGTGTGGACTACCTGGTTGGGGACCGCGAGACGATATCAACCTATGGTTAGAGACCCTGAACGACATGGCTGTAAATCGTTTGCAGTGGAGCACGTGCATCCACTCTTTGTGTTCTCCCAAATACCGATCTTCTGAATTCTTCATGTTCCTTTCTTTTTTTCCTTCCAAATTTATTTCACTGGATTATACTCGTTGAATAACATTTGCAAACCCTAATCTTTCCGTTTACTGCTTATACTTTTACTACCTTTACCAGTATGGGATTTGAATGGACAATTGTATCTGTGTGCTAATTCGGTATGGCAACTTGAACTGATGAACGTATGTACGAATTTCTACGTTGTTACTGACTGACTGAGACCACGACTGCCCCTCCTAAGGTATATATACCCAATCATACATAAAAACTCTTCAACAAAATGGAATGTGTTACACTTGTTTACTTGGTATTCGGGTTTTAGGTGAAGCATAGATCTTGGCTTTTGGTCAACGATGAGTTAGGCTTTGCTCATTTCGTCTTCATACAAGACTATATGAGCCACTTCTGGATGGTGGTTTTTTTAATGTTATAAGCATATTAGACTAAAAAAATATTATGGATTTAATGTTGCTTTATAAATTTTAATGAATATCCATTTTACATGAATGTTTTGGTTAAAAGTTTTGCTTTATTTTTCTTTCCTTCAATAGTATCATTTGTACGAAAACTGATTTGTCCGCAGTTTTAATACTATCTAATGTAATGAAATTATCAGTTTACTGTGCCTTTCTAAGGTGGACTACATAAATAAATTCATTGTAACGATATATTTAATTAGTTTTGTATGGAGTGTTTGTGAGCAAGGTAATTCGTACAACTCACTTTTGTTCACTGATTGAGGACAGTCAAAAGAAAGCTTCTAAACTTACGCTTCATTTCAGTCGAACGAAATTGTTACCCTTTCCGCTAATAGAAATCACATCTTAATATGTCATAGTCAGATTACTAGCATGTCGTGCTGAAAATTGACTACTAGTAAAAAATGTAGATCCACAGCCACTTTCTATTTGTCTCCAATGTAGTAACACAAAAATAAAATGGATCTCTAAGTAGAGTCACTTAGTTTAGGTGGCCGCGCTGAAAATCTGATCAATATAGTTTGATCAACACCAAAGATTAGACAAGATAACAATAGTTGAAAAACCTAAAAATTAATGCATTGTTTCAAGTTGATACTAACAAATATGTCAAAAAATATATGAGGCAACTTAAAAGGATGTTAAAATGGAACAGAAAAATAAGATGTAAGTAGCAAAGAATTAAATGGAAATATAGTTGTAGATTTTCCAGGACTTATAATGAGTCTGTGAATCTTCATCAAAAAATGTTTTTGGCATGTATCATGGATACCCAAACACTATCGTAAGTTGGTATGTTATCAAGGAGAGAAGTTGGAAAGAGAATAACACCTGTCAAACAACAATAAAATTTGGATCCATGAATTTATTAAATATTGTACTGAGTTCAGTTAACTATCTCATGATTTACATCTGAGAGATAATCACAATCTGTGATCATTGTATTTAATTGATATGGTCTACATTTGATAGTATTAATGCAAATGAATTCGACTATTAAGTCGTGCATTTTTTATGACCAAGCGAGAGTATAATCAGTAGAAAAAAGAGTAGGGTCCCATTGATACATAAATCCAGCCGATTAGCTATATGAAGCGACGACGAGATTCCAACCAAGAAGTCGAATGGTTAGATGTTCGTTGTGAGACTAAAGTTTTTGGGTTAGATCTCTGACGGACTCGTGGATGTGGAGGGATAAGGAATTCAGGGCTTCCAGGTTTTCCATGGTGGTCTAGCTTCAATTAACTCATGATCTCAATTATTAAATTAACTATAATATCCAAAAAGACCCTTCTGATATTAATCCCGTACTAGTTTGAACCAGTTGTCCAGTGCTTCCTACTTTTTGGTGATGCCACAGATGAGACCAATCCTCGAGAATGCCACTAACAAATGAATAAAATTGTCTGAAAGTTTATTTTTTAATTTCAAACAATCTTAATGTTAGGCCTTATACCTGAACATCAGTTTCACTATAATCAGTCGATATTATCTGGTATGGATCTGGATCAATCCCATCTTAATATTAGTGGTCATAATTACTTCCCTACCATTGAAAATGCATCTCAAATGGGATTACATTCTCTTATTGAGCAACAGTGAGTCAAGCTAATCCGAATTATTTTTATCTCATTTCATTTAAATATATATGAAGAGTAGTTTGTTGCATATTTCGCTTGATTTTTCACCAATGAAAAGTTCAAATCCTGTTCTAACCAAGTTAAGTTTAAACAACTAGTTGACATAATTAAACTTTGTACAAAACGTTTGAGTAGAAGTTGAGTACATGGAGTAGTATTGTGGTCATTGAATTCGGTTGTCTTATTTTATGAATAATCTCATTATATGTAGAAATTATATTTGAATTAATCTCAGTGATTGACACTTAAATAATTCCAACGTTTCGTTCAGCAAACTTGTCTGAACTTCTTTCCTTCAAGAAGTCTACATTTGTGAAGAGATTTAGTTAGACACTAACCCACTGTGTAGGATGAAAATTGAGAAATAAGTCACGTAGTCGATACCTTCAACTGCTTCACTCCCTAAAATTAATTTCACTGTTGTCATGGACTGAACCTTAAGCAACATTTTGCATGTAGAATAAAAGAAACGAATCCAAAGCATACTTGTATTGTTGCTTAAAGCGATTAGTAGACTCCTCATCTTGTCAATATCTTAACTGTATAGGAAAATGTCATCCGAATTATTTGAAATTTCCTGGCAGGAAATAAACTCTATGATCTATCAAAAGGTTTGATAAGTTGCAGATATGAACCATTGAGTTTTGGCTCAGTGATCTACTGGCCACTTGTCCGCTGTTTTACTTAGTGTCTAGGTTCTATTTCGCATGAAACTATTGGTTGGATACCATTAAAGACGAAATAAATTTACAGTAGCTCTTTGTTTTTCAATAATTCTGTTCAAATTATACTAATTCTTAATGGCTACTATCTAGATCAAATAATTATTACGATCACTACTAAATATTGTTCCAGAATAGATGGAATGAACTATTGGCTGTCTAGACTCATCAGCTAATTGAATAACGTGGTGGCAATTGAAGCGAACGGTACTGGGTTTAAGTTTCGGGATAGATATGAACTCTAGAATGCAGGTACGTACACATGACGAGTCCAAGATACGACGAAACGCTCGTCATGGATTGTATTGCTAGCTACATTTCATCTATTCTGTACTAAATTGTGTCATAATTAGCTATATCGAGGCAATCCTCAGCGGATGGACACGTGCCAACCAAGACTAATAAAAATTCAGTCGAAATATCAACAACGAGATAATCCAATACATTTTAATTTAGACTATAAACTATTCTATTTATAGATGTGAAGCGATGAAACTTTATGACTGTTTAATGACTTCATGGAGTGACAGAATACATGAAAAGACGAATGATATAATTCTATCTTTACAATGGATTATCAATATGGATGAAACAATAAATGAGTTAAGTATACTATTAAGGAATGAAGATTTACATACAGAATTTCATAAACATCAAGTGAGTCATTCAAGTAGTATGTTAAGACACATTTCAATTCTAACAGTTGTTTAAAAAATTTGTTGTATACGTTGGACGATGATTTTCACCACAAACCGATATCAGTTGTAGAATAATAGCTCAAATGCTTTCCGCGAAAATTAATAATAATTGTATGTCTATTAAAGTTCGGATTTATTTAGCAGAGTTTTGTTGTTAGGTCCTCGGTTCGAATCCCGCGAGGCGAAGTCGTGAATGCGCACTGCTGAGGAGTCCCACACTAGGGCGAAACAGCCGTCCAGTGCTCCCAGGTTTTCCATGGTGGTGCAGCTTCAATTGACTCATGATCTCAACTATTGGAAAAATCCAAGATCTATTGTATTGCATTAATTCAAAAGTATAGAAGTTACCGACTGAGAATATTAAATAAAAATCAGACTCTACTGTAAACTCAATTTTACTGGGCAATTTAAACTATTGAATTTTCATCCTATGATTTAGTGACATTATTATATCTTTAAAATCTTAAGATCTTAGATTTAGTACCATCTGTTGACTTACGTTTTGAACTTCATTAATCCAAAGATATGTTAACTGGTTGAAAGTAGTTGGCAGAAAACGTCAGACTTATGTTTCGTGCTAGTTGATACTCATAAGCTATTTGCACTCGCAATCTTGAAGCAACTTATGCTTTACAGGATTCGGACTAATATACTCCACTCCTACAGTCTGAGATAGCACACTTGAGCTGTTTGGACCGAGTTTTATTATCTGTTAGATAGATAAAATTGAATCGATTGATCACTACTGAATAATAGACATCAATTTTGTTAAGCGTTAGTGTTGATTGCATCCTACCGGTCCGATTGAGATGTAATCATCAGTTTAAGTGACTTGATTTTACGTGCTCTATGTCTTGACGTTATCTGCTTGAAGGTAGTTGGAAGAAAGTTTTGAACTTGGGTTTCCTACTAGTTATGAATATTCCCCGATCACTAGTGACAACTGTCTCGTGTTCAAAAACATTGGACTTTATTGAATCTCTTGAATTTTATTTGGAACTCTTAGAATTCAGTTTAAAGTTGATCACTAGTGAATACATGGTTATTGCTTTAAAGAAAGCACCTTTATTTAAAATAAATCCTTATGAATTTCGCTTGTGAATTGACTGAACATTAATTTTCATAATCATACTCATACACCTAATCCAATACTGATTACTCTAATAACAATTTAATCGAGAAAATTTCAGCTGACTATTAGATGTTCTGTTTTTCATGTTTTAAAATGTGTACAAATTACAACACACATGGAAAAAAACATTTTGACTGAACTCTAAGTATTATTGGGCTTCTATCTATTATTTTACAACACGGAGAACACCAAGCCAATCACACTTGATGGCGAAACTCTGGAAGATGTAGAATCCTTCACATACCTGGGAAGCATCATCGATGTACAAGGAGGTTCAGATGCAGACGTAAAGGTGAGGATTGGCAAAGCAAGGGCTGAATTCCCTTAATTGAAGAACATATACAACTCACAACAACTTCCAAGCAATATCAAAGTCAGAATCTTCAATACGAACGTCAAGACAGTTCTACTGTAACTGCCACAACCATCACTAAGAAGGTACAAGTATTATAAATAGTTGTCTTCGCAAGATACTCAACATCCATTGGCCGGACTCCATCAGCAACAGCATACTGCAGGAGAGAACAAACCAACTTCCAGATGAAGAGGAAATTAGGAAAAGACGATGGAAATGGATAGAACATACATTTCGGGAATCACCAAACTGTATCACGAGGCAAGTTTTAACTTGGAATCCTGAAAAGAAGCGAAAAAAAGGAAGGCCAAAGAATACATTACGTCGGGAAATAGAAGCAGATATGAAAAGGATGAATAACAACTGGAAGGAGCTAGAGAGGATTGCCCAGGACAGGGTTGAGTGAAGAGTGCTGGTAAGTAGCCTATGCTCCTCCACGAGGAGTAACAGGCGTAAGTAATCAAGTGAATACCTATTATTTTAACTGGCAATAAGGACGTTTGGTACTGTTGTGTCATCTTAGCTAGAAACAGACGCTGAAGATTTTGTTCAGAATGATGATGAAAGCTCTTCATCTAAACAATTTAACTAAGAGGATACAATACCACGATAAAGATTTACATGAACTACAAATCTTTCCCCTATCAATTCTCTATTAAAAACAATCTTACGTAATAAGAATAAGTTTAACCAGTACACAACATATTTTAACGACCTTTTTTGAAATTTTGTTCACCTTATTTTTAGCGCTTATTTCAAGCATCATTTGAATGGGTCAATCGTTTAATAAATCACGTTAAATATGAAAGTCTTTTAAATGACAATAATGATAATAATAATTTACAATGCTTCATTTTAATTGACTATAATCCATTATTTAATTTATTATATAATGAAATTACAGAGAAATTAAGTAAATTATTTACAATATTTATAACAATAGTTCAAAATTCATTAATATCAATCAATAAACAATTGGATGATTTTATTCAAGTAAGTTATGTAATGTTGTTTGATAAATGATATATGAGGTCTTGGTTACAAATTCGTACTCACCTACTCCATTGTTGAATAATTTTTCATACTTTCACCTCTTTGCATTCATGTAACTTATCATCCGGTTAAATGATTGGTTTTAACGATTATATAACCTATTATTATTGTTGTTGAATATGCCCCCCCGGATGCCCTGGTACAGCCAAGAGTTCAGAGAGTCCACTCTTCCTCTCGAAATGCTCTCAAATGGCCACGCGTATATAGCCTCTGCTAGGGAAGTTCTACTCACTGCCTTTTAGTGGTGAGGGTGTTGTTTACGAGCTTGAGAGGATGAAAAGGCGAAACTTCGGCGCTTTAACTGGGTTGGTGGACACGAAGGATCCACTTAGGGGAGTTGGGAAACCCTGATTCTAAACCAATGGTGCACATGAGCTCCAGTATCCTGAAGGTACAAATGGTGTATGAACCAGTCGTTGGTCACCGGCTACCATGGGACTGCATCTCCTTACGATGCTTCACTGTTTTGTAGATCAGAACTCCAGGTCGAAGGTTCTGGGTGTGGCCCCCTAAGAAAACTACCTGCTTCGGTTTAGGCACCCGGGCAGTATCATTGTCTTCACACAAATCAAATGAGATTTTTGTGGTGCAAATGTATATGGTGCCCCCCTTGTGCCGATATCTATGTGTTCAAATAAAATAAAATAAGATGGATATAAAGAGCAATAATTTGTTTAGTGATGATTACCTGTTTTTAATAATTGAATTCATGAGTCAATCTAAGCTAGACCACTATTGAAAACCTGAAAGTACTGGACGTCCGTTTCATCCTGGTGTTCATCCACAATCCCTCATGCAATCACCAGTTTAGATTCAAATTCGGATGCGGTTACAATCAGAAATATATTTCTATACCACTTAATGGAACCACTATTTTTTTTCAGTTTTTATAGTCATATCCTCAAATTTTTTGTTAGGAGTAAGAACACAAGATCATAGCTGGCTTGTTACCGAACAACACTTCGGGAACGCAAAAAAATAGAATCAATTAAGATGATAGGATCAAAGTACAAAGAAGGAATAATATTAAGGAAATAAGATTTGAGATCTATTTTAAAAGATGAAGGATTTTATACTTTATTAAATGAAGAACTGAAATCCATGTATACATTAATATATCAAATTGTTTTGAAGAGATTATCAAGAGAAACTGGACTCACGTTTTATGCTTGTTGATAGTTTACAGCAAACAGTATCTTTAATCTACAGAGAACTAATTCCTCTCGTGTTAATCTAACCTAAATCAATCAATGTTACAATCAGAAACATTACCATTTAGCTATATGACTAAGTTTGAAGAGTATCGGATTTAAAAACAAACGAACAAACATATTAAGCATCTTATAGTTAAGTCAAAAAACCTATTAACAGTACAGTTTGCATAAATTCATATCATTCAGAAGGAGTTTTGTGGAGATTGTAGTAAGTTCAACAGCGCCTGGCGCTTAACCAACTGATAGGTCCTGGGTTCAAATCCCTCGAGGCGGGGTCGTGGATGCGCACTGCTGAGGAGTCCCACAATAGGACGAAACGGTCGTCCAGTGCTTCCATGTTTTCCATGGTGGTGTAGCTTCAATTGACTCATATCATTCAGTTAAAAAATAAACAAACAAGCTCACATTCAATGTCTTGACAATGTTTAATATGTTTTTATACTTTATTATAGATACATACAAATATTCAATCTGATTTTAATGGATTCATACAAGTTGTTACCTATTTAAATCGTGTACATAATTGTCATGTGAAATTATTTAAAGACCATGATAATCTATGTCGTCAAGTTGAAGTATGTTCTAATTTTGTTTTTAAAAGTAAACATAAATGTATAACTTAGGGTGAGATTATAATATATGAAGGACTTTTGAGTGATGCTAAAGTGATCTTGAGAAACTCCACCTACTAATTTAAGGTGAATGAAGGTTATAAAGTAGTGTGAAGAATAAGGATTACGATTTACAGTTGATGGTTAAGGTTAGGAATTAGATTTAGGGTTTTCATCACGAACAGGTATTAACTAAAATGATAAAACGCTATTTAGCCGAATGAGTGAATGAATTTCGCGCCAAAATCCATGACCCATCATTCTAAATCTGATAAGTTCGTCCATAAATTATAGTCTTGCCAGTTCAGTGTAAAATTCATTTTTGTATACAGACTAATTTATATCATGTATGATGTTTATTAACTAACAATTAAATACCTGTAATATTTGTAAACAAATGAGTGTACTTAATTGTAAATATCTGTCATGATTTTGAAAAGCAAATGAAATTTTCATCTTAAGTTCAAGATGTGTTTCCTGGAGTTCTAGTAAGTAGATGTGACCAATGGAATCAAATAGTGTCTGATGTGAAGCAGTTACTCACTGAAGATAATAGTGGGCGATCGTGCAATATTACGGGTTGGTTGAAGTTAGACCTTAACACCATTGGATGCCGGCGCAATGGTTTAGTGGGTAAGTGGTCGCTCGCGAAACCATTAGGTCCTGGGTTCGAATCTCGCAGGGGGCGAGGTCTTGGGTGCACACTGCTGAGGAGTCCCATACTAGGGCGAAACGACCGTCCAGTGCTTCCAGGTTTTCCATGGTGGTCTAGCTTCAACTGACTCATGATCTTAACCGTTGAAATTAATATAATATCCACAAAACCCATCTGATATTGAAAATATGTAACACAATTGATGAAGCAATGAGTATCTTGAAAAAAACAAAATACTGTTTTTTCATTTTATTCTTCAGTTTATACAACATTTTCAAAAATGTTTAAACCATTGTGAAGAATTAAAATTCATTCAACTTGTTAAATGGTCACAATATGAACAGTTTATAATTAAATGGAAAAAGTTTACAAATCAAATTGAATGGGCTAGAAAAAAATTTCAAAGATATCAAGAAGAATTCTATCAAGTTTATGATAAAAAAGTTGAGGTAAGCAAAGACAGTGGCTAGCAGTGGAATCCAGTTTGACGCGCGTTTCGTCCTATTTTGGACTCGTCAGCTGGACTCCCCCTTTACATTCAATTGATGTCATTTTATAGTGAAAACTAATCTTGTATTGAATAAACTGCTCAAATTCTTAATTTTATAGTTTCTTATTTTAACTTAACCCATATGTCATTGAGACTAACGGTAATCAATTAAAACAAGATGTTGAATAAATTCATTTGGCGTTGTTTACTTGTATCTTCCCATTGTTATTTAGGACTGCGATTGATCAGTCTCATGTTGACATATGTGCATCCTGTGCGGATTGCCTCGATAGTGTCTGAAGTCACAAGCTTTTTGAGCAAAGATGGATAGTGGCTGGCAATAGAATCCAGGGCGCAGGTTTCGTGCTATTTGGGACTCGTCAGCTGGATGTACCTGCATCGCAGAGTTGATGTTCTTTCCGGGACTCGAACCCAGTACCGTTCGCTTCAAACACCATCCCGTTATCCACTTAGCTACTGAGTCCTATCCACTATCCATCTTTGCTTAAAAAGTTTGTGACTTCAGACAATATCAAGGCAATCCACACAGGATGCACATATGTCAACATGAGACTGATCAATCGCAGTCCTAAATAACAATGGGAAGATACAAGTAAAACAACACCAAATGAATTTAAGTTGAGGTAATATTGACAATTTTGAATGTACTAGTATCAGTGTTATATATACAAGCAATTATTGTCTATCTACCGATTTTGATAATTATAGAATAAATACTTTGGTATGCTGATATAGGTTATATAAGAAAGATTAGTTCAGTGAGGAGTTCTCTTTTCGGTGAATTCATTTTCAAAGTTGTACAATCACAAATATACATTATACTTATTTTTACAGGATGATAATAATACTGATAATAAACTTTTGTTAGACATGGTGACAGTGAGGTTAAATAAACAAAGATATTAGAAGTTTTTTTATGAAGCAAGAAAAGTTTAATAATCGTTTGATTGTTAATGGCTTAAGTATTCATCAAAGGATAGATAAGGAAGTTATCATTGGGAAAGGATGGCTCATCATGATAAGATAGAATGTTGAAATTAAGATTAAATGTAATCAGAATGATCGTGGAAACAAAAATAAACCAGTTGGGGGTAGAGGATTTTAAGGGGAAGATAGAAGGTGAAGCAGATGGCTGTAAAGGAAAAAGAGTATGAAAAAGAGAAAAAAAATTATAAGACATGGTAGAAGAAGAGGTTGTACCAGTTTCTTTTGCACACACAATTCTGGTTTTTACAAATGTATGCCTAATGCTTCGGCAATGCAAAGAAGATCCAGTCTAATTGTCTTTGGAAGACTTTTACTTGTTTTTAAAGTATACTAGTAGTTAAATGATAAGAGTTGTTTATTGTTTGTAAGTAGTACAGGATGTTTTATTCAAAAAATATGTCAAATGGTAGTAAGTAACCTACAAAATTAATCTCATGCAGTTATTTATATTTTAAGTGAGATTTAATCATTATATTCTTGGATATGGGGTTTTGTCCTAGTGAAGACTTGTTAGGTGAACTTATCAACGTCTCACACCCGATACTTTTCTCTTCAAACACAAAACGTTTTCCACCAAGGTGAAGAGTTCATTTAGTCTTTAACCTATTCGACAAGTTTAACTTCAATTGTGAAGGTATGTATTTTCATTCCGTCAATATAAAAAAAACTAAATTTGATTAGTCTCTGCGGGGATATGTGGATACCAAGAATTCGTTTCTATTGGCAGTATTGAGGTACCTGCTTAAGATTCATATATACATGAAGTGATTAATTACAGTCCTGTATATCAATTATGCGGAAGTAAGAATCTTAAATAGAACTTCAATTACTGTATTGAATATTTTGTAGATAAACAAAGTCATCCTATGCTCCTCCATTAAATCAAATATTTAAGCAGTAAATGTCATTCCAATGTTTATTTATTTATAAATTTTTGTGTGGTGTCCCTGAGAATCAACCATTTACGATGTGCCTTTTCCTGACCGTTGTTGCTACCTTGACGTGGTGGTCGGGCTTGCCTGTCATAATGAAGCAACCGAGCTATGCTGGCTAAAACAATTGTTCCTCAGGGTCCTACCATGCCAGACAGGTTGGTTGAAGAGCGGTAAGACTAAAAGCAACAAACCCAAGGTCTGAAGGCGAAGCCGTACTGCTGACTGTACAGACATGTGACAGCAGTATGGTGTTTCCTTCACGCATCCAGCATGACAGCGATGCTGCCTTCCCACAAGGAAGGGTGGGGTTAGAAAAGATCGACCCTAAAAATGCACACCTCGCCTCATCCCACGGATATCCGTTTCCGGCGGTAAGGTCTCAACAATTATGGGGCTAACACGAAAATTACTCACGAAAAGGTCGTGTGTGATCGACCTCAAGCAGTTGTCCGTTGGGCACTGTGGTCACGCTCTCAGGTCATTAAGACCACTTCTAATCCAAATGCGCCTTTTGTGGCACTTAAAGATTTTAGTCGAATTTATGAGAAATAATGTACTTTTCAACATTGTTACATAAATTCATATACAAAAATATATACTAATTTGATTAAAAGCTAATGTTTCAAGTTTGTTTTCAATAACAATAATTTCACGTTAGGAAACTATAAAAGAAGTTGACCGTTTAGTTCATTTACTTACAACTGGCAAATATTCTGATGTTAATAATGATGCACAAATGATACTAAACGACATGAAGGAAGTGAGTTTAAATGAAAGGTATAATTGTTTAATGTTATGGAAATTTAAATTTTCATTGCTTAGAATATGTATCTCTAGTCCACATAAATGTCACCCAAATATAACAGATAGTAGAGGGTTAGAGACAATCAGAATGAAGCCCTTTTGATTTGGATTTTATTCTGATTGACATTTTATAGTTTATATCACTAGATGATCTTTGCTAAACAACTATTGGAAACCAAGAAACCCTGAAAGGCCGTTATTTATATTATAGAAGTAATTAGTATACGACACCTTTGAATAACCGTTAAAGCACTGATCTGTAATCCACTGGTTTATAATTTTAACTTACTATTTCTGGTGTAAGGTAGTTATAAACCAGAGGTAATGCAAAACAGTTGCGAAATATCAGACTAAACATGTAAACCATTGGGTTTCGGCTCACTGGTGTAAGGAGTAAGCACTTGCAGCGAAGCCTGAAGTTCCTGAGTTTCATCTGTATTGAGATTGTGTATAGGTATTGTTAGGTAATCCGATATTAGCAGAAAATAACAATTCAGTGTCTGTTTGAATACCTGAACTGTTTCTTCTTGACATCAAGATATTTCAACAAGTTATCTGTTTTTTTTTTGTTTTAACACATCATTATGTCTATTAACCGTATGACCTATTCAGACGCGTTTATGAACTATCGCTGTACAACTTACAAAAACGTACAGTTAGAGTCATTGTGGTGGCTGGCGAATCGCATCCAAGAGAAATAATATTAACCATAAGTTGAGTCATGAACTGCTTAATTCTAACTGCCGATCACTAATTAGCAGGATGAACTATATCCAATTCGTATTAAATCAAAACATGTGTCGTAATTATGGTACAATCACAATTCAAGAAAATTGGTTAAGTGATCTGAAGGATGATCACTTAGTATTGCTACACGATTCCAACATCATCGTCAGGATCTATCAAGAAATGAAAAAAGGTGTATCGGCGATACAGTTACCTTTGTAAAGGTGAACTGATGTCGATCTACTTTCACATGCAATTATGTTTATGTTAGCAACATTGAGCCAACATCGATTGGGAGGTCCGTGGGTACTACTTTGATGTTGGGTGGGTTCAGTGGAGCTGGTCGATTCAAGAGTTCTTTAAAGTGTTCTACCCACCTGTTTCGCTGTTCTTCAATGTTGGTGACCATTTTGCTTACCTTGCTTTTCACTGGTCATTCTGGTCTGTGATAATTTCCAACGAGTTTCTTTGTTGTGTCATACAATTATCTCATGTTTCCTTCACTTGCAGCCTTTTCCACCGTCATTTCTAAATCTTCCATATAAATACATTTGTATGTTCTGATGCTCCTCTTCACTTACTTGTTTAGTTCTGTGTATTCAGCTTATATTTGAATCTATTAATTACTTTCAAATTATAATTATATTATGTAACCTTTTTTATTTTACAGCCATATTGTTATGTCATAAAATTAGAAAGTTCTATTCATCAACTTTTAGATCAACATAAAACTGTTCAAAATTGTGAATATAATGAGAAACAATTTGAAAAAGCTAAAATTGATAAAATGAATCTATCCTATTCATCGAATAGATCATTGATGAATACAACGATTACATTGGATAATACACTTTATATTACAGATAATTGTCAAGTTAATTTTAAACATATAAAACAATCATGTAAATATTTTAATGAAACAAATAATATATTATTATATATTGATCATGAAATGAAAAAAGTCAATTGTAGATATGACGCATGGCAACTAAATTTGAAAATTGATACATTTAAACAAGAGTTATATAAATCAAGATTAGGAGAAGTAAGTCATTGATATTTGATTTGATCTTGTTCATTATTGAAAGATTCTATGATGATTAGGTAAATATCAGTTTGAATACAGATGGTGTAGGAGTAGTTTGGAAGAAAGCTAGAGGCGACCAGACCAAAACATGTCACAAATTCATGAAGTCACTGACAGATAGACTGAGTCATGATGGTAGGTGTAGACTACCTGGTTGCAATCTGCAAGATGATATCAATCAATGGTTAGAGACATTGAATGACATGACTGAAAATCGTTTGCAATAGAGCATGTGAATCCACTCTTTGTATTTTCCTAAATCATAATCTTCTGAATCCTTCATGTCCTTTCTTTTTTTCTCTTTCCAAATTTATTTCACTGGATTATACTCCTTGAATAATATCTTCAGACCCTAATGTTTCCGATTACTACTTATACTTTTACTACCTCTACCAGTATGGGATTTGAATTGACGATTGTATCTGTGTGCTAATTCGGTAAGGCGACTTCAAATGATGTACGTACGTATGAAGTTCTACGTTGTTACTGACTGACTAAATTTACTGTTCATAGTCATGCTGTTTATTTTAAAAGTTGTCTATCATTCTTATAAATTTTCTACGACATTAAATGTTCAATATGCATATCCATGTCCTGTAATTAATGTTTTTTTTCTAAAAAAATAGATAACTTTAAATATGTTCAATGAAAAATATCAAAAACTTATTTCATTATGTAATCAATTAAGAAATGATGATGTAATTGTTCAATATGATACGAAATGTTTGAATAAGATGGAAAAATTATTGAAACTCTTAAGTTATATTTTGGATACAGAATTATTGGTTAGTTAGTTTGTTCTTTGTTAAACCTTTTCTTTTATAAAAACAAACAAACGACTAAGTTATAGTTGTCGTTTAAAGTATGAATTGTTATAGTTGAATTCATGAGTCAATTGAAGCTAGATCATCATGGGGAACCTGGAAGTACTGGACGGCGGTTTTCTATGGTGGTCTAGTTTTATTTGACTGATAAATTCAACTATAAAAAACCTCTACAAAATCCCTTCTGAAAAAAAGAACTATGTTATTGTGTTTTTAAGATTACTTAGCAGTTACACATCCATGTTATTGGTTGATAATTGTTACATACTAAGAAGTAACTGAGTTTACAGGTTTAGACTATGGTTTCTGCCGGATCTAAAGGTTATGAGCTTAACCCATAACAGTGGACATTATTGGGGATATCCTAAACCTGAAAAGAATAGTACTTCATGATGAAAACTTTCTTTTTAGCAGTTATTTGACTATTATGCTATGGGAATGATACTTTTAAATGTGATACTTCATTATAGCTATGCTAGATTGATTGATAAGGTTAAGATAAGTTTGAGTGTCTGTCTTTGTAATAACATACTTTAAATATTGCAGTAATTAATTGATGTAATGGTTACAAGAACAGATTCCTTTCATAGGATTGATAATTTCTTGTTATCCAATGTTATAAATTGCTTCCTTTATGCAATAACTCAACGATTGTGAGATTGTGGGGCCCTTTATTTTGTCGTCATTTAGATCAAACGATGTTTGTTGATGGGCTCTCCAATTTAGTGGCCCGCGATCTGACTCCAATTTGATCGTATGAATGATTGTGATCGAAATACATATGTCCCCATCCTCGTACATAATCATCGACTTAAATCGCGTTAGTCAATAACGGGATTAAACAAGTCAAATAACGAGAATCGACTTTTGAATACATATATTTAGTATATAAAGCGAATGGAATAGAACAAAGCAAAACGACGCGCTGTGGAGATGGCGGATAACTCAACTCCTATTTAACCAAGCGTTAATCAATTTTTATAGTTACACAAAAATAAGTTACAGACACGTGATGGATGGGATAAGAAATGTACACACATCTACGCTCATATAAAAACAGTCAAGATTGATAAGCGGATAATTAACAAGATCAAGGAAGGACTCAAGTAGAATGAATGGATTGGGCTGTCCCAAAGCTAGAATAAGGTAATATGGGCTTAACATAACGACCGACACTACAAGATAACGATCGAGATCAGTACTTAACACCTATTGGTCTAGGTTGGAGTTTTGTATGCCCACTTGTTAAATAATCGGACTAGGACAAGAACACAGCAGACAGATAACTTCTGTTGTACCGTTCAGTTCATAACTCAAACTAGTGTGATAATATAGGTTAAATTCCAGACCACACATCAGTATAAATTAAAATTAAAATTTGGGGACAACCATGTCATAAGTGAAAATGTACTTAGCAGTTGGTTCATACTTGACTAACGTAAGGAATGTAAAACACAGAACATTAATTTATGCTCAAAACGAATGCTTACAACTATTATTATATAAAGGCTATGAACCGATCAGTATTAGACCACCATTGAAAACCTGGGAGCACGGAATGACCATTTTTTCTCAGTGTCAGACTGCTCAGTAGTGCAGATCTGCGGTCCCGCAAACCAGGATAGAACCTTGGAACCTCGTTCTCACGCGGACGTCTAAGCTCTAAACCACTGAGCCGGCGTTCGACGGTGTTATGCCCCAATGAATCTCAAGAATATCCATAACTCTATACTGATAATCATTATGTGCTCACTAGTTACTAGCTTCGAGAGGTGAATTTCGGGTATGAGGCGGTTTTGCACCGTAGACAATTTAAGATGGTCCATACTGATACAAAACGACTATCCACTGCTTCCAGGTTTCCAATAGTCAGACACTGATCGGTTCATGATCTCAATAAAGTTTATGTTATATTAAATAAAGAGGAGTGTTTTTTTTATTGGGTTTACTGCAGCAAACACCAAAATTTGACCAATAGTGCACAATTTCTAGTATATGGAAATGTTTCACTTCTATTTGGATATATACTTCATTAAACTGGGAAATGTACTCGGATCTGAATCTAACGTTGAGAGATTGCGAGAAGAATCGTACGATTTCATCCGATAAAATCCTGAACATTACATTTTTATGTTATCAGTATAGAGTAGATGGAATAGGATTAACGGTTGAATTCAGTGCTCGAGTTTTTATCCTGTTTAGGACTAGTCAACTGGATGTACCTACATCCCAAAGTTGATATCTATCTCAGAACTCGAGCTCAATTCCATTCACTTCAAACGCTATTGCATTATCCATTTAGTTACTGAGTTTAAATAGCATTCATTTGTGCAACAGGTATGAGTTTTAATTCCATATGAAATGGATCGATTCTGACCCCAAATGCCTTGGTACGGCCGAGAGTGGGGAGAGTCCACTCTACCTCTCCAAATGCTCTCACATGGCCACGCGTATATAGCCCCTGCGAGGGAAGTCTTACTCACTGCCTTCTCGTGGCAGGGGTGTTGTTTACGATAATGAGAGGACGAAGAGCGAATGTCCGGCGCTTTAACCGGATTCCAAACCAATGGTGCACATGGGCTCCAGTATCCTGAGGGAACAAATGGTGTATGAACCAATCGTTGGTAACCGGCTACCATGGGAATGCATCTCCTTACGATGCTCCACTGCCTTGTGGATCAGACCTTCAGATCGAAGGCTCGGGGAGTGGCTCCTTGAGCAAACCACCTGCTTCGGTTTAGGCACCCGGGCAGTATCACAGCCCTCACACATATCAAATAAGATTTGTGTGGCGCATATTTATTTAGTGCTTCCTTGTACCTAAAGTCATGTTAGTTAGATTTATACACAATACAGTTTTCACTGTTAGTAACTGTTGAATTGTTAAAGCTATACAAACTCTTCAGTAATGAATGTATGAAGGCTTTTTTTTAAGTTTTTTCCTTAATTGTACAAATGAAGATATACAATGGTTAGCAACTGTTTTTAAAATGTTTTTAAATTCAAGTCTTTCTCATCAGAATACTGGAATCATTGTTCAAAACTATTAAATATATCAATCAATATCAATTGGAAAAATTGTACAATCAATGATTTAATGAATAATCCCAAGACTAATTTATTAAAACAAGAATATCAATTAAAAGAAATCAATAATATATTTCAATATTTATTATCGATTTATCAAATTAAAACAACAATTGAAAATCAATTCAAATCATTAACTATTCAATTTATATCAATGAAATCACATTCAGAATTGATTAAATCTATTCATTTATCATTTCGTAATGAATATATTGATCAAATGAATCAGGTAATACAATATCTATAATTCAAATTATGTTTAGAAGGGATTTTGTAGAGATTGTAATAATTTTAATAGTTGAGATTATGAGTTCATTGAAGCTGGATCATTATGGGAAATCTGGAAGTGCTGGATGGGTGTTTCGTTCTATTGTGGGACTACTCTTTAACACTGTGCATCTATGACCTCGCCTCACAGGATTGAAACCCAGGACCTATTAGTCTCGCGCGCGAGTGGTTAACCAATAGACCACTGTTTTTTTTGTTTGTTGTCTTTTAAAGTATTCGAGTTGTAAAGATTCATCATAAAATGTAAGAGTGATGAAATCAAATTAAATCCTTACTGTTTCGTTTGTTAGACCTGTTATTTAACAAATAATTGGTAGTTTTAGGAAACATGTTTTAATAAATATTGTAGATCATCAGCGTTGATCTCTGTCGAATGATTGGAGGTCTACTCGATTTAGACGGGAGTGATGTAACAAACAGCCAACTTCATGTCACACCATTCAGTCAGCATCTAACGTGAATTACCCCTTCGACGTATCAAAGTACTATGGCCGATTTGAAGACCGTATAACATAAAGGAGGTTATTATGGAAATATATTAGTAAAATTAAGTACGGAGAAGATAGCGAGATCACCACCGCATGCGCCAGTCCATGGCATACGATTAAATGATGTGTGTTAGTTTTCCTTGACTTTGACAGGGATCGATAGTCTGTTCGATATTCAATGACCCAACTGCCGAATGATTTGGCAAGGGCTCAGTGACATTTCACTTGTCCTACAATATCTGACCTATTTAGGTAAGTATTTTCGCAAATATTAAGGACTAAATGAAACTGAGCCATAATAGACGGATAAAAAGTATGTACACATGTACATAAATGAATGTCTTTATAGCAAGTATATTCGTTAAATACTTGTCATAACTTTCAAATGGTATACTAATTTAAAGAACCAATCAATGGTATATCTGAGAACAGAGAAAACGGCAAAGTATACAGTAAAAATAAACTATTTCGCTATTGCAATGAAGAATCTGATATGGCAAACAATGATTTAATCTATTAGAGTAAGAACGGCATATGAAATGCATCGTCTAGGACACGTAATCATTTTTTTGAAGTGAAATTATATTACTTAGTCAATTAGTTATGCCTATCGATGCTTAATTGTATGACATTGTAAATCTGTTCACGTAGTAAGTTAGTTAATAATTTTTTTTTGAGTTAAACGATCATTTATCACTAGTCTTCGTGTTCTTACTAAACCTCATCAGAATCGGTGTTTCAGTACCAAGCATAAGTCAATCGAACAATTTCAGAGGGATAACAGTGACAGATATAATAAGATTAACAAAAATATTCCACTGATAAGACAGAATTCAAAACAACTTGATTACATTCCCATGGTAAACAAACGTAATATAAAGTTTTTTCAAACATATAATCTTATATATTTGAAGAGATTTTAATCATAAACCATCAGAATTGAGAATAATATTTGAAAATATGTCTTTTAAATGTACTACCGGATCAGTCTTACACAAGTGCAAATTTTCAGAAGTTTAGAAATCAAATTAATGTATATCGGTTAAGTCGAAGTAACGTGACGTGATTTAAGAACGTACTAAGTACAGGCTTATGTACTCAACTTTGAGTTGTATGAAGGCTAGCGACATTACCTGGTTGTTCGAACCATAGTAAGCAAAGAGAAGTTCGAAGCTACGACCTATTTCCCAAACTCAAGTGTTTTAACCACTCAGGAAACATATAACAGATTCTTGATCTGTATAATAGTCTCTTTTATTAATCTGGTTAAAAGAATAAGGTGTCAGATACTTGAAGAAAAATTCAATAAAAACTCACTTCTCTCTTAAGTTAATAGTGACGCTTTTGTTCAAGAAGACAATGAATGCTTCATTGTTAAACCATCCAGCACGAAGAACGAAATCATTAAAATTAATAGAATAAAATTAATTGTAATTCAAATCCCAACAGTGTTATAAAATAGGTGATGAGAAATTTTAGCTTGAATCTAGTTATTTAGTGATTGGAAAACTGTCTGGAAAAAATAAATCTTTTATAACGAGTTTTTTTCAATGTTGTTTAAATCAAATCCATAGAAAAACTGTTAATTTTGGATTGCATTCACTACAAACTGACTTCTTTTGCAATATCGTTGAAAATCAAGAAAGATTAGACAGTGAAATATGAGGGTTCTAGTTTCAATACCTAATGGAGTAATGAAGTTACGGTGCAAAGGATGTACAGGACTTACAAAGTACTCCCTAGTTTTCAATAGTATCCTAAGATCAGCCCATAAAGAATACAATCTACAACTTGAATCAATCCCCACAAAACTGCTTTAACTAAATTACGAGTTTGCTAAAACACTAATATGGTGATTTCAATCAAAGGAAAAGCTCATGTTTCTGATGGTTGTTATAGCTTAAAATCTCCGAATTATAACGTCAAACAATGTATATCATATACGTTAATTTAAAAAAGATTACAGTATATTTTGTTTTCAAAAAGGCCATTTTTACTTCTTGATTGAAAAAAACCTTTATAGAACAGATGGAATGTGGCTAACAGTGAAGTTTAGAATGTATGTTTTGTTCTATTTATACGTGTCATTTGAATGTGAACATCGACCCTGAAATGCAGGCACACCTAACCGATGAGTCCCAATCACGACGAAACGCACAAATTAAATTCCACTGCTAGCCATATTCCATCTATTTCGTACTAACTTGTCTCATAATGGTTATATCGTGATAACCCACATAGGATGCACATATATCACCCAAGACTGGTCAAATCCCAGTCAAAATACCAACAATGGAATAATCTAATCCATTTCAAATACAGTTAGAAAATTTATCTGAAATTTATGGTTGTATCTGAGCATGAAAAACATTTAGGCTTCTAGAAAAGTGAATCTCTCCACCATTGTAGTAGACTTTTGTGTAGTACTTCACACTAGTCATGGTCAGTGATTTGAACCTTTAAGGTGGCTTGGTTTAAAAACACTTAATCCCATTATTTATTCACAGTTCGGTGTCATTTCGTGCTTTCATTTTTAGGCATCATTTAGTTCTTTTAATCCATATATTGATTTGCTAAGTTTCCTAACAAAATCAAAATTCAAAACTCTACTGGTCTAGTTAGGATCTTATTGAATTCTTCTTTCTCTTCAGTTAATTAAAATAGCCCACAATGTCATTGAATAAGAAAAAGAGAATTCAGCGAAGAAAATCTTCTTTCCGACGATATCATTTACTTAAGCTGTACATTCATATACATAGTTATCTGAAAAAAAATCTATCTATGGGAGAATAGAAAAGATCCCATCACAAAAATGGATTCGAAAATAAATAGAAAATGAGGTTACGTACTAATCAACGGGTAAGGAAGAAAATAATTTATGGGCCAGATAATAATCCAATTTTCAGATATGAAGAAAAAACGACAAATATAAAGGTCAGAAGGGGTTTTATGGAGATTTTAGAAATTTTACTAGTTGAAATCATGAGTCAATTGAAGCTAGACCACCATGGAAAATCATCACAAAACCCCTTCTGATAATAATCATCTACTCACTAGTGACTGACTTCAAGAGACATTTCCTTGAGTTCTAGTGAGAAGCCGTTACCAATGGAGTTCAACCAGGTTTGTTGTGAGATATCAGCTCACTGAAGACATTGGTGTACGGTGGCGCAATTTCGTGAATTGATTGAAGTTAGACATTGACACCGTTGGATGCCGTGTCAATGGTCTAGTTGTTAAGCGCTCGCGTGCGAGCTTGATAGGTCGTGAGCTCGAATCTGGCGGGATCGTGGATTCACACTTCTGAGGAGTCCCATTCTAGAACGAAACGGCCGTCTAGTGCTTCTAAGTTTTCCATGGTGATCTAGCTTCAATTGACTCATGATTTCAACTAGTGAAACATAAAGGTCATAATAATAAACTGAATAATAATCTAGAAAAGTTTAAGTTTAAAGTGCAAAACAGTAATTTAAAAAATTCAATGATAATCAAATAAAAGTGCAGAAAAACAAGTAGTAAAAAACCCAGAAACATACCCATCAAATGAATTAGAGCCAAGGAAGGATGAAAGGTTGGACGAATCGTTTCTGCACGCAAAGTTCAGGGTTGAGTTCATGGATTGCCAATGCCTCAGCAGTGCATAAAATATTGATTCGACCCCCCTTAGATCCAGTTCCTTTGACTCTGTAAATTACTTTAAAAGAAGAGTCCTTTGGAGCGATGTGTCCACAGTTAATTAAATACTCCGGTATCAAACTAGTAATTGTTTTACATTCTCCTTTTAAGAGCCAAGCCAGATAGTGTTCCGAGATGCGTTTGTACAGTGATCGATTTGTGCAGCCTATGCAATCTTTTCTTTTATTCTACAGACATATATTTTTCATGTAACTATATATATGAATGTACAGCTTAAGTAAATGATTTTGTCGAAAAGAAAATTTTCTTCGCTGAATTCTCTTTTTCTTTCTTCTTCCTGTTTGTTCTATTTTAAGATTTCCTAACTTAAATTGATTATTTTTACCGTACTCTATGTTACCTCTAACTAATTGAGTGATTTTCTATCTAATATCCTTTTGTATTATATAAGGATCTCTCTGGAAGGTATTCATCCAGAAGTAACCGTTGTACAACAGAAATTCCCTATCCATGGATATTCTTGAATATTGACAATTTAATTGAAAACTTATGTGAATTATCAAATAAACTTCAAAGTTTACTAGATTCTGAACTTTTGAATAGAATAAAACAAAATGAAACAACAAATGAGTATCTACTTGAAAATGATTACTATTTAATGAAGAAATTAAATCAAACGAAGAATACATTATGTAATATGAAGTTAATACAAGATTATGTAAGTCATTTTAATGATCATGTGTGATAATCAGAAGTATTTGGATTGTAATCAAAATCGAGGTCATTTAGTACTTGTGATTCGCATTGAACAAGTTTCCCACAAGGAACAAATGCATTATGAAGACAAATAAAATTTGATACGAGGTCAAGATTTGATTCTTCTGAAATAGTTTCCTCAAATTTATTAAGAATGTTATTGTAGAGTAAAGGATCATTAGAAAAATCAGCATCTATCACGACTGCATCAGGTTTTCGATCATGACTAGGTTCACTCAACATATTTTCCTCAGATTTGCAAGGAATTTCGTCAGAAATAAGTGAACTATTAGGGAAAACCATATCTGGTACAATAACATGAGAAATCTGACAAGTCGATTGATTAGAATCTGTCTTGCAAGAATTCTGAGTTTCATTTAACTGTGAACTGCTATATGACTCTACACTGTCTTTCGAAATCGTTGATCAAAATAAATGATCATTGTAAATACTCAACTTAATAGAATCAGAATTACAAGACTTAATATTCGTTGCAACTAGATGAACAGTAGTACAACAAACTGACTGAATATGTCCAATATCACCACATTTAAAGCACTTAGAATTACAAAATTTACATGAATTGAAAGAGTGGAACCTGCCATAGGAAAAACATTGACCAAACTTGTGTCCATCTTTGTGAACTGCATCGCAACTCCTCAATGAATTATCTGCATAACCTTGAGTATGCACTGGGTTGGGATGACGTAATGTAGTGGAATTTTTTATATCCTCATGAATCATTTTACGGAATCTTCCTCCTTTGCCGCATTCGAAATTTGTAGACTTAAAATAGTCTAGCAGTAGATCCTTGAGAATTGTATAAGAAAGCGAAATGGGCTTTTCCGGTTAAGCCAAAGTTCTTAATAAGCTATATGCTTCTTTTCCGATGAATGTGAGGAAATGTGCTACAATATTAACATCCACATCATCTTCCTTGGTCATAGCCCAGATTTCGAACCTTACAAAGTAATCCTCAAAAGCATCAAGATCTGAATGTATATCCAACCGTTCCATCACAGGCTCCATCGCGACGCCAATATGATAATCAGAAATATTTGAATTATAGTACGAACTGAGAATCCCAGAAATAACGTAATCAGATCAAGAAGTACTAGATAACCACAAACGAATGTACTGTATTTTGAATTCGAAATCAAGCATTCAACAAGTACCAAGGTATCATTAGTTCATTCAAACACCACATCACGTCTAAATGATTAAAATATCATGACTGATAGTATTAGTTCTAAAGTAGATTCCGTATGTTTTTAAATATTTTTTTCTTTACTATGAAACATAATTAGTTAAAGAACTATTCAAAAAAACTAACGGGAACTAGACAACTGTTCAACTTTTGATGGAGTTTTGTTCTCTGGGCTAGATGGTTTAGTCGTGGAGCTTTCATTGTTCTTGTGAACGATATTATTAGCACAAACTCCATCAAAATCATTTACTTGAGATACTAATCTTCTCCACCATCTCAATCGTTCAACTATTTACCAGTGAAAATTCCTACAATTCTATGTAAAATTAAAATCCATGGCATTCAAATCTCTACAAATATCAACTATGAATACATCCGTATAACATACTCTAACATGTTGGTTGAAAAAAAGTCAACAGTTATTGCTTCATATACTATCTCGATTGAAAATTACACTTTAATACGTTTTAATAAGTAATACTAACTAAATATGAACAGGAAAATGGATAGAACTGCTGGAGACGATATATTTAATGAACAATTAAAATGTTATGAATAGTTTCAGCATATTTTCAAAATGTAATAAAGTCTATTTTATAGCTCAAGCCTAATCGAACTTTGGAGGCATTCTTGGGTATCTGGGCTACCTGTTCCAGCCATTTAGATATTTCAACAAATTATGTTTTTTGTTTGTTTTAGCGCATCATTATGTCTATTAACTGTATAACCTACTCAGGTGCGTTTATGAAAAGTTTATGAACTTTCTCTGTACAACTTACAAAAAAGTACAATCAGAGACATTGTGGTGGCTGGCAGTATGCACTGGAATGACTGAACATAGCTTAGATGACGATTCCTGTAGTGCTAACATCTGACTGGCGATCACTCAGTATTTATCGTCAGGATCGATCAAGAAATAAGTAGAAGAAACTTGTTGAAATACTTTGTTCTGAGAATTATATATTGTACCAAAAATATAATATTGAATAAAGTCATTAGTAGGTTAATATCATCGTACTGACTTAGTTTATTTCATTTATGGGTAACAGCTTTTCAATACACCATTGAAAAACTTATCTTGAGCAAAATGGTCTTTTTTATGTAGTAGTGTTCTGAAGATTTCTATATATATCGAGCATGATGTCGGTTTGATGCAATTAAAATTTCATGATAAATATACATTGGTTATAGTCATAGTCCGTTGACAATTCGATAACTTTTCTTTTGAATTATTTATTTATTTGTTTTAACACATAGATATTGGTACAAGGAGGCAACAAAATATATATGCGCCACACAAATCTCATTTGATTTGTGTGAAGGCTGTAATACTGCTCGGGTGGCCAAACTAAAGCAGGTGGTCTGCTAAGGGGGCCACACCCAGAACCTTCGACCTGAAGGTCCAGTCCACAAGCCAGTGGAGCATCATAAGGAGATGCAGTCCCATGGTAACCGGTGACCAGTAATTGGTCCATACACCATTTGTTCCTTCAGGATACTGTAGCCCATGTGGGTATTTGGAATCAGGGTTTTCCGACTCCCCTAGGTGGATCCTCCGTGTCCACCAACCCGGTTAAAGCGCTGGAGTTTCGCTTTTCGTCCTCTCAATTTCACAAACAACCCACCCCCCTTGACGAGAAGGCATTGAGTAGGACTTCCCTGGCAGAGGCTATATACGCGTGGCCATGTGAGAGCGTTTGGAGAGGAAGAGCGAACTCTCCCCACTCTCGGCCGTACCAGGGCATTTGGGGGCTTTCTTTTGAATAGTCAGAATTCAAATCTAATAACTGTTTTGTTAAAGTATCATTTGATGATATTCAAAGTTCTTAATCTGTACATGTTTATATTACACAGTGGTTATATTTATATCGATTATATTCATTAAAACAAAGTAATGAAGAATGTAACTCAAATCAATTCATTATATTAACTGATAATTATGTAAATTTGGAAAATGATATACTACTAAATAATGATCGAGTAATATCTGTTCAATCTATCGAATATGAAGATAATGAATTAATTCAAATAAATTGTATAAATTTACAATGTTTTATTGAAATTGTTCATAGTAAATGGGATTTATGGTTAATATTAAAGAATGATCTTTATGAACATGTTAGTATGTTTGAGAAATCAATCGATGAAATGTGTGAGGTAAGCAACTATTTGTAAGTTTTGATTGATTTTGCTAAAATTTGTATTAGTGGTTGGTCTGTTTTACAAATATGGATTTAAGTAAGATAAGAAGAAAAAAACATTGAAATAATGGAATTGCTGTGAAAGTTTGTTATTCGTAACTGGAAATCACTAGTAGTCATTAGCTTCTTGAGGATTTCAATGACAACGTTCCAGATAGTAACTGCTTAGTAACATGAATTCGAATGACAGTTTCTTTGAGATCGTAGGTGAATTAATGGTATTCGATGTAAATAAGCATTCATACTGATTGTCTCTAACAACTTTGAAATAAAAGATAGCGCACGCAAAGCTAATTCATTTGGATTTGTACTACACTACGCATTGGTTGGCTGAATTCAATGGTATTAATACGTAGTCAGTACTACATTGAAGTTTACATCAAGAACTGACCCTAGTTAGACAACCATTTAAAACCAGAGTGAGATCGAAAGGTTGTTTGGAGTTTCTCAGCAGTATACACCACGACACTATCAAAGATTGAACCCAGAACCTTCAGTTGTCCAGTGTTTCCTGGTTTGAATGATTGTCTAGATAAGGTGAGTCTCTAATGCAAACTACAAAATCCAACAGTCTTCATTGGTGTGATGTTAGTTGAACCATTGAACAGATTCTAATTCTGTTGTGGCATGTGGTGCCTGATACTGATGATCATTGTTCTGAAAAACCAATCCCACTAGCTACTCGGGTGAAAAAACTAAATTTGAGAGTTTACTGACTGACCAAATCAGAGTGTATATATATCCCTTAAAAAATTAAGCCACTGATGGTTTATGCCACATTCATTAGAAATGAAAACCATGTTTCGGCCAATCATGTGAACTTATCATTTTGACTGCATCACCTCTCCTTCCTAAGAAATAGATTTATCATCTCAGATACAGTTAAAGAAGTTGGGACGAGTGCACCACAAAGTCGTTTTCTTAAAATGTTCGAAATAATCGAAAAAAACTATTTAGTGCTAACCATTTGTTTTCTTTTCCATTCTAGACATTTCCATTATTTTGTTTATTATCCAAAATGGAAAGAATTGAACTCCTAAGTAATTGGGCCATTCCATATTGTGATTATACAGCTCCATTGAAATGTTCTGTTGAGGACTTTATTGATCAAAAACAAAATCGTTATCAGTCTTCTTTAGATACTAATTGTGGATTAGTCAATCTGAATAAATGGATAAAACGTTTATTTCCATATCTGTTAGATTGTGTAATGATATGGTGTAAAGCAGAGAAATGTTGGAAGGTTAGACATAGTGTGATAAAATTATCTATCTATCAATCAATCAATCTGTCTCATTTCTAGCCTATAATAAGACATGGATATCAATTGATCAATCATTATGAAGCATAAGAAGGATGCTTCATTTTGATTTGATAGTCTCCATTAATGGCATATCCGTGATGCCATGTGACTACGAGATTGAAAACTTCAAATCTTGTTACGAGTACGATATTATAATGTCAGGGAATTGTTCTACTCAAGTTCTTATTTCCAAACTCCAAGCACTTTGTAGGATAACCCTATCTTCAGCTAATATTGTTCCTGAGTATCAATGTCATTCAGAACTTCAGTGATTTTATAGGTTACTTGTTATAATAACCAAATGGTATTGGCAACAGTTCAGATACATTTTAATAAGTGAATAAAGCTTAGGAATTACCAATAAATACTTAAATAGTTATAAATTGTCATTAATCACCGTTTTACAGCAATTTTGTTGTATTAAAAACAATCATAAAAATAATGAATACTTATAACTGTGACTAAATTAATAAAGTATGGTAATTATGTAGTAAATGTTCTGTTATCAGAGATGATCTGAACTAGGAAATATACACCTCCGGACAGTTTTATTACTAAATACCAAAGACCGATGACTAACCTAAACAGATGTGGAAAGAAGTAATATGTGTTAATGAACCTAAATACTAATGGCAATGTTTGGTGCTTCGGTATATTGGGATTAATTTGAAAACGGAATCGAGAAGTACTGGATCCCCAACCTATGATATTTAAAAGTAATGCAGTGACTACAAGACTTATAAATCCTGAGTTCATCCTTTGTAGATGCTCACTGCTAGAATGGAGTATCTGCTCAGTGATTCAGTAGTTTTTAACTGAAACTGAGGTGTATCTGATATGTGGCTAATGAGAGTGAATGTGATTGGTTACTGAGTACAAAATGAAAAAAATCAACATACTGACTTATTATTGATTGACTACCATTGATTTCTACTCTAGAGTTCATGGAGTAAAAACTGCTTTGTAACTATGTTGAATAAAGTATTATCTAGTCTATATTCGGGTTTTCTATAATCAGTCATGAATCATATACCTCGTGTAATGTGATGCAGTCTGTGCATAGCGCACCGATTGTACATCTAGTACAGTAGTAGAATAATCTCAAATACTGTCGAATTATTGCTCTATGGTAGTAAGCCCTGGTAAACAGAAAGGCGAGACTATAATTTATGGACGACCTTTGAACGAATCTTAAGTAACCTTGAGAAATATTAGTCAGTCAGCAAACAGATAGTATAGAGTAAAAATATATTATACAAAACCAAAGAAATAAAGTGGATAAACTTATATATGGTTCAGAAACTTGTCAAGGTTAGAAAAAGGTTCTAAGGTTCTAAAATCGTAATGCATGCAGTAGAGGAAATCATCCATACGGCTACAGAATAGTCGGCCCTGGAGCCATGATAAGGTCGCAAAAACTCTTCCAGCCTCGACCACATAGCATCAATATTGTTTGTGTGCACTCCGGGTGTTGAGTATACAAAATGCCACTTGTGGATAATGACACAATGCGCATAACCAAACCTATGTAGGAGCCTGTACTCTCTCGAGTCATCCGTATATAATGTAGTACCTGGCTGCAGCCAGTGTTACTGGTGCTTTTATTATCTAGTTCGCAGTAATTGTCATAATTCGTCTTAGTTAGGAATTATGTATAGGGTTTTTCATCACGAACTGACATCAGCTATAATGCTAAAACTCTATTTAGCCAAATGAATGAGAAAAGTTTGCGACAAAATCCGAGATCTGTTATCTTATACCTGATTGGTTCATCCATAATTTGTAATCTCGCCGTTTTATTTGTCATAGCCGCTCGATTATCAAGTTTTGTATAAAATCATCTGTGAACCAATCATACGTTAGCATTAAGTACTGCAGTTGGCACCATGACCCTGAACTCCCTCTAACGCTTCTGATTGGCCCGTCCATAAATTATAGTCTCGCCGTCCAGTGCTTCCACGTTTTCAATAGTGGTCTAACATTAATCAGTTCTCAAACAAAAACGTAATAATCTCCACAACCCCTATACTGATAATTACCATGTGCTCACTAGTGACTAGCTTCGTGAGGGAATTCTCAGAGTTCTAGTGAGAGGCCGTGACCAGTGAAATTAATCCATATCAGGTAGAGACAGGTATCTACCTCAGCACAATGGAAGATGGTCGCGCAATTTCGTGGATTGGTTGAGGTTAGACATTAACACTATTGGATGCTGGCTCAGTGGTCCAGTAGGTTAAGCGTCCTTCCAGGTTTTCAGTGGCGGTCTAACATCAATCATTTCGCGATCTCAATCAAGAAAATAAATCTGTTCATCCGTTATATCGATATCAGTCTGAGAAAAAAGAAACTTTGAAGTAATTTTATACACACTCATATACAATTTTATATTTTATTATTATTATTATTTAGATTACTGGAGTCATTAATGAATTCCATCAACATATTGAACTATTAGATTCACTTAAATGGATTCCATCAATTAATCAATGGTTTACACAATTTTATTCAACATTACAATTAACATTCTTAAGAATGACATTGAATTCCTTGTTAAATGTCGAAGGAAACAACAAATGGATAAATGAGTCCATCAGAAAGAAACAATTAATACCTGTCATTATTTTAGAATTAACTATACGAATTATGAATTGGCAAAAATTAGAGAAAATTATAATAAAAGAAGATCGAAAAGATGAATTCGTTAAAATAATGTAAGTGATTATTTAAAACTATACTGTTCAATTTTCAATAATAATCATATATAACTATTTTTTATATTAATCTGTGTATATATGTGGGTTGATTTAATATCTTTCAGTAAGTATTAATCTTTTAGATCATTGACTTATTATTCATGGTTATAGGTTAGGTAAAACAGGAGGATTCATGGGTAACATTTAGTCTGTCAAAAACAACGTAGAACATCGTACGTACGTACATCAGTTCGAGTTGCCACACCACATTAGCACAGAGATACAGTGGTCGATTCAAATCCCGTAGTGGTAGAGGTAATAAGAGTATGAGTAGTAATAGGAAAGATTAAGGTTTGAAGATGTTATTCAACGAGTATAATCCAGTGAAATAAATTTGGAAAGAGAAAAAAAGAAAGGACATGAAGGATTCAGAAGATTATGATTTAGGAAAATACAAAGAGTGGATTCACATGCTCTATTGCAAACGATTTTCAGTCATGTCATTCAATGTCTCTAACCATTGATTGATATCATCTTGCAGATTGCAATCAGGTAGTCTACACCTATCAACATGACTCAGTCCACTTGTTAGTGACTTCATGGATTTGTAACGAGTTTTGATCTGGCCGCCACTAGCTTTCTTCCAACCTACTCCTACATCATCGGAGCAGTTGGTGGTTGGTCATACGTAACACGTGTCCGAGCAATTTCAACTGATGTAGTTTCAATACTTCATCAATTGATTTGCCATCCTTTTCTGGTACCCGTTTCCTAACAACTGCATTATTTACTCGGTGGTCCCAGGATATACGAGCAATATTTCGAAGACACCTATGATCAAATACTAGTAACCTATGAATATCCTCTACTCTTACCGACCATGTTTCACAACCTTAAAGGAGGACGGAACGAACTGCTGCTCAGTAAACCCGTACTTTGTTTGGTAGACGGATATCTCGCCTACGCTATAAATGATGCAAGTTGGCAAAAGCCAGTCGAGATTTCATCACAAATCAGACGACAAGGGCTGATGAGACTCTCAAGATAAGTGAAGCGGTAGACACGCTCAACTCTTTCACTCCCTATCATTAGTTTAGGTGTCGATACAACCCAATCGTGAAGTAACATTTTGGATTTTGAGGAGGAGAATCGCATACCGAACATGTTTGCATTGTTGCTTATAGTGGTCAGAAGACTCTGCACTTGTATGTTCGGACTACTGAGAATTTTCATATTAGAATGAAATAAGTTCTAAGTATTTTTGTATTTTCATTTGTACCTTAACTTATGTCAGTTCTTGATAGGAACCACTTATAAAATGACTACACTATCTTATCTATTTATTATTAATGAATCATCCGATTTTTGAAAATGATCTGTAATTGGTGAGTCTTGTACAATTCCCACTTTTAATTTCAGTTATAGATAAGCAACTTAAGTAGTTGGCAAAGTGTGGATCAATCCAAGTTACTACACGTCATTAACAACGTGAAATAAAATTAGCGAAAGATGAATATCAGGTCAAAGGAAGTAGTAGCGGTATCAATGATAATGAAATAAATCTTGGGAATAGAGTATACGGTTTCAGAAAAATGACTAAATTCGTGTATGAAATAATATTAGAAATTACAATCCGGGAGTTGAGTAAAAGGGAATAAAAATGATTTATTTGAATTGATTTTGGTCGCTTTTAGCGATATCTCTAAAGTAACATATTAGGACTTAGTATAATGGTTCCATGCAATTTTCATACCTATCTTTCGGAATAAATGTGATTTCTTTTAGTAGGCGCTAAAACTTTAGATCACTGAAATGATATTCAAGGTTATGGGCTGTATGACATTTGGATTTTTGAAGGCTGCTGGTTTTTTACTGGAAAATACTTCCCTGAGAATGACCTTAACAATCATTTAATTATTTACAGAGATAGATAGTGACTAACAGTGGAATCCAGTTTGACGCGCGTTTCGTCCTAGGTGGGACTCGTCAGCTGGACGTACCTGAATCCCAGAGTTGATGTTCACTTCAAGACTCAAACCCAGTACCATTCACTTTAAACGCCATCACACCCAGAACTCAGCCACTGAGTTCTGATAGCCACCAGGTTGTACGATGGGACGAAGTTTTAATTCATCCAGCTGACGGGTCCTAAATTGGACAAAACGTGCATCTTGGATTCCACTGCTTAGCCACCATCCATCTTTGCTAATAATGCTTGTGAACTAAGGCAATACCGCCAATAAAAATTTCATGTAGTTTTTATAAAGATCAAATTCTTATTCAAGTGAATATTTTTACTCATATATGTCATTTCACTTGTAAGTTAAATTCCTTTTACAAGTTTCTTTGAAGAGGGAGATTTATTATGAATACAGTGATCTTGAGTGCTGCTAGCGTTATGAGGGCAATTATCACTTTCCGGCTTCCCACACCGTGGAAGAGTTCTTCTGGAGATACCTGTGAAGGAAATTGGGTTAGGCGTGATCTTAGTGACCTGAGAACGTGACCATAGTGCACAGGAGACAACTGCTTGAGGTCGGTCATAAACGACCTTTTTGTGAGTAATTTTCTTGTTAGCTCCGTACTTATTGGAACCTTATCGCCAAAGACGGAAGTCCATAGGTAAGGAGAGATGTGCATTTTTTAGAGTCGACCTTTTCTAATCCCACCCCTCCTTGTGGGAAGGCAGCATCGCTGTCATGCTGGTTGTGTGAAGGAAACACCTTACTACCGTCATACGTCTGTACAGTCAGCAGTACGACTTCGTTTTAGGACCTTAGGTTCGTTAGTGTTTTGGAACTGTTTATTTTAAAATATTTTAGTAAATGAGCAATGTTTCGATTTATTTCTGCAATATAGAGAACAAATAAGATTGTGCTGATAGATAGGATGAGAGAAATGATTATTAAATAGCCACCTATTCAAATAGTCTAATTCAGATGTAAGATCATTAACAATAATAGGAAACAAATTGGTAATCAGTAGAAAAAACCCAAATCCAAGAATGTTTAAGTTTCTTTTACTATCGTTCTTGAGATGTTACAGTTTCATAATGTACTTTGTGGGTAAATATTTATTACAGCAATCATAAATCAATGTAATCCTAATGTGTTAAATCACAAGTATTTGAGTGTTTTTATAAAAAAAATTGATTCAACAGTTAAGATCATGAGTCAATTGAAGCTAGACCACCATGGAAAATCTGGAAGCACTGGACGGCCTTTTCGTTCTGTTGTGGGACTTATCAGCAGTGCGCATCCACGATGCCACCCAGGACCTATCAGTCTGGTGCCAGGCGCTTATTTCTATTCTTTTGAACATTATAATAAGTTATACGAGTCACTCTTTCAAGAGGTTCTTTCTATCTGTTTTGTCTAATCTGAAGCTCAAATTATGCAAAAATATTTCATACTGATCAATTTCTTCGGTGATCTAAGAGATAGTGATCAAATAAAGAAACTGGAGAGATTTTATTTAATCATTTCTTCTTTTTAAACACTTTAATTTGATTTTTTTTTTCGATAAGAGAATACTTCGAAGAACAATTAAATAGTGTTATTGAACCATTGAAAACTATTCCATTTATTTATGATAATCAATTCAGTTCAAGAATCGATCAGTTAACATGCCAAATGTTGATTGGAACAATTTTGGGATTTATTTATTTAATACAAGGTAATGCTAATTTTTTCATATTACTTACTTTACTTACGCCTGTTACTCCTAATGGAGCATAGGCCATCGACCAGCACTCTCCAACCCACTCTGTCCTGGGCCTTCTTTTCTAGTTCCATCCAATTCTTGTTCATTTTACTCATGTCTGTCTCCATTTTCCGGCGTAATGTGTTCTTTAGTCTTCCTCTTTTCCTTTGGCCTTGAGGATTATATGTGAGGGCTTGTCTTGTGACGCAGTTGGGTGTTTCCCTCAATGTGTGTCCTATCCTCTTCCAGTGCTTCTTCCTGATTTCTTCCTCCGCTGAGATCTGTTTTGTTCTCTTCCACAGCAGGTTGTTGTTAATAGTGTCTGGCCAATTTCTTTCATATTCTGTGTATAATTTTTTAAAAAATTTATCCCATGCGTCGTATAGATGTTTTTCCATGTCAGTCATTTCAAAATAACACATGATGTCACACAGTAGATTATGATCTACTCAATTAGTTGTCAGGATCTGTACATTGCAATATATGGTAATTCCTTCTTGCAGTCAAATGTTAATCTCATACGATTGTAAAATTATTTCAATGTATTAATTAGTTTCCTTTACAATTGATTGATCACTAGGTGGTAATCATTATCATGTATGTCAGGTCCTTCTTAGTGCAGATCGAATCCTATCGACCAAGTTGAAATGTTGCCACCAGTCTAGGTGATACGACATTACTTCTACTGGTTTACTATGATTCACAATTAAGACTATTAATCAACAAAAATGTTCATTTTAAACAAATTATTAATTCTTACTATTTGTTTGACATTGTTTATGAGGTGTCCTGTGAATTGAATAACGTGTTGTGATTGCATTCTTATACATGTTTTTTTTATCATAATATTAACAATTAAATTGTGACTATGTAAGTGAACGACTTTATCATCATGGACTGTTATTCTAATCCATATCGATAATTCTATTGATTACAAATTAATTTTCTGGCATTCTCGAAACATTTTCAACAAAGAATTTCGAGAAATACGCAAATGATGAACCCTGTCAAGGTTACAAATTAGAACCGAAGTCATCAGAACGGAACAGATTATTTGTGAAAATTATATTTGAACAGATTATTACCTGTAGAATAATCAAAATGCTCATTTCTGTTTGAATTAGGCACTGATATCTAGAACGACAATGAAAGCTTTGCAATTGAACTATCCCGTTCATATATATAAACTTTGGAGATAAATGGAACTATTTATTAATACTAAAGTCAAAAAAAATTTATAAAGAAGATTTGCCTGAATATACAATAACTTAGAGTTATCAGTATGAGGTTGTAGAGATTGTTGAGTTTTCGATTGAGATCATGAATCGATAGATGTAAGACCATCGTTGAAAACCTGGAAGCACTGGACGGCCATTTCTTCTTAATATGAGACTCCTCGGCAGTGCTCATCCATGATCTTACACTCAGGATTCGAACCCAAGATGAAACGGCTATCTAGTGCTTTCAGATTTTTACTGGTGGTCTAGCATCAATCGATTCATGGTTTCAATTAAAAACTTATAGGTACTTAATTTTTCTGATACCTCTATAAGGAATTGTTTTATCGGTGTGTTATTATATACTGTAAACATATGAACTAATCAATTAAATATATTTGAATTCTTTGTGAGTATAGACTTGAGAAAAGAGTCAAATTTAGACGAGAATAATTTTATCTGGCAACGGTTAATTAAAACACAACTTATCAGTTCAATATTAAATCCTGAAAGGAATGAGTACTTTTCGAATGAATTAAATGAGTACAATGATATTCCAACAATTGGGATCAAACAATTTTCAACAATTCATCCTTATAAATGGGATAATCAAAGTTTACTAATCAATAATAACACATTATATATACCGTTATTAAATACTTCACAAGAATTAATTCAACTTGGATCAGCGTTGAATAATCATGAGGTGAGAGATTTGGAAAATATATAGAGGTTAGAGGTCTATAGGTTAAGTGCTCGGTCGCCAGACTGATAGGTCCTGGGTTCGAATCACACAAGGCGGGATCGTGGATGCATATTGCTAAGTAGTCCCACAATAGGACGAAACGGCCGTCCAGTGCTTCTGGGTTTTCCATAATAGTCTAGCTTCAATTGACTGATGATCTCAACCATTGAAAAATATATATTTATTTGATATAATACGATTGAATAGTAATTTTTGAAAAAAAATAAACATGATCGATTCATTGTGATGCATTTTACGTGAAACTCAATCATACTACTTACAATTATTTCCAGTTCCTCTAATATTACACATTTAATTAGTAAGTAGTATTTGAACAGTTACTTTCAAGATGAAGAGGTAGTTTATGCGGATATTAACACACTAGCTTTATTAGATCACTGAGTTAGTGTTACGCTGGGCTAGATTACCGAAATTCGCTTAATTCGTAGTATAGTACGATAACAAAATCAATGCTGTAAATAATATCTGTTTCACATCAAACATGACCAAGTCTCACAGGTTACAACTTTCCACTATTCTTATACTGACTTCAACGGGTTCATATTTTTTTTTTGAGGCTTGAATATATTTTTTCTGTCTGTATGACAAGCTGTTTTAATTAAACATTAGTAACACTACTTACTATGTCAAATAAAATTATAGCTTATACTAAATTACAGAAATATAAATATTACATTTAAATGAGCTTTAACAGCAAAATTTTTGACAATTCAATAGGAAATCATTATTATTTGTAATAAAGGATTAATATTTCGATCAGGTTACTTTATCCAGTATATTCTATTTGATAAAATGTTTTCATAATGCAAAAATCGTCATAAAAGAATGTTCAGGAATAAAGATACTCAGTATCAATGCCCTGGTATGGCCGAGGGTATGGTGAATCCGCTCTCCCTCTCGAAATGCTCTCACATGGCCACGCGTATAAAACCACTCCCAGGGAAGTCCTACTCACTGCTTTCTCGTGGTGAGGGTGTTGTTTACCAAATTGAGAGGACGAAAATCCAATGTCCGTTTCTCTGACTAGGTTGGTGGACACGAAGAATCCACCTAGGGGAGTTAGAAAACCCTGATTCCAAACCAATGTTGCACATGGGCTCCAGGATCTTGAGGGGACGAATGGCATATGAACCTGTTGTTGGTCACCGACTACCATGAGACTGCACTGCCTTGTGGATCAAACCTTCGGGTCGAAGGCTCCGGGTGTGGCCTCCTAAGAGAACCACCTGATTTGGTTTTGGCACCCGAGCAGTATTACAGCCCTCACACAAATGAAATGGGATTTGTGTGGCGCATATGTATTTAGTGAATCCTTGTACCAATATCTATGTGTTCAAATAGAAATAAAAATAAAGTTTTTGATCAGGATAATCTCTGTTGTTATGTGTGCATTCTGAGTAGATTGACTCGATGTAGAGATATTTCACCAATAATGGTATATTTTATTTGTTTCGTTGAGTTGGAACACCAAAATATCCACCTTAGTGTCTTTCTTCTTGGTTTAAGCTACCTACCTGTACATTTAAGTCACTTGGTATGAACCAGTTGTTGGCCACCGACTACCATCGGACTGCACTGCCTTGTGGATCAGACCTTTAGGTCGAAGGTCCCGGGTGTGGCCTCCTAAAATAATCACCTGCTCCGGTCTGGACACCCAAGCAGTATCATAGCCCACATAAAAATCAAGTGACTTGTGTGGTGCATATCTATTCGGTGTAACTTTTTACCAATATTTTTGTATCCAAATAAATAAAATATTAACTGAAGGAATACTGTAATGATTGTCACCAGTCTGATATAATGTAATACTTGTTCATACTCAAATCGGATAGGTAAGTTAGTTAGTAGAGATGTTCTTTAAGAACATGTTCAGCTATCTTTCTGATTATTCTTAAATTCAGCTTTTTAGAATTTGCCTCTTATCAATCATCATCAGTCAAGTTTTATTCTGTTATTAAAACTGGCTCATGATTCAGTATTCTGTATTCAAATCATCAGCTTCTATATTCATATGTCGTCAAGTATTTTAAATGTTGATTGCAAATTTTAGAAAAAAAACTTAAAATAATACAGATTGACATTTAATTTTTAATATGAAGTTGTGATCTGTTCGGGTTTAATGATATTGTGTGTAAGTCATTTAACTACCGACAACCTTTCATAATTATATCATGTCAAACAGATGATTGAGTAAGTTTGCAAATGTGGATATATGGCAACTAACGCGTCAGTCCAAGAGTAACATGTTTAACATAATATCTAAATGTTGTAGGCTTTTTGTCATGTGGAATTGTGGTTGCATACTACTTTGCTTTGACCAAACTGTTACTCAACGTTTATGTGGGTTTTAATGAGTATTAGGATAATTTTAATTCATGATGAAAACTATTCTTCAATTAAAAGCTTTACGTAATCTAGGCTTTTATCTTGCTTAACCACTATTCGGGTACTGAAAATCGATTAAAATAATCTTCAGTGGTTATACTTTGATTCATAATATCTGTTTAAGTAAGAAGAAATGAACATCTTGGTTGATCAGTTGTGATAAGACTAAAAATAATCATCATAAAAGATCGATCTCTTGTGTGAGGAACTAATATCGACTGGGTGGAATAATCATTTTTTTTAGTTTAATACTGTTGGTGCATTGTTTTTTTAATAAATTAAGTTATTGAATGTATCCTAAGCATCTTGTTGATAGGCGTCACAATGTAATTTCGATAGCTGCTTACCTAGTACATAATCAGTGCTGATGTGTTGATTTATGTAATGGTTGGAAAAAGTCCTGTGTTTCCCTATCAGTTCTGGTCAATTCATACTTATATTTAAAAGAATGTACAATTGTTTTCAATAATGTTACTATGAAATAAAGATATTTTCAGTAAAACAAAGTAAATTATTCAATTGTTTTGCTTCATTTCAAAGTTTGGACTATTAATTGGATCATTTGGAAGTGGTAAACAGACAATAATTCGTCAACTTGCTTTTTTACTTGGTCGTCGTCTTATAGAATTTTCATCTAGCATCTTCAATGATACATTTGAGAACACATTAAAAAATGATATTCTTAGTTGCATACGAATTGGCTGTTTATTTTCAATAATGAATATGCATGTAAGCGGTTTTTTTCATTCAGAGTGAATTCTATTTCCTATAAGTTTATTCATGGTTTTTTCTAAAAAAATCAGTTAACTGAATACATTCAGAGGTCATATTAAACTGCTACTGGGAATATTACACTCATTCTATCGACCAACTTTTGTTGATAAAGGTTATGAGATTCGACGGTTTATCATGGTTTTGAATGATTAGTACCAGTTCGTTGATAAACGGTTATTAGGCTGTAGAGGTATAAGTAGATCTTAAATATCATTAGCAACACTCGACATGGTACATTTAAATGAATTGACGACTAGGTAAAGAATTTATATTATTGAAAATGATATATTTGTGCATAAAGGATTGTGAAGATTGTTGGATTTCATTGAGGTGATGAACCGATCAACATTAGACTACCATTGTAAATATGCGTTTGAAAATGCGCACTAATGAGGAGTTACATACCTGAACAGAACGGCCATCCAGTGCTTCCAGTTTTCCAACAGTGATATGAATTAGAACGGTTCATGAATTCAATAATATATTTGTGATGATTTGAAAATAAAATGGATTTCTAACGTCTAGTAACTTCATAAAAATAAGACAAACAAGCATGTCAGATCACGTAAATGTTGTGTCAGTCGGAGAAAATGCGATTCCATGTAAAACATGTCTTTGTATATACGTGTGAATGTGAAAAAAAATAATGAGTAAATTTAATGAGTTTATTTATAGCTGTGGTATGATCTTAAATAACTTAACTATGACATTGAACAAATGAATTAAAACACAATTATATGAACGAAGAATATTCTTTTTAATGGTGAGGAAGATTTGTACCTCAGGTGGATGATTTTGATGAAGTTTAGTTCTCTGAGCTGGATGTTTCTTTCCAATAATTTCTCATCAAGTTCTACAATTATCTCATGTTCAAATTAATAATCCATAAAATTGTTCAGATTTAAGGCAAAGTACATCATCTGTAATCATAACATGTGAACCAAGGATTGTTGTTTGTTACATCAAATCAAATCAAATAGTTGATGTTAGCGTTGACTAATATAATAAGTGGAATGAAATTGTGAGGTAAATGATCAATATGGGGTGCGTGAGAGAATAATGTAATTACAAATCAGAAATTACGTAATATGTAGGATAATATGAATAAAGTCAGATATGGTAGATGGGATTGGATGCTGAATAAATTCCCCAAAAAGGTTAGCGAGTGTAATAATAATAATAATAATAATAATAATAATAATAGCAATGGTATTATGTGTGGGTAAGTTTGGGATATAAGAATGAACACTAATCAAATTACGTCACTATATTATAAAATTGATTATTAACTAGTTGGCACCGAAATTGACCAGGGTTAAAGGAACGGCTGAACATATTTCTTTTGGATGCAAAGCTCTGGCTTTTTGATTCGAATAGCAATTGCTTCAGCCGTCTGTAGGATATCTTAGTCTGACAGAATTAGGTAGACTGCCGTTAACATAATATATTATTGCGAAGGATTGCTCCATGTTGGCTGTATGTCCCGTCTGAATTAAATGGTCTAAACTGGAGCTGTTAACCGAGTGTTTCAATCAAGTCCGTATGGTTGATACAAAGGATAAACGTTTCGTCCACATACCAGCAGTAAAATGAAAACTTGTCGATCTGTTGTGCCAATGGGCCGTTTTCTAGTTTAGAGAGAAAAATGTCGGTCAATATGGGACCTAGGAGTGAACCCATCGTGACATCATATATTTGTCTACATATTTCACCATTGGATTTGAAATGGACTTTCTCTCTCACATTCCATGTTGACCATATTTATTCTGATCATTATTTATCTCACAATTTCATTTCACTTATTATATTAGTCAACGCTAACATCAACTATTTGATTTGATTTGATGTAACAAACAACAATCCTTGGTTCACATGTTATGATTACAGATGATGTACTTTGCCTTAAATCTGAACAATTTTATGGATTATTAATTTGAACATGAGATAATTGTAGAACTTGATGAGAAATTATTGGAAAGAAACATCCAGCTCAGAGAACTAAACTTCATCAAAATCATCCACCTGAGGTACAAATCTTCCTCACCATTAAAAAGAATATTCTTCGTTCATATAACTGCGTGTTAATACAAAGGGAGTTTTTTAGTGAATAAATAAATTAACTCCGTTATGCAGCTGGACGTTTTTCTACGAAATGAAGTATTATATAGTAATGTAATTAATCGTTCAGATATTCATATTTTCTTATAGTTGGATAAGTGTTTTCAAATTACCTATACAGTTTTAAGATCATGCTTATAGTTATTAAAATTATCCAATCATTGGTATTTTGACTGAAATATGATTGATCTTGGTTGGAATATGTGCATTATGCGTGAATTTCTTCAATATAACGATCATTACACAATTTAGTATAGAATAGATTGAATGTGGCTAGCAGTGGGATCTTTGACGCATGTTTAATCGTAACCGGGTCTCGTCAGCTGTATGCATCTGTATCTTAGGTTTGATTTTCACTCCAGGACTCTTACCAAGTATTAGCTGGTTATATACTAACCCGGACTGATCAAATTTCAATCTAAATATTGGCAGCGAGGTAATCCAATTCACTACAAATTGAATTAAAAATCATTTCCGTTACACCAGAAGTTTTTTAACCAGATTTATTTCTAATTGGATAACGGGTTGGAGTTTAAAACGAATGATACTAGGCTCGAGTTCAGGTGTGAACATCAACTCTGAGATCCAGGTACATTCAACTGATGAATCCCAAGTAATACAAAACACATATCCTGAATTCCATATTCTTTCTCTTCTACGTAAACTGTCGTGTTTGAGTTTGTTCTCTAAGTTATACATTGTTGTTAACTATTGAATATCTAGAACTGGTATGAAGTATTTTTAACATTTTTTCTATAACAAAGAACTTAAAATGTGGAGAATTGGAAATCGTGATAAACTGTTTGAATGAAGTTCGGAAATGTAATTTTATGAGCAACGGTCGGATCCAAGTGAGTTTATTCAACTATTTTACTGAGTTATTTATATGTTTCGTATTAGTTTAAGACTTTACAACTATATTCACTCAATACATCACATGATATTGAGCTCAAGACATCAAATATTAGGTATTTTCTATTGCACTAAAATTGGAATTCACTGTCATCCGCATCTAATTTCTTCATCAATGAGTAAATACTATACTCTCAACTGGTTGACTTCTCGAATTATATTGTCTAAGATTAATCAATTTTACTACTACTGATTCTGTTACTAATTCTGTTATTATTATGGGTTCTCTATTGATAGTTTCATCTGACTGTGTTGATATGATGTGAGAACCGATGTAAATATGTGTTAGTTTTTACATTGTTTATAATTGCCTGACTAATTTATCGCAGCTTTCTACTAGAACAAACAAGCTGTTTAATGTCTTTTAGTTGTCAACCGATTTTCGTTACGGAGGTTATTTGAAAAGGAGGAAATAATCACTGCTTGTAGATTAGTACAACTCTTTTCTTTGACTTAAATATAAAAATATACTGTATTAAACAGGCTCAAATTCAACTTACTATTCCCCCCTCCAATTTTGTTAAATTTCTCTGACCGCTTCTGTTCCTATACAAATGATAATTTTTCAGAAGGGGTTTTGTGGAGATTTTTAGAAATTTCAATAGTTGAAATCATGAGTCGATTGAAACTTGATCACCATGGAAAGCTTGAGAGCACTAGACGACCGTTTCGTCTTATCTTGGGACTCCTCAGAAGTGTTCATCCACGATCCCGCCCAACGCCAGATTCCAACTCATGATCTATCAGTCTCGCGCGCGAGCTCTTAACCATTAGACCACTGAGCCGGCCGGTATCCAACGGTGTTAATGTCTAACTTCAATCAATCCATGAAATTGCGCCATCGTACACCAATGTCTTCAGTGAGTTGATATCTCACAACAGACCTGGTTGAACTCCATTGGTAACGGCTTCTCACTAGAACCTCACGAAATGTCTATTGAAGTCAGTCACTGATGAGTAGATGATTATTATCAGAAAGGGTTTTGTGGACATTTTTAGGAACGGTGTTAACTTCGTGGATTGGTTGAAGTTAGACATTAAAACCGTTGGATACCGGCCGGCTCAGTGGTCTAATGGTTAAGCGCTTGTGCGCGACACTAATAGGTTATGGGTTCGAATCTGGTGGTGGGTGGATTTGTGTGTGCGCACTGCTGAGGAGTCTCATACTAGAACGGAACGGCCGTCCAGTGCCTCAGGTTTTCTATGGTGGTCTAGCTTCAGTTGATTCATGATTTCAACTATTGAGATAATTTTATAGAATAACTTTGTAATACTTAACTGTTTAATTAATTTCTACAACCCTTTCTTTTCAGTTTGCAGATTTTACAAAGAATCTTCAACAATCTATTGAGAACATTGATAAAAATAGTAAGCATTTACTTTGATTGTTCAACAAAATGTAGTTTTCTCCCTCTTTAACTTGTTGAAACTACCCCATATTACAAATAAAATGGAATATTTAAATTAAAACATATGTAGCTATTTAAAACAGCGTAATAGATATATTCATCTTGAATATGTGATGAGATTATAGAAATACTACTTAAATTACAAGTTTGTTTTGGAGATTTATATCTTATATTAGTTAAGACCTACTATAAAGTTGCATTTACGGCGACTGTTATAATCTGCTATCTAAATTGATATTCAATAGATAAACAAACGTGTTTTAAGGGAAAAACTGTAGAAATTGTCAAATTATAACATTTGTCAGTCCCTGAAATTATTAAGATCATATTAGAAAAGTGTTAGCTATTTGACAATGGTCTATCCTTCATAAATGAAGATCATATGCAATGTGGTCTAAGAAACCTATTATAATGACCATCTGATTGGTTTATTCGAAAAAAACCCAGTTTTACAACTTCACTCAAGACGACAATAATCGTTACTAAAAAAATGCATGAAAATAAAACTAATCATCAAACTGTTACTAGGTTGAAGTCCATTACATACTTATTTGTTAGTATGTCAACAACCTTTCAGTGACAAATTTTATCCTAGTTGATAATTATAATAGAAAAGTCATTGTATCTTTGAGCTCAGGTTTTTGTAAGTTATACTGATATACACTAAGCTAGATAGCAATAAATTATTTGAGTGGGACACTTAGTTACCTCCTCAATTTCTCACATTTTTGAGGCCCTGTTTTTATCAAAGTAAATTCATGTAAGATTTATTGCTATTGACCCAAGAAGACTGGTGTAAACAAATATTATACAATTATATGCAGATTTAAAAATAACGTAAACATTTAACGCATTGAAAGAATTTAGGCGGGAAAAATGGAATACCACATTCGAAAATGACAAAGTAACCAGCAATGAGCAAAGTTTCGTTGATACAGCTACTGACTGTGTTTTATATCACTAAAAGTCTTTCAATATGGATCTCTATTAAGTTAAACAAAATCTAAATCAAGAAAAATCGACACTTATATGGTTTAATGAAATATTTATTAATTTCATGTCTTAGTTTAATAACACTCATCTTTTACTTAAACTGTCTATGTCTTAGCCAGGATAGAATGATGTTTAAAAGTTAATTGACCTGTGCTGAAGAATATCTTTGAACTTATTGACACTATTTGTTTGTTACATTCATAACACCATGGATAACCTGGAACCCCCAGATGGCCGTTTCGTCCTATTATGGGACAACTCAACAACGATCCGGCCTCACGAGATTCGAATCCAGGACCTATAATAAGACGAAACAGCCGTCCAGTGCTTTCAGGTTTTTCATGGTAGCCTAGCTTCAATTGATTCATGACCTCAACTATTAAAAATTACTATAATATCCACAAAACACTTTCGGATACATTCATTAACAATTAATTTTCCAGGTCACAAGTTAATCATTTATCATTCTAATCAATATATTTCTGAACCGAAACAATGTTTATTTAATCAAAGTATTAGAATCGATTGCAGTTTTGGATTATTCGGTACATATGATTCTCGAAATTTTCAAAATCTGCCAAAAGTACAAAAAGTAAGAAACATTTTTTCTTTTTTTTTTCTAAAATGGTTATTTTGTACTTCTTGCTTTCAGATGAAATTGTAATATCATTTTATCATCTCTGTACTGAAGTTATACTAAATATTCAACTTTGATTTAAAGGAAGTTGTTTGAAGCTTAGATTGTGGTATACCATTGAATCAAAGTTAAATGTATATACATAGACAGAAATATGTATACTGGTGATCGCTATACCAGTCTATTACGACTGGTGACTGACGATAGAGTTTCGTTCCTATTCTCCATAAATATTGCCTAGTATGCTCTAAAGTAAATAAAATAGTCATGTAATCCGCGCAACTTCAACTAAAATGTCTTAATAATTCATATTGAATGCATGAAACGCCCTTTGTGCTCATTTTTCCATATCTGGAACTCATTCTCTAGATGTATCTTGAAACCAGGGTTCATTTCCACACTGGGACTTGGATACATTACGCATAAATTTAAACATCAACGAGTTATCGTCTAAGCTACTCAGTTCAGATTGTTATTTACTTTTTCAATAAATATGAATTATTTTAAAGCGTTTGAATTTTCCAGTTATTTATGGTATGGATTGCAATTCTTTGACCTCTGTTGGCCTAAGTGTATGTTGATAGAATTGTTTTGATATTGTCATTTAGTCACAAGGTGTAGTTAAGCTAGTTTACAGTCAACGGAAAACTACAAACTCTTTCTCATTGAGGCCGGATAGTATAAAAACGTTTTCAGTTACTTTGTCTTTAAAGCATATTACCATGTTGAATCGTTTCAATAAACTATTTAAATGGTTCATTCATCCTTTATTCAAATCCTTAACATTATATACTTTGTGAATTTTCTTTTTTACAGCTTTCATTTCGTAATATAACCATTGAATGGCCAAATTATTCATTTATTATACAATGTCTTTTCAAATATTATTTACCTGAATATCAAAGTTCATCAATAAAGTATCGACTAGTCAGTTTGTTGAATAGATCTTTAACATATTTTACAAATGAATCAGTTCTTCATCATAAACAAACAAATACCTACTATTTGTCACTTTCAACTATTATCAAAACATTTGAATATGCTAAACAATTTTGGTTAGAAAAATTTAATCATCTTCAAGATATACGTAAACATACTGCACTCAAATCATTAGTAATATTGAGAAAGGAAGAAGATAGATTAGCTGAAATTGCAATACGATATGGATTATTTAAAGCTTATAGAATAAATTTATCTATGGATTGTATTAAAGATAATTTCAAGAAAGTTGTATTACAATCCAGCTTAGATTTTGATTGGTCATCAACCATTGAGCAATATTTATCTTTAAATTCTGCATTACCTTTCATGTCTAGTAATGAAGAATGTTTAAAATGTGATAATCATCTGTATCCAAAAGTTTCATGGGAATTTATTTATCGATTGTTAAGAGAAATGTATGTACGTAATTTAGAAATAGTTAATGGTCAGTTAATAAAGGTAAGTGTATACGTATTTTGATTATCTTTGATTGATTACTTTGTCGTAACCATTATGCTAGATAAGGTCATTAACAATTCATGTATCATTTTTTTGTCATCTTGTGGCAATACCTGTTTTCCATCGTCTTTAATATTATTTCAAAAAAATCATTCGTAGAAATTTTCATAAATCAAGATTTCCAACTGCTGAAGAGTCCCACAATAGGACGAAACGGCCGTCCAGTGCTTCCAAGTGGTCTATCTTCAATGAACTCATTATCTCAACTATTGATATTATTACAATCTCCACAAAGCCCCTTCTGATTTCCAACTGCCTTTTTAACATCAAAGTTTTATAGAAATCTTGTGGAAATTCTAAGGAAAATTATAGAATGAATATCAAATTTCGTTTTTATCGAGATAGTGTATTAAAGAAAATAACTCTTTATAAGTCACTCACCAATTTCAGAAATCGTCTTAAAGAATGAATGAACAGTATAGGGTCAGAAAAAAATGTAGAAGAATAAAATGAAGAGTTTAACGTCGGATGATTTTCAGGAATGTTTTAAACAACAGAAATAGAGAGCAGATAAGCAACAGACTTCCAACGAATTTTTTGAAGCAGATAAGACTGAAATATTGTTAGTGTTTTAAAATAAACTATTTATGATATAAGTTCGAGCATACATTCAAAATATTAGTGCAGATATCTGGAATTTCGTTTGTTTTTAGTATGACTTCGCGACAAGCCTATTTTTTCCTTTGTGGGATATGACTTGATAAACGGTTTTACTCATTTTCTTACACCATGTAAGATTAAATCTAACGAGTTTTTATTGTAATTCTATAACACTGTTTAATAGAAGCATCTTCTATGAAAACACGTTTACAAGTGAAAAAAGATCAATATACACCATGTAAATTATGATTATAATCCTAATGCGGATTCGAAAAACTCGTTTAGCTTTTGCCAACGTACGTCACCTATGGCGAAGGAGAGATATCCGTCCATCAATAAAAGGACGAGTATACTGCGTGGAAGTCCGTTCTGTTCTACTTTACGGCAGCGAAACATGGCCATTAAGAGTAGAAGATACTCGTAAGCTACTAGTATTTAACCACAGATGCCTTAGAAATATTGCTCGCATTCGCTGGGTTCACCGGGTAAGTAATAGTGAGGTCCGACGCAAGGTATTAGAGAATGATGGTAAATCAGTTGATGAGGTTGTGAATCTTCATCGACTGAGATAGTTGAGCCACGTGTTATGTATGCCTGAACACCGATTACCACGACGTGCGATGCTAACCGGTGTTGGAGATGGTTGGAAGAAAGTTAGGGGCGGCCAAACCAAAACGTGTCATCAATGCTTGAAGTCACTAACTTCTGGTGTGAGCCATGTTGGTAGATGCAGAATAATTGGTTTGGGTCCGCATGACTATCGTAACCAATGGTTGGAGAGTCTTGGTGACATTTCTCAGAATCGATCACAATGGCGTCGTTGTATACACACTCTGTCTTCCTTTAAACTAAGAGATTAAAATCACCTCAGATCTTTCTTTCTATGAACTAATTCTTTCTTCCTGTACTATGTCCTTATATGCAATCTCTCATTTATATATTACCGCCACTGAATTAATTACTTCTATGAATTCGGTGTTCATCTTGTTATGCTAATGAGATATGACAACTTGAATCGATGTACATATGTTCCTGGCTGACTGACTGACTAATGCATTGAAACTGCTTATATGGGTTGCAATGAATAATGTATTTTTTAGAATTGCTTTCTTTGAGCTGGATTGTATGATTGAAAAGTTTCGATTAACTTTCTAGGTGACATCGTCAGTGTAAAATTTATATAAAAATTAGCTATTTTAATTTGTCCATATATGACTGGGAACTTACTTTGTCGACCTTGAATTTGATAGGTGATCATTTATGCTTGTCCCATATTTTGTGTACATAGTTATCTTGATTATAATCTTCTTTTACCTGAGATGTGAATTATATGTAAATAAACTTAAATAGCACAGTTCTATCTGAAGTTTGTGCTGATGGTGTTTTCTATATGGATAATGAACGATTCAAACTTGAGTCATCCAGCTCAGTGAAAACAACAACTACAAAATTTTCTTTTTGAATTATAAGTTTATCCACCAATTGAACTGGTACAGACTAAAAGATATCATCAACATGGAGCCTGGAACAGATGCTCGTTGACCCGGGTTGCCACATTATGTTAACACGACAAGATGAGAATAACAAAATAGGTTTACACAATGTGGTAGGACTGATACAAAAAAAAGACTAAACCTTGAGAATATGGTTTGAGAAGACAGAAAGGAATTGTGCACATGAAGGGACATCAGAATTTAAGATTGAAATGAAGATAAAGCGCAAATAAATCTATGCCATTGTAACCTATTTTTAGCCATTTCACCAAAAGTATTAAAGCACTGATAGCATTTGTCACTCATACTCCAATCAGATAGTTTGCGTCTATCAAAGTCAGATTAATACATAAAACCTTTTAATTAGGAGCGCTGTTTTTCTGTTGAAGTGTTAAATCATTTGTTAAAACAATCCATTTCTATTTGCAGATACAGTTATTTGAATAACAATCGAGTGAATTCGATTTAATTGGTCACTACACTTGACGTGCTACTTCACAGTTCCTATCATACAGTTGATACTGAAATAATTTATTATTAAAATGAGAGTATTTTCTAGCATGAAATGAGTAAAGAAAATTAACACGAAGCTTAAAACATAGAATTCATACACATGGACATTTTCTCAACAAAGTGTAGCTAGACCCATAGTGGAACTGATGTGTTACATGAGACATCAACTAGCTTGTTAAAAATAATCACTATTGAACAGTTAAACAGTATTTGGTTGTTACTGTTATGCCCTGATAAGCATAATGAATGGCAACTTTTGAGATCCATTTATGGACCAATACTATGAGTATATTTTTATCGTATAATTGTTAAATAACTAAACTATTCATAGTCATGACCCTCTTATTATGAGCCTTATTTTGACCTATGAACTATTATTATACGATTTAACATTCTTGAATGATGCCCTGTCTATTAATTACTACCTCCCACATTCACAGCCACATTTGTCCAAATCTTGTATAAATGTTGTTTCCTATTTTATGGTACAATGTGGTCTGTTTAGTTGGTATATAAACCCAGTTTGCTTGAAATGAATGATTCATATTGCAGAGGCTGAGATCGGTGTTTTGAACTTAACTGGCTTGGCTAGGCGGAAAGTAGTATCAATCAGGACTCTAGACTGCTCGCACGTGTTTTATGCGTCATTGGTCCGATCGATAATTCACTGCTGTTTAATTGGCGGTATCGTTACGTTATGCATTAATAGGGCACACAGGCCACCAATTATAGTAATTACATTAGTGAATTTAATTGTAAAATACAGCATATATTATGTAGGTATTGTCTTAATATCCTATCGACTAGTTAGTTTATGCAACAAACAACAAAATGAGTTAAGGTTGAAGTTGAATGTAATAACGCTTTATTTCAAATAGCTAGATTCCTATTAAATACACAGATTAAAAATAAAATGAACAGGCATTTCAGCTAAAATGATTCATAAATTTTCGTAATTTTATCGTTCAGCTTTCTATTCTACCTGTGGACTACTCGACATTTAAAGATTACTATGGAATCTGGTCTAAGTGACGCATAAAATTCGGTGATTGCAAACGTAATACTATTAGCATATACGGTGCCATTATTATGAAATTATATGGGATGATTTACCAACATCAATTCCTAGGGTGTATAATATGAAGACCGCATCCGTGTTTAATCAAAGAAGGAACCAGTGAGACTAATTTCTGGACGACCTTTGAGCAACGTTAAACTGACCTTAAGAGTGTCCACCTGATAACTAAGACTAAATGAGTGTTATAAATTAGTGTAAGGAATTCGAATTATGATTTACAGATGATGGTTAAGGTTAGGAATTAGATCTATTTAGCCAAATGGATGGAAATCCAAGACCTGTTATCTTATACCTGTTTCGTTCCTCCATAAATTATAGTCTCGGCAAGAAATCTTCAGTAAACTATATGGCATCTAGTAACTGTGTCAATACTTGAAGAGCAGACAATAATCAAAAATGAGAATCAACAAAATTAGAATGTGTTACGACAAAATAAATGACCAATGAGTACACTAGATATAGTAACAAATCTTAAAATGATGTAAACGGATAAAAACTACACTTTTTATACTCATATGTTATTTGAATTAAAACTGGTTACTATATACTAATAAGTAGTATAATGAATACAGTAAAAAGAATTGGATGAGAAGAGGATCGAAAAGAATAAAAAAAGAACGCGAACAAACATTAAATCGGCGTTTTTTTTATTTATCGAATATGCCTTTCTGAAAAAAAACGTCACTGGGTGGCGACCAATGTCTTTCATGTATAGTCCTTATTAGTGCAGATCGAATGTTATCGATCATGATGCAATGTGGCCACCAGTCTAGTCTCGGATAGCTCAGTGGTAAGGTCTCTGACTATGAAGTTGGGTGACACAAGATCGAATCCTCCAGGGAGCGCCGGTCCCCTCAAGATGACAGGTACACCCGGGTTCAGGGTTTCCTGTCGACTACCTCCAACCACCATCTAATCTTCAGTAAACGTGTATTTACAAGTTTTTCTTTATGTAGGTAATTTGCATTTAACCCCCTATTTGTTGAAGTGAATTCCTTTATTTTCTAAAAAAAATTGTTTTTTTCAGATAATTGAATTATGGCAACTAATAAATGTAAATCGTCCAATTTTAATTATTGGCTCAGTTGGATCAGGTAAAAGTACCATTTTTAAAATACTTATTTCTACAATCAATTGGTATCATTGTACAAAGAGTAAACAATTGAATAAGTATTTATCATCATTATCCGAGCCAACATTATTATCAACATACAAATCATCATCATCATCGGGATCGGTATCATCTGAATTGTCATCATCAACACCAACATCATCATTATCAAAACAATTAAATTCATCTTCAGTTTCAAATGAGGAAAACAGTAACAATCAAGAAATAAATAATGATGTTGATATGAAGATATTCAATATACCAGATCAATTGAATTCATATCTTAATAAGTTTAATCTTATTTCAACAATACATTCCAATATAAAACATTTTGATGTATATAATAAAATAATTTCATTAAAACACTTATTTCCATATTCAAATGAACATTTAACAAGTTTGTTTTTAAATGATGATAATAATGATTCTAAATTAAGAGTGGATATATCAAATATGTTTGAAGAATGGGTATTGTTAGATTTAAGTGACCAGTCTATTGAACATTTGACATTTTTAAATAATGGTAACATTTTGAATTTATTGAAAGCGGTTAAAACTTTTAAATGTAAGTTGTGTGCTTTATTGTTAATTTTATTTTTATTAAGTAAAATGGTAAATTATTAGTAAGAGTTTGTGAGCCCCTAAATGCTTTAATACGGTCAAGAGTGGAGAGAGTCTGCTCTCCCTCTTGAAACGCTCTCACGTGGTCACGCGTGTACAGCCATTGCCAGGGATGTCCTACTCATTGCCTTCTCGTGGCGGAAGTGTTGTTTATGAAATTGAGAGCACGTAAAGCGAATGTCCGTTTCACAATTGATTGTGATTACATTTCCGTCCTACAGGAGGTCGGCCGCGGCTCGGATAGCTCAGTGGTAATGTCTCTGTCTGTGAAGCTGGGTGACACAAGATCGAATCCTCCAGGGAGCACTAGTTCCCTCAAGATTACAGGTACACCTTGCTGACGAGTGCCATGTAGCACGAAACCCGTGTCCAGGGTTTCTTGTCGACTACCTCCAACCACCATCTAATCGCGAATGTCCGTTTCTATGACTGGGTTGGTGGACACGAAGGATCCACCTAGGGGAGTTAGAAAACCGTGATTCCGAACCAATGTTTCACATAGGCTCCAGGGAACAAATGGCATATGAACCAGTTGTTGGCCACCGGCTACCATGAGACTACACTGCTTTGTGGATCAGACCTTCGAGTCGAAGGCTCCGGGTGTGGCCTCCTAAGAAAACCACCTGATTTGGTTTTGGTACCCGAGCAGTATTACATATCAAATGAGATTTGTGTGGCGCATATGTATTTGGTGCATCCTTGTACCAATATCTATGTGTTCAAGTAGAAATAAAAATAAATTAGTTTGTGATCAGGATAATCTTTGTTATTATGTGTGCATTCTGAGTAGATTGACTCGATGTAGAGATATTTCACCAATAATGGTATATTTTATTTGTTTCGTTGAGTTGAAATACCAAAATATCCACCTTAGTGTCTTTCTTCTTGGTTTAAGCTACCTACCTGTACATTTAAGTCACTTGCTACGAGTACTATATCTGAGTTTTTAGCTTTATAAAGGAGTTCAGAAAGCTTTCTGCAAAAGTCATCCTTCACTTTATCTGGGCCAGAGTCAGTGGAAGCGTAGGCAGAAACGACGAAAAAGCAAAACAGTAGATTTAAGGATTCGTGTTTTGTCTTATTTGGTAATCACCAACCACATGTACCTTGATCCTAATTTTCGATATTCATATACAGACCCGAACTCATTATCTTTCGCTTTCAACGTCAACAACAAGGTGGCCTGCCTGAATATCTGGACTACCTTTTTTCTGACATCTAGATATTTCAAAAAGTTATCTGTTTTCATGTTTATTTTAAGCGGTAATTATGTCAATTAACTGCATCAGCTATTAAGCCGCGTTTTTGAAAAGTTAACAAGTACAATCAGAAACATTGTGGTTGCTGGCACTATGTATTGAAAGAAATGAACCCTGTTCAGATATCGATTCTTGTACTGATAACATTTAACTAGCCATCACTCAATATTTATCTTCAATAACGATCAAGAAATAAGAAAAGGAAACGTGCTGATATACTTTGGGCTGAGAATTCTATATTGTACCAAAAATATAATATTGAATAAAGCTAATAATAACAAAATAAATGAGAAAAACATCATCTAATAAGGCAGCCATAATTCAAATATTCTAAAAATGATCAGTAAAGTGGTTAAATAGAGGCGATTAGCTCAGGATGCACATATGCCAGTAGAAAACGATCAATTGGAGTACTGCATATCAACAAAAAACAATTATATGCTATTACACTAATAATTAGTTACTCTCTATACACTATCACTTTTACTCTATAAACGGGGAGAAGAAATAATTTTTTATTTTGAGCATTTTGAGCAGTAGACAGAGATATTTCTACTTCACATTATACATGATATTTGAATTACATGCAGGAATTTAGAAATCGTATTCTCAATACTGATCATTTCATTCTTATTCTATAATGTTATTGAAGACGTCATACAGATTAACTAAATTATAGTTGAAGTTAGACAGTGACACCGCTGGATACAGGTTCAATGGTCTAGAGGTCAAGCATTCGCGCGCGCAAGGCCTATATGTCCTGGGTTCGAATCTCGTGTGGCGGGATTGTGAATGTGCACTACTGAGGAGTCCTACAATTAGACGAAACAACCGTCCAGTGCTTCTAGATTTTCCATGGTGATCTAGCTTCAATTGACTCATGATCTTAACTATTGAAATTAAAAAGAAATCACTGTCATAATTTTAATTGTTCAATAATTATTTTTAGTCACAAGAAAATTATTCATAGAAAAGACAACAATAGATGATTTATCTCCAGGTTTAATTCATCAATTTTCAATATTGTCAACTGAAGTTAATAATGAATTGAATTGGTCACATATATGGAGAATTTGGCGTAAAACAAGTTATTTATCATATATGGTTATAAATTATATGTAAGCTATTCCTAATTTATTTCATTTCGAGGATACATTTCACTGAATGCACATTCATTACACTTGGTTACTTTATTTTCTTTTTTAATTAGAAAATGACATATATGTCTAAGATGTTCGAATCGACTGATTATGTTTAGTTTAATAGTTGGAAATTGAAATTAAAATGTGATGTTGTCAGTCAGTCAGGTACAACGTCGGACCAGGAACACATGTGCATCGGTTCAAGTTGTCATATCTCATTAGCACAACAAGATGAACACCGGATACATAGACGTAGTTAATTCAGTGGTGGTAATATATAAATGAAAGATTGCATATAAGGATATAGTAAAGGATGTATTTTGCATCTACCAACATGATGTATTTGTCAGTGAAGTCATTCATTGTTGATTTAAGACATTTCAGTTACTGTAAACTGCCTGGTTGAGACCTACGCGATGATCGTAATCAGTGGTTGAAGACATTAGGTGATATGGCCCATTACTGATCAGAGAGAATTAAATAAATTCACTCCAGATTTTTAGTTACAGTATTCAATCATACATACCTTTTTATTTTGTTTAAACTTCTTCACAATCATTGTTATAACATTATTTTCCCGACCATTGTTGCTACCTTGATGTGGTGGTCGGGCTTGCCTATCGTGATGAAGCAACCGAACTATATTGGCTGGAACAACCGTTCCTCAAGGTCCTACCATGCCAGAAAGGTCGGTTGAAGAGCGGTAAGACTAAAAGCAACACACCCAAGGTCTGAAGACAAAGTCGTACTGCTGACTGTACAGAGGTGCGACGGCAGTAAGATGTTTCGTTCAGACAACCAACATTACAGTGATGCTGTCTTCCCACAAGAAAGGGTGGGGTTAGAAAAGGTCGACCCTAGAAATGCACACCTCGCCTCATCCCACAGATTTCCGTCTCAGGCGGTAAGGTCTCAACAAGTACGGAGCTAACACGAAAATTACTCACAAAAGGTCGTGTGTGACCGACCTCAAGCAGTTGTCTCTTAGACACTGAGGTCACGCTCTCAGGTCACTAAGGCCACCTCTAATCCGATTTCCTTTCCAGGTACCTCCAGAAGAACCATTCCGCGGTGTGGGCAACTGGGAAGTGATAACCGCCCTCATACCTCTAACACCACTCAAGATAACATTATTTTGGTAATTTTATCCAGTCGGGATGTTATGGTATAGCAATTTAGGCTAAAGCCATTTCTGCCATGCATTACGTTAATTATGATTAAGATTGTGACTTGAAAGGATGATAAAAACAGAAATTAAGAAGTTTTAAATTTTATCAGGATATAGTTACAACGATTCGAAATATATCTTATTGGTCATATATATTTCGAAATGGTAATTAACATTTGACTCTGAAGTTGTAACTGTTCTATTAATTGACTATCCCGTTCAACAGTCTATAAATAGTTAATCAATCAATTGTGGTTACATCTCAGTCCTACAGGAGGTCGGTCGCGGCTCGGATAGCTCAGTTGTAACGGCTCTGACTGTGAAGTTGAGTGACACGGGATCGAACCCTCCAGGGAGCACCGGTCCCCTCAAGATTACAGGCACAGCTTGCTGACGAGTGCCAAGTAGCACGAAACCCGCATCTAGGGTTTCCTGTCGACTACCTCCAACCACCATCTAATCTCAATAGTTAATCAATGTCTTCAGTTTCATTTCACAGTAATTTCTAAAGTTGATACTTCATAAAGACTGAATAGGGGAAAAAGAATAGTTCATCTTGGGTTTCTTTAATACGTTTGTTGATATATGTTCGGAATAAACTCAATTATCAAAACTCAAATACATTCCTATTGAATTCACTGAATATGGTCACATATAGATGTACGTTGTCCAAACGACTTTATCTTAGAGATATTAATCTAATTAGCTTAGAATTAGTTTATACTGTGTATTCTATTATAATCAGTAGGAAAGTTTCTGTATTTCGCCATTTAAAACATACTGGTTCTCGCTTCTGGAAATTCAAAAGATCAATTATGGCACATTTTTATGTATAAGTAATCAATTAAGCGACCATACTACAAACACTGCCGATGAAATGTAAACTGTTAGATATATTCTTGTTGTTTATTGATTTAACTAAATAAAAATGTATAAGGGTAAGCTGCTGGATGAAGAAATAAGTATATAGCAAGGAGTAACTTGTTCTATTCAATTTTTTTCTTAGTTTTATAACAATAATCTATAAATTTTATTGAGATCACAAACTGATTATTAAAAATCTTGAAGCACTTAGATAGTGGAGTTCAATCGTTATATGTGTGAGGAATGTACCCATTGAAAACAATAAAAAGATAGTGGCGAAATACTGTGGACTGGTTCAAGTTAGACAAGTATATCATCGAATTCCTGCTTAGTGGTCGAGAATGTTGGGGTTATGGATTCATACTGTTGAGGATTCTCATATTAGAACAGAATAGCTGTCAGTGCTTGTTTAATTTAGGCTTGTTCGTGATATCAATAAAATCCAATGATCTCCACAACCGATATACATTCATGTATCCTATGAAGTTGATTTTTTTAAGTACACTGTCAACTTCAATCATGAAAAGAGCACATTATACATCAATAGATAGAGAATTTAACTAATTCGTTACTTTATTCACCCCTAATACCAGGTTTTGCATGGTTGCCTAACTTCAATTGACTCATAGTCTCAACTATTGAATTGTATTCACCTTATCATAACGACCAATGGATAATGCTGCATAGTTTTAATTTAACTCGGTTAATCCTTAAATATAATTTATACATAAATTTTATGTCTTGCATAGTTTGCATTCGATTTCTGTAAAACTGTTCGTTAATATCATAAGAAATACTTTCATGTATTACTAGATAAATGTTAGTAGTAATGAAAATCATAAGTTCTATTTCTCATCAAACTATATCACATTTAAATGAGTAATGTAAGATGTTTCTTCTTTTATTTTTCATTAAAAAGTGTAAAGATGCTGTCAACTATTAAATAAGTAGACTTGAATGCTTATGTTTCTTTGACATTATATATCTTAACTGACATATAAACAAACCTAATAATTGATTTGTGTATTGATGAAAACTTAAAGATTCATCGAAAAAGATCTTATGGTGATATTTTTACTCTTGTTAATGACGTAATCAGATTAACAGATAGGTGAATTATTTAATGTCAACTTTTGATAAAATTTTGGAAACACCCAGAAATTTCATTAGTTGTTGAAGGCTGTCAATGAAGGCAATCCCTTCAGAAAAATAAGTATTTACAAATTACCATTCTGGAACAGTACTGCAATATGATATAATTTACAAGTTGGTAGGTGTAAACTACCTGATTGCAATCCGGGAGATGATATCAACCAATGGTTCGAGACCTTGAATGACATGTCTCAAAATCGTTCGCAATGGAGCACGTGCATCCACTCTTTGTGTTCTCCCAAATTCTTATCTTCTGAATTCTTCATATCCCTTTCTTTTTTTCACTTTCGAAATTTATTACACTAAATTATACTCGTTGAATAACATCTTCAAACCCTAATCTTTCCGATTATTGCTTATACTCTTACTACCTCCACAACTATGGGACTTGAATCGACAACTGCATTTGTGTACTAATGTGGTATGGCAACTCGAACTCATGTACTTACGTACGAGGTTCTACGTTGTTACTGAATGACAAGTTGAAGAGTTTAAATTTCAAGGATTTCTAGGAATGTTTAAGGTAAAAGAAACAAACATAGGAGAAGTTCATCATTGAGAATAAAGAGTAATATGAGCATGATAAAAGTTAAATACTCAAAAGTTTATAAAATAACCTCTGTTTAGACATGCGTCAAACCGATTATTTTGTTTTTGTCATCATTAGTTCAATTGTACAATCAACATATTTAAACGGTTATTAGTATTTTTGATTAAATTTAACTTCATTAAACTTATATATATATATTTTTCTTCTAAAATAATTTCAGATGGGACAAAATTCTTAATGAACTAGATAATCATATCCCAACAATATTAGATCAAATTTGGGAGTTAATGAATCAATGGTGTCACAATGAAAAAGGCTTTTTAAATATAACATCTTATAAGAATGCATTTTGTCAACAAAGTATTAAAAACTCTTTAGCTTTGATGTCTGAACTATTGAACAAATACTTTCCAAGAGAATTATGGGAATTACGTAAAGATGGCATAAAACCATGTAAGTTGTGATAACCTTTTTTAAGGCGTCTGTTCATAATGTTTAAATAAAATATCTTTCTTATTTTTAACTGGTTTGTGACAATAAGGAAGGCAAATAGTACTACTGTGATGTGCTACTGATGTCGATAGACATTAGTAGTATGTACCATCAATTGCAAAGTGAAATGCTTGATGGCAGAAGGTTAAGAAGATCAAAGTAAAGAGAATGAGAATAAAGAATGATTGGTGAGAAGAAACGATGAGAAAATGACGTTTGAGACGATTGACTGATATTTGCAAAAGGAACAGTCAAGTTTGATACAATTGATTGATATTTTGCAAGTTGTTCCGTAATTTTGTATTCAAATACATTTGGTTGTCCCCACTTGTGATCTCGTTCAATATACCATAATAAAACATTTGTGACAATCAATGTTACTGAAAACAAGCGCTAAGGTAAAATCTAGAAAGAGAAGTTATTCAAGTCAATTTTTTGACGAATTCTCAGATTTATTCTGTTTTATATTCTTGGTCACCATCGCTTTATGAAAAACAAGATTTTTTTCATTAAAGGATGAAGTATTTAACACAATCTTTCCTTCTTAAACTAGAACAAGGCTTGAACATCTCCATACATCCAATTACAGTATAAAATATCCCAGAAATTTCCAGACTTTAAACTTAAAGAGTTCGTAAATTACTTGCACTTTCTCGAACTCTTTATCTAGTAAGGTGATGTAGTTGACAGCCAGACAGCCGAACGTCTCCTTTCAGTTCATCATGGGATGTCAGATGACAGATCAGATAATAAAAATGATCAGTGTAGAAGTGCGAAATGGAGAAGAGTTGCCTCACACTCCTTTACACTTAAGTAAAGTGGTTTAAACTTTGTTTTGGTATTAACTTTTATTTTATCATTTTTCTCAAATTTTACGATTCTACATAGAACAGCTGTCAAACTACATTTTTAAGAAGAAAGGAACATACCCTACAGAATCATAGGCAATCGATGTAAGACTGTAATAAATGGATAACTGTTGAACAACGTTAAAATGATCTTAGAATGTCCACCTACTTACGAGTATTAATTAAGGGTTATAGATTAATATGAGGAATGATGAGAAGGATTTACGGTTGAATGCTAAGGTTAGTAATTAGATTTAATGTTTACATCACGAACTGACATCACTTATAATACCCAAACGGTATTTAACCAAATGAGTGAATGAATTCAGTCCAATTGTGGTGTGTGCTACTGATGTCGATAGATATAATTAGTATGTACCATCAATCGAAAGTAAAATGCCTAGCAAAGAGTGATTGTTTTGGAAACGAAAGGACAATGAAGTCTTTGACGATTGATCGACATTTTGCAAATGAAGTATTTACTGTGTGGTACTCAGATTTTACTAAGATATTCTGTCATTTAGTGTTCAAATACATTCAATTTTCCCCACTTATGTTCTTGTTCATTATAAAATCAATTCATTATCTGAAAAGTTGACAGTAAATAAACATACTCTATAAATAAAATAATATAATTCAGTGATCATAAGTTCTGCTCATTGTATTAGGTTGTATACATTTTCCTACTGACTATATCTTTAAACCGTTACTAATTCCTGGAGATCTTAGCATTCTAGGTTTGTAAACATTGTTAATTTTGTTATTTACTTCCATAGAAGTATCTCGACTTGTGATTGCATGATTTCGCGCATAACTCGATCACTGGGGGTCTGAATACTCAATGGATACACTAACTAACTAACCAACCTAAAATTTAAGTTTTATTTATACATACTTTACACATGAAATGAAATCACTCTTACTATAGTAAACAAATTTATGTCTTTATTTTTAATTCAGCATCTGTTTATCAATCAAATCTTACATTAATTGATTATTATTGGTCCGAATGGCGAAACATTGAAGACCAACCAGTATTTTATGAAATCTTGATAAGAAATTTATTTTTATTCTCATTTATTTGGGGTATTGGTGGTGGATTAGCTGGTGATCCAAGATTAAAATCACGGTAAAATAATTTAGTTATTCTATTGTATATTTTTTTTAGTAAATCATTCAAAGTCTGTTAACGTATGTCACCTGTACCGTAGATGAGATATTCGTCTTTCAAGCAAACGATGAGTGTATTGCTCAACAGTTCACTCTGTCCTAATTTACAGGTATGATGCTTGGATATTAAGAACAGAAGATACTTTAGGTTACTTATATTCTAAAATTAGTGTCTTCGAAGTACTGTTCATGAATTTTGGGATCACCGAGTGAGAAACTCTGGAGCCGTGCATAGGGCATTAAGTAAATATAGCAAATTAGTTAATGAGTTGATGAACCTTCATCAGCTGAAATAGTTGGGACATTACTTACTTACTTAGGCCTGTTACTCCCCGTGGAGGAGCATAGGTCTCCCACTAGCATTCTCCATAGAACTAGTTGGGAAATATGTCAGTCAGTCAGTCAGTCAGTCAGTCAGCAACAACGTAAAACTTCGTACGTACGTACATCAGTTCGAGTTGCCGCACCACATTAGCACAGAGATCCAGTTGTTGATTCAAATCCCGTAGTGGTAGAGGTAGTAAAAGTATAAGCAGCAATAGAAAAGATTAGGATTTGAAGATGTTATTCAACGAGTATAATTTATTGAAATAAATTTGGGAAGAGAAAAAGAAAGGGGACATGACGAATTCAGAAGGTTAGAACTTGGGAGAACACAAAGAGTGGATGCACCTGCTCCATTGCAAACGATTTTCAGCCATGTCATTCAGGGTCTCTAACCATTGGTTGATATCATCTCCCGGATTGCAATCAGGTAGTCTACATCTACCAACATGACTCAGTCCACTTGTCAGTGACTTCATGAATTTGTGACATGGTTTGGCCTGGCCGCCACTTGCTTTCTTCCAACCTACTCCTACAACATAAAACATCTCACATCGGAGCAGTCGGTGGTTGGTCATACGTAACAGGTGTCTCAGCCATCTCAACTGATGAAGTTTTACTATTTCATCAATTGATTTGCCATCATTACCTAGTACCTGTTTTTTCTCTCTAAAAGCACGCCAACGATAAAGTTAAACGAGAATGGAGAGAGTGGACAGCCCTGACGAACATCACTTGAGGTAATTAATTCTGATGACAGTTCGCCATAAGCTGTCACTCTACCAGTTGTGTTCGAGTAGAGGGCCTTTACAAGGTTAATGTACTTCTTAGATACTCCTTTCAATGACAAACACTGCCATAGAACCTCACTATCAATAGAGTCAAATATCACTTTAAGGTCGATAAATAATACGATTGTGTCTATTTTCTAGGACCTGACGTAGTGGGAATATCTGGTCTATACAACCACGACCAGGTCGAAAACCAGCCTAGTTTTCTCTAGTCTGCTCTTCACGAGCTTTAGTTAGGCGTCAAAGTATTATTGAAGATAATATTTTAGACACTATATTAGTCAAACTGATTCCTTTGTGATTGTCACAAGAGGACTTTTGTCCTTTCTTATAGACTGGCACAATCAGTGATTGAGACCAGTCAGATGGGATTACATCCAGTTCCCAGATTCTACCTAAGACCTCATTCAATCTCACTGCTAATACTGAACCAACATCCTTAAAAATCTCAGGAGTAAACCTGTCAGGGCCTGCTGCTCTTCCTCGCTTCAGATTTCCTATGGCTTTTTCAACTTCGTAAAGAGTCGGAGGACCTGCATCAGCTTGCTATTTAGGGTCAACCTTTTCTAACCCCCTCTTTCCTTGTGAGGAGGCCACATTGCTGCAGATGCTGGTTGTCCGAGGGAAACACCTTACTGCTCTCACACCCCTCTACAGTCAGCAGTACGACTTCGCCCTCAGACCTTGGGTTACTGCTTTTAGTCTTACTGTTTTCCAATCGACCTGCCTGGCATGGTAGAACCTACAGGAACATATGTTCCAGCCAATATAGCTCGGTTGGGTCATCACGATAGGCAAGCTCGACCACCACGTCAAGGCAGCAGCTACGGTCAAGAAATGTTAGTTATGTTATTCATATCCGATCATTGTCTATCATGTCGTGCATTCATAGCCATTAAAAAGCAGGGTTGACCAAAGCAAATGTGGCGTCAGTCCATAAATTCTCTGACTATTGGAATGACCCAATTAGGTGTGTGCAAAATGCCTGGTTGGGATTCGTGTGATTATGGCAACCCATGGGTAACATAACTGAGAATCGTTCACAATGAAGCAGATACATCCATACTTTGTCTTTCCTTTGAACCTGAGTCCTGTAATCTCTTACCTTTATTTTATTTTTTCTACATTTAATCTCTCTCCTATTATCGATACGGACATTAAAGATAGTTCTCTATGTTTAAGAACTATAATAACAGTTTTGCATGATATCGAAATAGGAAGTTATTGGTTGAATCCATGATGGACTGGACGAAATCAATCAAAAAATGTCAAACAAAGAAAATAACACGCAAAAAGCTGTTTAAGAAAGATATTAGAACAGATGAAAAATAGTTATGCAAAAGTCACCTGAAGTGTTATTAATCTACATGTTGAGTGAGTTTCAACAGTCCACAAATTTATATCCATAAAATTAGAATGGAGGTTTGTGGAGATTGTAGTAATTTTAGTGGTTGAATTCATGAACCAATCTAAGCTAGATCACCATAGAGAACCTGGAAGAACTGGACAGCTGTTTCGTTCTAATATAGGACTCCCAGCAGTGGTCAATTAATCCATCGTCTCAAACTTGACTGTTCAATTGTCTCAGATTTCATTGTTCATGAATTTTCATACTAATTGCGTTCCGTTCCCATTCTTTTCTTCACGATCTTCTACTGAAATACATCCTATGCCTGACCACCGTTATATATAGCCCCCGAATGCCCTGGTATGGCCGAGAGTGGGGAGAGTCCGCTCTTCCTCTCCAAATGCTCTCACATGGCTACGCGTATATAGCCTCTGCCAGAGAAGTTCTACTCACTGCCTTCTTGTGGCAGGAGTGTTGTTTACGAAATTGAGAGGACGAAAAGCGAAACTCTGTCGCTTTAACTGGGATGGTGGACATGGAGAGTCCACCTAGGGGAGTTAGAAAACCCCGATTCCGAACCAATGGTGCACATGGGCTCCAGGATCCTGAGGGAACAAATGGTGTATGAACCAATCGTTGGTAACCGGCTACCATGAGACTGCATCTCCTGACGTTGCTCCACTGCCTTGTGGATCAGACCTTCAGGTCGAAGGCTCCAGGTGTGGCCCCCTAAAATAGCCACCTGCTTCGGTTTGAGCACCCGGGCAGTATCACAGCCCTCACACATATCAAATGAGATTTGTGTGGTGCATATGTGTTTGGTGCCTCCTTATACCAATATCTATATGTTAAAATAAAAAATATGTGGATATAAGTAACCCATACCACAGCCTGATAAAGATCTAATCGAAAACAATATTGTTCACTTATATCTATGTTGTTCTATATACTTCAAATCTTTCATTCAGTTTAACTATACAATTCATCATTATTCTTATTATGATATTTTAGATTTGAAACAATCATGTTAAGAATATTAAAGGATTTTATTAGATTGTCTAATTCATTGAATATTCATTCCATAGACAATTCATCATTCACATTATCTATTGAATCCTATTATACAAATCAAATGAATTATTGTACAAGTATGAAATGGAATAATGATAATGTTCATCATGAAAATGAATATGAAAATATCAAAGAATTTCAATATAGTTTATTTAATTGTCTTATTGATTTAAGAACTGGTTATTTAACACCATTTTGGTATACAGATTATTTACAATTACATTGGCCAGAAGAATATGATATCATACATCCAAATGGAAATACTTATCATAGTAAACCATTATTATCAACATTATTTCATGTAAATGAATTAGTTCATAATTAATCATTGTTAAATCTTTAGAATTTCCTTTTTTTCAAGATAGTTATATTTTACATAGTAATATGTAAAGATATTCAATAGGATAATGTTCTATGATTAGATATTATTACGAATAATACATTTTATCGGTAAATAAATCCTCAAAATCAATAGCTCTGTAAGTCTTTGATATTGGATGTTGACCACATTAGTTTTAATGGACTCAGTTAGCTGATGGCGTTCGGTTTTTAATCCGCACCAGATCATTAATGGGAACGCTGTGCTTAATATCTTCTACAATCGCTAGCTAGTCTAGTTCAGTCGATTCTCGATATATTGATAGCCTATCAAATGTATCTTTGAACCTCTTCTCTTTTGACTTTTGATTTCATTAGATGGGTATGATTCATAGTAAGTGTTACTGGTTAAAACATTGTCAAACTTCAAATACTTGTGGCATCTTCAACAGACTATATTGGAAGTAGGAATGTTAAAATAGATAAGAGTTTCAACGTCTAATGTATTTAGATTGATATGGTGATAAGGATATTTCTCTAATAATAGAGCTCGGACAGTTTTTTCGAGAAACACTTTTGATCTAGACATATCTTCTATGAATTTGTTAAAAAGTGGCTCTGATATTACTCTATCATTTGAAGAATTGCCCAAGCTAACCTTTATACTACACTTTTATTAAAGTAAGTATCATTAGATTGATTAGATGTAATTGTATCATAGTAACCAATGAAAGTTGTTACATAACTGTCAACGTTTATCAAGAATAGACTTATGATTCTTAAACTTGATAATCAATGGCAAGTAAGCTTTAATTCACTTGGTATTATTTGGCTTGTATCTTCCCATTGAGGTTTAAGACTGTAATTGATCAGTCTGTTATTGGCATATGTGCATACTGTGCGTATGCCTCGATATTGTCTTGTCCCAGAGTGAACTTCAACTCTGAGATGCAGATACATCCAGCTGACGAGTCTCAAATAGGACGAAACACCCATCCTGGATTCCACTGCTAGGCACTATCCATCATTGCTTACAAAAACTAAGCTTTAATTTTTTCGGAAACTCGTTTGAACTGTTAGCACTGAAACAATCGTATTATGTTTTCATGATCTAGTGATTACTTGGTAATGTAAAAAATACTTTATGATGAATGAAAAGTTGAAATCAGTTAAAATCTGTGCTATTCGTAATTTGTATATTTTGAGGAAGATCCATTGATCATGACTATACTATCTTAATTTGTATGGGGATATTGATAAATGTAATCTGTAGAATAGATTTTCTAAGTCTTCTGTGTTTCACCTATTTGCAAATTATATTTCCTTGTTAATAACTCTTTTATCGATGTGTTCAGAATTAGCTAAGAGATTTGTTGTATTGACGTATGATTTACTCATTTCTGTGAAGATATTTTTGTGGGTCATAAGATATGTAATCGATTACAGAAAACACGGGGACACAGTTTTATTAAAAGTTTATAAATACCAAACCACCTAATCGGCTTATGTAAGCTGGTTTCTAAATAGTTCCTTAAAATATCATAGAGTAAGATGTATCTACTCGAGATACTGTTATGTATTTCTTAACTGTACTTTTAATGCAACCTTGAGAGAATGAAGACAATGAATTTTTCGATTTTTATTAACGAATTTTTCTTTATCAATAACCATATCTTATTTGTGAATAATTTACGTAGTATAGTGTACGTCAAGTATTTTGACACTGAGTACTATGTCTAGGACACTACCTTAGCATTTTAGGCACTGGACTGATAGTCGGACCTCAAAAACTTCAGGTCATCAAGAAACCTACTCCGAAATCGACTGTCTCATATTGTTTGTGTTCGCTGAGAGATCTGACGGTCCTATGCAAAATTCCTAGTGAGGTCATGGGGATGTGCCGTACCGAGGAGACGAAACAACTGTCCGGTGCTCCCTGTTTTTGAATAGTCACTCAGCAAAGATCAATCTGTAATGAATTCAATCTAAAAATTACATGATTGAATTCAAAAATCGACCAGTCAACTTATTTTTTCATTCATCACATTGTAGATTCACCATTGTTTTAATAGATCACATTAAATTTAGATAATACATGATGTTAAAATGAAAAGTGACCATTTTAATGATAAATTTATTACAACACTAGGATTTACATATTGAATGGGCCGGTTTTTTTTACAGTTGATTGATCACACTATAGTGATTAATTTCAAGTTTGTCTAATCTCCTAGTTCTGGTCAAATTCGATCGACTAAGTTACAATAACGGTTACTAGTTCGAATAATACGAGTCGTCCTCACAAAACTGAGATTTCAGATGGTAGAAGATAGTTATCAGATCTCTTACCGATTACAGTCAACTACTTAACAACTATCTTATATTCTATTTCTGTGCAAATAAGAACAGTCTAAATAATCTTATTCTTATGCACTTATTGATGTATATATTTATTCATTATAGCTTACAGTTCATTTATTTACTGGTTCATTATTCATACAATCTGGTCGACCAGTAATAATTTCCGGTCCATTTGGTTCAGGTAAATCACAACTTGCAATTGCTATAAGTCAAAATTCAGAACGATCTAAACAATTAATTAGTTCATATAATAATAATAATAAAACGGGGAAAAAGTGTACAAGTTCATTTCGAATACAATCAAATGATTTTCTACATAGAATCATTTCTAATTCACAAAAAACTAATAATCAATATCCAAAACAAATATTTGATAAAAAAATCAATTTAATGCATAATGTTATCATTTTAGAAGATGTACATCTGATTTCCAAAACAGCGACAAGTAAGCAAATATACTATTATTGATCATGTTAACAGATCCTTATTTCTGATAGAATTCTGTCGATGAATTCATAGTTTGACCATTAGTCTAATTGAATCGATTTCACTTTATGGTTTGATATTGAATGGTAAACAAGCAGTAAACCACAAATCTGTGTGGTTATCTAAAAGTAAACACGATTTGAATAACTCATTGATAACATCTCTTCACATTGTAATGGGTGACACCAAGAACTTCAGCCATAAGAAGCTTTAAAGTAAAAATTATTCTAATCATTTTTTTAGTATCGTACGTTCATTGTTCAATGTAAAAAGTGAGGGTTCTTCCTCATTTCATATTTATGTATGATAAACTTCAGTTAGTTGATCAGAAACAAAGCAAAACCTGGTGTATATGTGCATTGGCTTAAGTTGTCATACCACATAAACACTAAATGGTGAAGTAATCAAGAAAAATATCAGAGTAGTAGAGGAAGTAACAGTCTCAGTGAAAACACTAGGCATAAACAGTATGAGTTGAGAAGAAATAATGAATCTGCGTTAAAAAATGTATGCGATATCATAAAAATACTGAAGTGTAACTATTTTCGATAAAGTTGTTAGTATAATGATAAAATGTTGATTACAATGTAGTAAACGAGAACATAAATGTGGACAATCGAATAGATTTGAACACTAAATTATAGAACGTCTTAACAAAGTCTGAGAGCCATACAGTAAATACTTCATTTGCAAAATGTTGATCAATCGTCTAAGACCTCATTGTCCTTTCATTTCTACACCAATCATTCTTTGTTCTCGTTCTTTTTTCTTCGATCTTCTTAACCTTCTGCCGCTAGGCAATGTAATTTCGATTGATGATAAATACTAGCTATATCTGTCAACATCAGTAGCACACACCACAACATGACCAGAAAACATGCATTCGAATTTTGTGTAGATTCGAACCCGTGCGTAAGGCTAGATAATTCTTGATTTCAAACGAACCAATACTCTTGGAATTTTTATTGGCTTTCTATCTGATGTTAATTTGTGTTAAAAAGATATTTATATAATCTCAAATATCATACGTCTATAAATAAATGGAAGTGATACACATTAATCATCTCGTTAGACATATTTATAAACGATAAACAGAGGGAAAGGTGATATGCTGTGATTTGTTTACATCTGGTTTGGGTTCGAAATAAGAATGATTAGAGTTATCAATAATAATAATAATAATAATAATAATAATAAAACATCTACGCAACTAGGCAGATCAGCAACCACACTCAAGTAAGAAGACAGAAAATAGGGGGTTCAATAGATCTTTTATTTCTCAAGGAGGGATCTTTATACATCAAAACATGGCATTGCATGTTGTAAGGAGAATAAGACAATAAGATTAGGTCTTGTAAGGTCGTGGATGCCCAATGCTAATAAATGGAATACTAAAATATTCAGTTTTTTCAAGTTTTCAGTGGTTTCTTTAAGAATGTCAGTTTGTGGTTAAAGCAATAAACTCGACGATCTCTCTCTTTATATATATATATATCTTAAGTGGAATAAAACATATATCCAGTATCCGAAATCCAACCAATATACTAGAGAATATGGATTTGTCGACGTTTGTTTTTAACCAAATATTCGTTATATGAATATGAGGTTTTGCGGAGATTGTGGAATTTTTATTTCTCAAATAAACCACCATTGTAAACCAAAGACCGTTAGGCATCTGTTTCTTCCTAACATGGGACTCATTAGTAATGTACACCCACGACCCAAACTTAGGGAATCAAATTGAGAACACAAAGATATCCTGCGCGAACGCTTAACCCCTAAAACACTGAGTCAGGATCCAATGGTGTACATTATCTAACATCGATCAGTTCACGATATTATGTGGCGATTTTCCATTGCCTGAAGTGAATGATTGTCTTACATCCAACATTGTTGAACTCCACTGGTGACGGTTTCACATCAGAGCTCTATGAATTACTTTTGAAGATAGTAACTATTTTTATCGCACATGATAGTTTCGTAATGCTGGTCGGCGGTCTATGCTCTATTGGGAGTAACAGGCATAAGTAAGTAAGTAATGATAGTTTTGTAGCTGAGTACTGTTGAAGAGTCCGTTACTAGGAAGAGACAGACGTTTAATACATCCTGGTTTTCAATGGCAGTTTCTTTAGTGCCTAGTACCTTGTCAAGCCCACATATGTTATTCTAGCTACCTGATGGATCACTTTATTTGTCTTTATTGAGTTCCATTTCGACCTTGTCAATTATTCACTTATTAACTTTGAATGTTTTTATATGAGGTTATGTGGGTTAATCGCTTACACTAGTCACTACATGTCTATGGCTTATTTTTGTCTGACTATAAATATTTAGTCACACTTTATCAAATCGGGTTGGCATGTTCGCATCCTCTACTTCTCATCACTTTTCAGCTTGTCATTTTCAATGTTTACCTGAATAATAAATGAGGGCCTGAAATGAATACAACCAATTGAACCCTTATTTGCCATCTTATTACTGCCATCACACTAACGGGATTAGCCTAGGTATAACATACGGAATTAAAATAGAAGACTTATGTTTATAATATATTAGTTTGCTCTTTCAGAGTGAAGTCAGATTAACTGGTTACTAAGGTTGAATGAATATCATTTTGTGGTTCGAACTATGAATTTCCTTTATTTAATTATTAATCCTTATTGTTTATTGATTTTCTTTCATTCAATAACTCAAAAAGCACAAAGAATATGGAATCAAGAATTACGTAATCAATTAACTACTTGTAATCTTAATCATAATAATTACTCTAAAGCAAAATATAATTTTATCCCAATCTTAACATCTTTGGATCATGATCATCAACTACATTTCTCAACAAAATTAAATAGTTTAATGTATCAATTCGCATATATCAGTTTAACAGACCCTTGTTTATTATTTGTAAAAGAGATGAATATCGATGGATTTCTCTATGAACAAAATATTTATGGTTTTAGTCCAATAAGTTTACTTTGTCAATCAATGATGTGTCATTCATTGTCAAGAATAAGTGGAATGTTAGTTGAGGTAATTGAAATTCTTTTGTTTTTGTTTGTTTAAACTCTTTCATCTATAGTATCATTAGAGCGTGTCTGCCTAATCCTCGAAGATAAGGAATGAATTAAGTTTTATGATCAATTTAATGGCACCCAACTTTGGAAATTAATGTGCTAATCATTCCATGTCTGTTTTTTTTTCTACATATAAATCCCTGTAAGAAACTATTTGATCTTTTCCACAGGATAACAAGGAAACGAAATTCCACAGTCACTTTTACTTCCAGTATGAATTTGATTGACTGATGATAACTATCGAATTTATTTAAGATGCGATTAAGGCCTAAAATTTTTAAACGAATAATAAAATTATCACCCATATGTCTCACGTATAAATGAAACCTCACAATTACTGGTTGGTGTACCACATTCTACAGACTGGTCATGAAGCCATCAGAGAAGATGAGACCTGGTGCATAACTTATTTCAACTTTATTATTTCGTTAATGGAAATTTTTATTAGATCTTTGTAATAATTGCTTGAATCTTCCTATCAATGTCGTGACTTCCAACTGACCAGACTCTTTTAGCTTATGTGTATCTTGTGAGAATTGTTTCAAAGTTACCATTACATCACAAGTATTTAATCAGACGTGAATGATGGCTAGCAGTGAAATCCAGAGCACACGTTTCGTTCTGTTTAAGATGAAACCCTATGATGCAGGTACTGACGAATTCCAAATGGAACGAAACCTGCCTTAGATTCCAATTCTAGCCATCATCACATTGTTTTTTCTTAAGATATAAATTCTTGATATTGGAAATTCATTCATTAACAGGAATGCCATATATTATTTATTGGATCCCAATCTATATGGTAAGAACAAGATGTGAAGATGAAAACAAATGGTCAAAATTTAAACCATTTAGTGCAGAGTTGTTATAATAGATTTAAGTTACACGATTCAGGTTCCGATTTCTATTAATTAGACAACTTTAACTGAGGAACAATATCCTATCTAGGTACTGCATATGAAAGTTTTCCATCTCAAAAGTTGTTTAACTTAAAATATCTTTTTTGATTGATTGAATACTTTCAATCATTTATATGTAGCTTGTCTAAAAAAGCAACCCTGGGTTTTCTAAATTCAATTATCAGAGTAAGCAACAACGTGAACAGTTAATCAGGGGGAACTTTTCAACTAATTAGTTGAACAGCTACTGAATACCAGGAACCATCAGATATGTTTCATCTCAGCATACTATCCATAAGCGGCGAGCATCCACGACCTCATCAGAGAAGGAAGTCGGGAATTTCAGGTTTCTCGGTGAAAGTTTAGCCTTTGTGCCATTAGCATTCAATGGTTTGAATTTCAGACTTCAGTTAATTCTAGAATAATATTTTTCTTAATTTCAATAATCAAGTAAAATTTATTCTAAAAAAGACAATATTTATGATGAGGTTACAACATAATTGTTTATTTTTTCTCTTCAAGAGATTCAGTTGGATAATATGGTACATGCATTGTGCTTTAATGAAAGAACGTTGTACTTATAATAATACAAAAGTAGATTGGTTAATCATGCATAAGATTGCACATTCTATAGGATACCATTTAAAAAACTATTATCCATGCAAATCAACTGATGAAATCCCATTGAATAGTTCAATTGTATCAGATAATATAAATAGACATATTTATTCAAGATGGACACCTTTATGTAGGTCATCTTTTTAAAAAAAAGCGTTTATTGATTTATTGAAATAAAGTTAATAATATATGACAGAAGGGGTTTGTGGAGATTTTTCGAAATTTCACTGATTGAAATCATGAGTCAGTTGAAGTTAGACCATCATGGAAAACCTGGAAGCACTAGACGACCGTTTCGTCCTGGCATGGGACTCCTCAGCAGTGCTCATACACGAACCCGCCCACCGCCAAACTCCAACTCAGGACCTATCAGTCTCGCACCAGGCGCTTAACCAAATAGACCACTGAGCTAGCCCGCATCCAATCAGTGAAATTTATAAAATCTCCACTAAACCCCTTCTGATAATAATCATCTACTCACTGGTGACTGACTTCGAGAGATACTCCTGGAGTTCTAGTGAGAAGCCGTTACCAAGTAAGTTCAACCAGGTCTGTTGTGAGATATCGGCTCACTGAAGACAATGGTGTTCGCTGGCGCAACTTCGTGGATTGGTTGAAGCTAGACATTAACACCGTTGGATACCGGCCGGCTCAGTGGTCTAGTTGGTTAAGCGCCTGGCGAGAGACTGATGGGTCCTGAGTTCGGACCTGGCATTGGGCAGGATCGTAGATGCGCACTGCTGAGGAGTCCCATGATGGAACAAAACGGTCGTCCATTGCTCCCAGGTTTTACATGATGGTTTAGCTTCAATTGACTCATGATTTCAATCTGTAAAATAATATATGTGTCAATATGATACTTATCTGTCAAAGTTCCACTTACATGACTAAGAGCTTGTTCTGTCGTTTATGAATGTGACTGATTCAAATTCAGAATTACAGAACAACTTGTTAGTTATATGTGTAAAGTCTTAAATATCTACCTTCCCTTTGAAACTTGTACTGATGATAATATTGCCTGGAAAGAAAAAGAAAGTTTCATGATTAAATCACTAAACTCAGAGAAAATGATTCCATCAAGATAAGCCTCCTCTCTCAGCTAAAAACTCACTCCAACGTCTTAAGATAATATTCATATTTAAAAGATTAGTTAAGGTTGGTTGTAACTTATTGACAATATTTAGTATGAAATTACCAGTTGAATATCCATTCGTAGTAATGAACATGTTTAGAAAATAGCTTAATTTTGTATGTGGTAGGGATCCAACTCGGTTTTTTAAAGTTTCAAGAATTTTATCGATATATTTGTAATGTGAATAATGGTCTGAGGAATTCAACATTTTGTGTACTATATTGAGGGTTCATTAACATAACTTACTAAAGCAAATACTTCCTTTAAAAAAAATCAAACTTTTTGGTCAAGACAGAGGACATAATAAAATAGTTTGAGACCAAGATGGTCGTTGACCGGATATATTGTTAAAAACCATTGAATATATGTGGTCTCTTTCACTTTTCGATAGCTAATTAACTATTTGAATGATTCCTGTTAAACTGAATTTAGGAAAATTGACAATAAACAAAATCCTAGAAAACCATGAAATGTAAGTTATCTGAACAGTTTGACTTCTAAAGACTTTAGGGAATTTTCTAAGCAATAGAAGAGGTGACACATGCACTGCCAAATATAACAAGTAAAGTATGTCGAAAAGTATGAAACTGATGTATTATAAATACTATTCAATAGCCACAATTGATTGATCACTGGGTGGTGATCAATGTCATGTGTGTCAAGTCCTTCTTAGTGCAGATCGAATGTTGCAATGTGGCCACTAGTCTAAGTGACTTGACATTGCGTGCACTATGTTGAGATTAGATAATGGTTGGAGGTAGTCAACAAGAAGCCCAGTTGACTACCTCCAACCACCATTTAACTATACAATAGCGTACATACAACTTTATTTTGTGTATTTACGGAACAGATTATGTAAAAATTGTTTGTCTGTTAATAAAAATAGTGTTTTTTTTTATTTCAGTGATAAGTGAATCGATTCATCTCAATTCAAAAAATCAACTCAGTAACATTTTGCAATCAGTGTTGTTTTTATGTCAAGAGATCAAACGATATTTTGGTCCATTATTACCTAAAGATTTATGTTCAGAATGGTTATTTAATAATTTATCAAGATCCATTGATTATTATTTAATGAAACCATCTTCATTAGGTCTTTTAGTTCCAATTTCATACCTTCTATTTGGACCAGCTGGAAGTCTTTTCCTTGATTCAAAAATCACCAGACAGTCTATTTTACATTTAAGCAAACATTCTTTGACAAAACTGACAAATACATCCTCATCTGTTGTATCTCAACGTGTTTGTAATGAAAGTGGATTTTCGGTCAATTCAACTTCCTCTCCTTCTGTATCTTGTTCAACACTAACAACATCTCTCAGTTATTCTTCATGTTATTCTAACTCAATTACCTCTTCGTCTATACCAACCACATCTATAACCGATAGTTCTTTTTCGACACAATTATTCAACACTTTTTCAACATCTACTCAATATAATTCGAACAATTATACTTCATCCAATTTTTCCACTACTACAGTATTTACTTCTTCATCTGATTCATTAGTATATGGATCTTCTTTAACGTCTATGCCTATTCTATCTTCTTCCATGCTCTCTTTACCGAACTCACGTATTGATACAGTCATGACTACTACTACTACTACTACTACTACTACTACTACTACTACTACGTCTCTAGTGAATTCATTTTTTACTCCACCTACCATCTCAACATCAACATTTCCAACCACTTTATTAACAAATGAACTTTCTAATATGTCACTCCAGGAGGCTGAACAAGAAAAAAAAGAAGAAGAGAAACAGATTATTTCAACTGAATCAATATCTATTAATGATAATGATATAAATTATGAATTTAGTACACAAATCGAGCAGTTATGTTCGAAGTTGAATGATGAAACAGAAACTAGTTTATCAAATTATAAAAGACCGATCTATTCACCATTCTATGAAAAATATGATGAAAAGTGTAATAAAAGTCATCGAAGTTGGGCAAAGTATGGTTTATTAAATCCTCATCTTATACCATGTATCAGTTTGCCAGGATGTTTGGATCAGACCAATGATTTAGAAGCTATATTTGTTAATTTAAAAAATGACTTATCTATATGTGATATAGAAATCAACAGTTATGATTCAATATTACAATATATGATTAGAAATGCAATAGATTTAATTTACAGGTATGTTTAAATATCATTATTATCTGAAGCGGTTTTTTGTGAAGATTGTAATAATTTAATAGTTGAGTCCATGAGTCAATTAAAGCTAGACCACCATGGAAAGTCTGGAAGTACTGGACGGCCGTTTCATCCTAGTATGGGACTCCTCAACAATGTGCACCCACAATTCCGCTCGCGAGAGCTTAACCTCTAGACCACTGGGCTGCGGGTGTGATCGTGGATGCGCATTGCTGGGGAGTTCCATACTAGGACGAAATAGCCGTCCAGTACTTCCAGGTTTTCTATGATGGTCTATCTTTAATTGGCTCATGAACTCAACTATTGAATATTATCAGTGATTTTGATATTATTTATTGCATAATTTGAGTAATCAGAGTTTAAGTTTTAAATACAAAAGACAATTGACAATTTTAGTGATAATGGAATGAATACTAAGTGACAAAATTATTGGGCATGTCATAGTTGATGATGTATGACATTACATTGTATATCATTTGAAATTTATGTTATTATATATTGAGATATCACTTGTTTTCATGTCTCCTATGAATAAAAATCTACAGTTATGTTTTGAGTGTAAAGTTTATATTAAGGTTACATTTTGAAATTTAGTTTTCTTAATAAAGTTTAATCAAGGAACAATAAAACTTGAAAACGTCTCGGTGATATATTCAGCCAATAAAAAACCGGTCAAATGATAGGCTTATATGATTGACCAAGAATTGGCTTTCACTTCTGAGGGATATAACATCAAGCTTAATTTTCTAAAGAACAGATAATATACACACGAATTAGTACACGTATCTGTATATTTGGTTTAGTCAATAAATTTCAATTATCTTTTTCAGCCCTTTCATTCAAGTTGGTGGTTGGGCTCATGTATAGTAAGATTAGTATCAACCCATTTGTCATTCAATCTGTGTATGGTTTCGCTGAATTGAGTAGGAATTAGTGCAGGGAAAACACTATCATCCCTAGTTAATATTAAGTAACAGTATCAGTAGAAATAGGGATCAACTTCATCCACTTGTAAACAATCAACCTTACATTTAAACTGATCTGTTCTCAAGTGACAAAAATTGTCTTTATTGTTTGTTAATTTTCATGAAGTCATTTATCTAGTAAATTTTTTTCAGTTTAGTAATTGACGAATATGAGTAGTTAAATTTGTTCGTTTACGTGGATTGATACAAACAAATAAATATTTCATTTTATTTTAAGAGTTATGGGTTATGCACTCTACTAATGTGTGTAACACATTGTAGACAATGATGAATGTGTCGCTTAATTTCGTGGATTATTTGAAGTTAGACATTATCACCGTTGGATGACGGACGGTTCAGTGGTCTAATAGTTAAGCGCTTGTGAGCAACACTAATAGATCCTGGGTTCGAATACCGCGGGGGGGGCGGGATCGTAGATGCGCACTGCTGAGGAGTCTCACAGTATGACGAAACGGCCGTTCAGTGTTTCCAGGTTGTCCATGATGGTCTAGCTTCAATTGACTCATGATTTCAACTATTGAAAAACATATATGTCTTTTTTTTCGATATTCTTATCTTTTTTTCTTCATTTTATCAAGTTCATTAACTCATAATCCTTGTTATATATTACTGAATAATTCTACTAATTGTAAAACATATGGAGTCAATTTTCATATACAAAAACAAATTATCAAATGTATTATGAAATTAAAAAATTATCATAAAATTTATTATACAAAATGTTTAATAGAATTTTTAATAAAATTGAATCAAAATTCTAATGAAAAATTTTGGGATCATTATAAACAATATGAAATGATTATTATTGATTTATCAAATCAAAATGTAAACCAGACCTTCTATGATGCTGATGATCATCATCATCATTATAATAACAATATTGATGAGATTAATGATGGTGACAATGATGATGATGTAAATGTGTTACTTTTATTGATACAAAGATTACAGGAACTACGTTTTGATTTACCATGGAATGAAATGAATTATGATAAGCTGAAAGGAATTTTTGTTATTGCTTCAAAGGATGGTAAGTTTTATATCCATATAATAATAATAATAGTAATAATAATAATAATAATGAACACTTTATTCAAAAGCAATATGTTTGATTAAAGTAAATAATTCCCAGTCCAATTATTACTTCTTGCTGTGATGAGCGATACTTACTTACTTACGCCTGTTACTCCCAATGGAGCCTAGGCCGCCCACCAGCATTCTCCAACACACTCTATCCACCGCCTTCCTTTCCAGTTCCATCCAATTTTTGTTCATTCTGCTCATGTCTGTCCCCATTTCTCGGCGTCATGTGTTCTTTTGTCTTCCTCTCCTCCCTTGACCTTCAGGATTCCATGTGAGAGCTTGATTTGTGACACAGTTGGGTGCTTTCCTCAATGTGTGTCCTATCCACTTCCAACGACTCTTACTAATTTCTTCCTCCACTGGGACCTGCTTTGTTCTTTCCCACAATAGTTTGTTGCTGATAGTGTCTGATCAACGGATCCGGAGTATTTTGTGTAGACAACTGTTAATAAACACTTGTATGTTCTGGATGATGGCCATCGTAGTTCTTTATGTTTCCACCCCATACAGTGGAACTGTGTTGACATTTGTATTGAAAATTCTGATCTTGATGTTGGTTGTTAGACAGTTGTTATGAGGTCCAAATGTTCTTCAGTTGTAGATATGCTACTGTTGCTTTACCGGTCCACGCCTTCACATCTGCATCAGATCCACCATCGTGTTCATCAATGATGCTGCCCAGATATGTAAAGGTTTTTATATCTTCGAAATATTCTCTGTGAATTGTGATTGGATTGGTGCATAGTGTGTTGTATGGGAGAATCTTGGTTTTGCCTTTGTGTATGTTGATACCTACTGCTGCTGAGGTTGTTGCTACACTGGTCGTCTTCTCCCGCATTTGTTGTTACGTGTGTGATACAAGATGATGAGCGATAGAGGGGAAAAATTAATCAACAGTCATAAAATATATCAGAAACATAAAACTTTCTTATTATATATAAATAAATGCCTGAGTACTAATTTTGTTATCGATTAGTCACAGGGTAGTGGGCATTTTAGTGTTTGTCCGGTCCTTAATCCAACGTGGCCACTAGTGTAAATGACTTAAATTCTTATTCACTTTGTTGATATATTAAGTAGTTTACAGATGGTCGACAGGAATCCATTGACCTGTATGTCATGACATTTGACGTTCATCAGTAAGGTCTGCCAGGTCAATTCAAACACAGAATGCATCATTTTACGACCAACTATGTTTTCTCACTTCATATCAAAATATTACTGGTATGTCCTTGTTTTGTCTGCCCACTAGTCTGAGCTTAATACACAGGGAGAGACTTGTCTCAACTTTGTTTACAGCCTTGACGTAATGGGTTACTCAGTACATCAATGTGACTTGTAGCCCGTGAGTTTGATTAATGACTGAACGACCATGATCAGAAATAATATCCTACCACCAACTGGAAACTGGATATGTTAGTTAGCTGAGAGAGAGAGAGAGAGAAGACGATATAGCTGGCATCATATATCCGGTTTACTCATGATCTGACTCATGCAGAATAGGTACACGAATAAATAGGTGACACAAATGACCACAGCTCACAAGAAATAAGTAAAATACAATTTTATTCTAGCTACGACATTAGATTAATTTTGAAATGAAAGAGACTACGACAGTAATTTACAAATTAAACGAAAGCTCACGATTCATAAAGAAAATCGGTCATAAAACTAAACATAAGTACTTTACGGATTTATAGTTAACCGAAACGATGTCCAGAAAAGGTTTTCTTATCAACCACATCTAATCAGACAGATAAACAATTGAGCAGAATATTGTTTTTCTCATTTGAGAAGAGTCTATGACTGATGAATTCAAATAACTTATTCGCATTACATGTTGAGCTATTCATATTTACTTTATACTAACATTTATAAAACAATAGTTGAGATAATTTTCAAAATAACTTACTCATTTATTTCCAAACTAATATAAATTGAAATTAATGGGTCCTAGTTTCTAAATTCAGGACAAAACAACTCTTCAGTATTTCGTTGTTTTTGTCAGGACAGTTCACAGGTGAACATGAGGAAATTCTAAGAATTTCAGAAAGACCCGAAGATATTCCATCTAATCATCTTTTGAAAGAATATTCCAGAATCTCTACATGTAGCTTCCCTTTTGGACAAACGCTAATAACCCCCTGTGTGTGGATTGGAAAGCTATAATGATGATTTCATGTTTTTACTGAAAACTATAAATACCTGACAGTATTGTATCATAATTGACACTGTTTTGGAATAACATTCCTTTCACTTGTCTTCTATTTTCTCATTTACGACTTGTGAGTGTTCTAGCGTTCGAGTGCTCAAATTATACGCGGCATAGTAAGAATCTAAACTCTAGATATAAATATCAGAAAGTGATGAAAATAATTTAGTCCAGTAGAAAAAAATCTTTTTGGTTTGAATACACATTGGTTTTACGTAGTATATTATTATTACCTAATAGTTATCAAAAGTTTTAATTATCGATATTTTACAATGTAACCGAACACCAGTAAAATCCCTTATTGATTTTTTTCCTTTGGTTTCGAAGTTATCTTGACTGATATCAGGAAGTGATGAAAATAATCTTTACGTTTTTACAATTCAGTCCCTTATTTATTGATTTTTTTTCACTGATTGAAATCACGAGTCAATTGAAGCTAGACCACCATGGAAAACTTGGAAGCAATGGAAGGCCGTTTTGTTCCATCATGGGACTCCTCAACAGTGCGCATACACGATCCTGCCCAACGCCAGATCCGAACTCAGGACCCATCAGTCTCTCGCCAGGCGCTTAACCAACTAGACCACTGAGCCGGCCGGTATCCAACGGTGTTAATGTCTAGCTTCAACCAATCCATGAAGCTGCGTCACCGTACACCATTATCTTCAGTGAGTTGATATCTCACAACAGACCTGGTTGAACTTACTTGGTAACGGCTTCTCACTAGAACACCAGAAGTGTCTCTTGAAGTCAGTCACCAGTGAGTAGATGATTATTATCAGAAGGGGTTTAGTGGAGATTTTAATAATTTCACTGATTGGATACGGGCTAGCTCAGTGGTCTATTTGGTTAAGCGCCTGGTGCGAGACTGATAGGTCTTGGGTTCAAATCTCGCGAGTTGCGGGGTCATGGATGCGCACTGCTGAGGAGTCCCATACTAGAACGAAGCGGCCATCTAGTGCTTCCAGGTTTTCCATGGTGGTCTAGCTTCAGTGAACTCATGATTTCAATCAGTGAAATTTCTAAAAAAATCTCCACGAAACCCCCCTTCTGATTTTTTTTTTGTTGTTGTTTCCTTTCCAGATATAATATATAATCAACTCATACAATATATATCATGGGATTGTGTTATCAATTTCAATGAAATAACAAATGATTTACAACATATGAATATAGAATTTAAAAGTATTACTAATCATATAGATTTTGATCCAAAATCTATATTGAAACGTTTCTTATATAATTATGATTTCTTATTAAACAATAATAATGATAAGAATCATTTCATTTTATATGAATTATTCATTGAAGCTTATTTATTAACTTATCATTATTTAAATGAAAATATCAATGATATTCATAGACGACAAACATTATTCAATAATCAATATTCATTCAATTATATTATACAAACAATCAATGTTTGGTATTATCTTCAATATAATCGTAATGAACAATATAATAATCAATTATTATTATTATTATATAATCAATTCAATGATACTAATTTACTTTATAATTCAATGAAAAATAATTATGATTTATTAGAGAATCAAATCATTCAAGCTAATTCTATATTAGAATTAATGAGAAAAGATTTATCTAATTATCAAGAGATATATTTACCTGAAGCTAAATTAAATTATACAAATACAAATGAACATTTACAATATTTAGAAAATGAAATTTTACATAAAGAAAATGAATTAATGAATATGAAGAAACCAATGGATCATGTGAAGAAATTAGCTGAAAATGAATTTCATAAAGTATAATTTATTATTTTATAGTGTATGCATTTAAAGCTATTTATATCTTCTCATTGGTTTGCACATCAATTCCAGGATGCAAGTACATCTAGCTGATGAGACCTAAATAGGACGAAATGTGTCTCATGGATTCCATTGTTAGCCATTATCTATCTTTGCTTATATAACTTATGACTTCAGTTCAATATCGAGATAGTTAGCATAGGATGCACATATACCAACCAGAGACTGATCAATTACAGACCTAAGTAACAATGATAAGATACAAATAAGCAACACTAAGTGAATATAACTTCATACCATTGCACAAGCAGGTGGATATCAGGACTGAGTAGCTAAGTGGATAAAGCGATGGAGTTTGAAGCGAACGGTGCTGGGTTCAAGTCGCAAATAGGACGGGACGCACGTCCTGTATACCACTGCTAGCCACTATCTATCTTTGCTTATAAAGCTACTCATATAATGTTAGTAGTATGATAAAGTAAATGTTAAAGAATCAATGTAATTAGTTATTTGTCTATATTAGGGTGATTAAGAAAATGGATACACCGTCTGAGAATTAGTAAAATTTACTCCCCGTTTTTATTGTTTTTACTGTTTTGTGGCCCGTGGATCTGACTCTAATTAGATTGTACGAATGTTTGCTATCGCCTATTCTCGTATATCATCGTCGACTTTAATCATGTTAGTCAATAACGAAATTAAATAAGTCAAATAACGAGAATGGGATTTTGAATACATATATTTTGTATATGAGGTGAATGGAATAGAAGGAAGAGAAGCGACGCGAGTGGAGATGGCTGGTAAGCCAACTCATTTTTAGTCAACCGTTACTCAATATTTATAGGCAGACAAAATAAACCACAGACATGTGGTGAGTCATGGGATATGAAGTGTGCACACATATACGCTCATATAAAAACAGTGAAGAGTGATAAGCGAATAATTAACAAGGTCAACATTTATGACTCAAGTAGAATGAATAGAATGGGATGTCCGAAAACTAGAATAAGATTTATTATGGGCTTAAAATAATGACTGACACTACAACTGTACCTATTAATATATTTCATTAATGTTTGCCCTAAATCACACTACTTAAATAATATCTCAAGCAAATTACATAAAATAATACGTAAAACAAAGGAGTTTTTTCAGAATTAGACTGAGAAACCCCTTGTTTTCAACGTCTTGTTCTTATAAAAAGCAACTAACACTATGTATATGTCATATCATTTTTAATCCGATTGTATTAAGGATGACATGATGTCATGAGATATCATATCTGTTTATGAAGTCACTAACTGGTAAACTATGGAATATTTGATTGAAGTTTTCAAAGTAATCATTTTCTACAATTGAAGACATCATGCCTATCATATCTTCTGAAGTCATAATATGTTTATATCTTAAATAAGATACAACAGAAAGATTTCAAATCTCGTTTTTGGATATTTCATTAATACCAATACTCTTTATAGTATATTTTCTAATGTGATTTTGTACATTTTATGCATTAAATATAATGTTCCTTTTATATTTATTCACATGAAATGTAATGCAAATAATCAAACTAATTCGTAAATATTCTGTAGGTTTTCACATGTACTTTCATAGAACTGTATTTACTACTTCTAAAGTATTTCTTCTATAGATTAAGAAGGATAATTAATAGAATCTAATTTGATATCGATTGTAGTTGTATTTATTTATTTACTTATTTCAACACATAGATATTGGTACAAAGAGGCACCAAATACATATGCGCCACACAAATCTCATTCGATATGTGTGAGGGCTGTGATACTGCCTGGGTGCCCAAACCGAAGCAGGTGGTTTTCTTAGGGGGCCACACCCCGGGCCTTCGACACAAAGGTCTAATTCACAAGGCAGTGGAGTATCGTAAGGAGATGCAGTCCCATGGAAGCCGGTGACCAATAATCGGTTCATATGCCATTTGTTCCCACAAGATACTGGAGCACATGTGCAACAATGGTTTGGGATCCGGTTAAAGCGCCGGACATTCGCTTTTCGTCCTCTCAATTTCGTAAACAACACCCCTTTGACGAGAAGGCAGTGAGTAGGACTTCCCTGGCAGGGATTGTAGTTGAAAACATTCTGGATCCCTACATTAAGTTATTGAGTTCGACTGATTTCATATAGCAAGATATTAATTCATGTTTTAAAATGAATTTATTTGATACAAAATATCAGAACAGTCAGATGAAACTATCGAAACAGAGGTCAGAATAGTAGAAATAATAATAGAATCAATAATAGTAAACGATATTACAGGTAGGCATTCTGATTCTAGAAGAAAGATTTTATTCAAGAGTAAAATACATGAGACAACTTTAAAGATCAAGGTTTACAAGACAAATTGTGAATGTACCTGATCCATATAATCCTTAATCCTACTTCTCTCAATAGAAAGGAAGGTCTTACCATACATCCTACTTGGACCATCTATCCTGGCCATTCAGTCTGATCGTATTTACAATTTCACACTATCATATTACAATTTTAAACTCTATCCTTTCTTACCATAAAGGTCACAAGTTTTCATTCTTAAACAATGCACATATACATACACACAAATTTACATACAGATCACTTATGAATCACCTTGACAGAAATGACATGACACCAGCTTGTTCAGACCTATTTTTGATTGATCAAATATTATTCTTGCATTGTTCCATTGTACTATTTAAACTTGGATTAATTTTAATTTGGTTATTTATTCTCTGAAGAAGTGACTTACACTAAGTCACGAAACGTCAGAAAATCCAATTTTCTACTCATTGGGATATTACAAATATATTATTTTTATTTATGATCCATTTCTGTCTATTCTTAACCATGTATTCCTGAATAAGAGGTTCAACCCTTATAAGCCAGATGGCGATATCGTTAACTCTAAACGAAAGCCTATGAAAAGGTGAAATAAGAATGAGGATACTGGGCAATTCTGGTGAATATCAATTAATGTCATCGTTTCTGATGATAGTTCACTATAAGCTCTTACTCAACCAGTAGTGTCCGAGTAAGAGGCCATCATAAGGTTTGTATACGTTTTTGGCAACAGTTACTTGTCAAGCAATTGAGTTAAATACTGTCTTAAGGTTATTAAATACCGTTACACTAGGCGGCTAGTAGGTATGTCTAAGTCCTATAATATAACAAAGGATGAATGTTAGGTCAATAACTGCGTCAAGGTCTGAAACTAGTCTGATTGTTGAAAGTTCACTGTTTACCAGACCTAGTTCAGCATACTCTAGTTTATTCTTTGAATCATTTTTGACAAAAATAGAGTAAACATACATTTTTATGCCTTTTTTTAAAAACTTATTTTGATTTTAGTTAGAGAATGCTTATCGTTTAGCTGTTCAAGGATTACATAATTTATCCATTGAAGATTTAGATGAAATACGATCATATCGTGAACCACCAGATGATGTGAAAAATTGTGTCTATTTAATTTGTATGCTTATGGATGAAGAGGAAAAGTCAGTTGTTTATATATTTTTAAAATGTATTTTGATTTCTTAAAATCATGTTATCTATAAGTTAAGAGGTATATTGAACTACTGAGATATAAATGGTTGACTTCAATTCTGTGGGTTAACACTAATGTTTCCTAACTGGAGTACTGAACTGTAATATGATTTAAATAAAGTATGAACAATCCAGTAAATTTATGCTCAACTCATGACCCTTAGTGACTTCTGATTGGCCTTCGGAAGATAGAGTTAATCTTTAGTCAGTTGGAATACAGGATATATATACACGAATAATTTGTTACATTCAAGATGAAAGACGATTAAGATCTGGATTAAGGAATAAGATTGAGATTTAGGTTTAAGATTTGTTGTGAACAGAATAATAAAGAAGAATTGATAAACTATAAAAGCTACTGTTTAGAATATTAACACGCTTAATTCTAAATCAGTTAGAATTACTAACATTGATTTAACGTAATTTTCTAATCCTCTTAACGACAAGCTTTAGTATAAATCCTACTATCATTAGTGATGCTACTGTAATATTTTCATTCTATCTCAAAGTTTTTGTAACTTTACCATAAAAATTGTATACTATTCCAGTACCTTAGCTCATCTAGTTTGGGATTGCGGTCTACTTTAGCAGATATTTATGTCATTGAATAAGAAAAAGAGAATTCAGCGAAGAAAATTTTCTTTTCGACGAAATCATTTACTTAAGCTGTACATTCGTATATATAGTTATATGGAAAATGTATGTCTATAGAAGGATAGAAAGGATTGTATCACAAAAAATGGGGTTAACGTACTAATCAAGGGGTAAGGAAGAACAAAATTTAAGGGTCAGATAATAGTCCAATTGACAGATATGAAGAAAAACGACAAAACAACAAAGGTCATAATAATAAACTGATTGATAATCAAGAAAACTTGTAAAAGGTAATAATAATAAATGATTAGAGTTTAAAGTGCAAAATAGTAATTTAAAAATTATGGATAATAATAAAAGTGCATTAAAAAAAACACCCTAGAAACATACCCATATTTATGTCCATTATTCGTTTAGTTTCTTTAGTCCGGAATTCGGATATAGGTTTTTTATTACTTTTATCTTCTATTCTCTTGTCAATCACTCATTATCCACGTGTCAGATCGTTAGTTAGTGAATAGGGTAGTTCTCTACCCTCAGGGTCAACTAGTCACATATCGAACTCATATATTCAGTCACAAGGTCATACTAAGTAGCCAAACTTATCTAGGAGATTGACGAGTTTCGAGACTAATGTCCCAGGTTATCTAACTGCATAATCAGGGTATAAAACAAGGTTATACTAGAACCTGAGTGGGAACTGATTTGTAAGTAAATGACTGAATACATTCATGTCCCCAATTCTTTGGTTTTGTTGTGTGGTAGAAGAGTTAGAGCACTTGTGAAGTCTAAATCATCCAGCTGCATTCTAGCTGTTCACTGTATTCCATGCTTCCTCTTAGATGTTGACGTCTTCATGATCCAGTCGATCATCGAAAGAAAGAGAAAGGATGAGAGTAAGTAACCTTGCTCGACACCGGTTTTTACTTCGAACAAGTCTGTGAGCTGTCCTTCATGCACAGTTCCGCAGTTTAATCCATCATAGGAATTCCGTATGATATTGACTATCTTCTCAGGTACGCCGTAGTGTTCTCTCTCTCTTTCTGTATATGTATATATTCTCGACTATTTTATCATCTCGAAATAAGGTATTTTATGATGTATAAAGTTCTTGTTTTTTTTTATTATTTCCCTTATATACTTTTCTCTATTCAATAATTGAAGTTGGGAAAATGCAAAACATATGATGGTCCCAGTCAAATTTATTAGTAAAATCTTAAAACTTTCCATTCAATCAATTAATAAACATAAACATAATGAATTAAGAAAACGTTTAAATAATTCAAGCATATTAACATTTGAAAATTTATTACAGGTAAGTAAAAAGGTTTTAGAAAAAATATGTTTCAGTTGAATAAGATGAAAGCTTTGAAATGGGAATCTAGAGCTATGTCATTTAAAGTCTTCATTCATAGATCATGATTATAAGCTAATACTTGAACAAGTAATCTTAAACAAATATATCTTCTGGTTTAGTAAATCTAAGGAGTATATAATCTTCACTCTATACAGACTCGAACTCAGGAATTTGAGATTTCATCACAAGCATAATATAATTTAGTCAAGGGTACAATTTTTCATTCTGTTTATATTAACAACAGTATCAATCATTAATTCCTGGATTTTATCATTTTAAACATATAAGTTTATTTGTTTGTTCTGGATACTGATTTCGGTACCGGAAGATGTTGATTTAAGTCATATGTGGAACATCGATTCTCTCAAGATGACGGATTTGCCTCGTTTAAGAGTTTCAAGTGACATGAACACTATCTTTAGAACGAACTATCAATCTCATTCAACCACTTGACAGTGTTTAATTTCTTAAGAGATTTTATTTCTAAAGACAGACATTTTTTATAAAAAGGTGGATCCTGACACCTGGCCGAAATAGTGAAACGTTGCCATACATTAGCTATATCCCTAATCATAAAGAGATTTTTCTGTCATCTAACCATATAGTTAGAACATTGGATACATTTAGATACCCAAAATACCTTTGAACTGAAATAAAATAAATAACCAGAGAAGAACTGGAAATCTGGATGGTGAAAGCTGTAATTACTTAATTACTCAGCATCCTTATTGACTAAATGATAAAATGTTCAGTTATCCCATCGACTCATTATATCTTGGAACTTTTCGAAAAAAATTACTCTATTGCACAGTTTGTGGAAGGGCATTCGTAGGCCAAGAGCTGACTCTTCTAAAATTATCATAAATATTTTACTGAGATCATGGACCGATCGCCGCCAGACAACTATTGAAAACCTGGGAGCACTGGACAACCATTTTTTCCTGCTATCACACACCTTATTAGTGTGAATCGATTAAAATTAGGTGAACGTATCTCCGGATTTTAGCTCAGTGGTTTAAAAGTTAAACGGTCATGAGTAAGACTGAAATTTCTGAGTTTGGTCTCCAGTGGTAGGGTCAAGGATGTTCACTAGTGAGGAGCATTACATTGACACGGAACATCCGTTCAATGTTTCTAGACTTTCAATGGATGTCTAACCTAGGTCGCTGGGTGATCTCAATAAAATTCAGTAATGTTCACAATTCTCATACTGATATTATGAACATGATTGTCGATAAGCTTTTGAAATTATTCAACTAAGTAACAAGTGATAATTTGTCAAATAGAAACCATTCGCATAATTGAAAACTTTCTTGTAGTATACCTTTGAATAGTACAGAGAGCAGGCACACTAAAATCTATGCACATATAGAGAGATGCAAAGGCTATAATTAGCAAATATATTATGCGTTAAAGCAGTACTAATTAAAAATCTTTAATCTTATTAAAACTCTTTACGTTCTTATTGAGTTTTTTTATCGTACCAAACTTCTTTTATTAAACAAGGCAATCATCAATAAGGGTTTATGGTTTTCCGTTGTTAACATTCATGACTGCAGGTAGTTACTCTGTTATCACATTCGTATCCTGAGCTCAGTCCCTCGATATAGAGTTATCAAAGCTTTAATCAATTTAGTGTTTGGCTATCAGTGAGGTCTAGTTTCGTCTTTAATTTCTCTGTGGATAATGTGTTGGGTATTTTAGAAGAAAGATGCTGAACACCAATACCAGGATGGAGATACATTCAGCTGACGACTATCAAATAGGAAAAACACCTCTATAGGATCAAACTGCTAACTACATTCCAACTCTACGATATCCATTATCACTACATACTTCAATGAGTAAATAAGTTTCATTCTTGCTGTGTCTCCCTATTAACAATTTAAAACAATGACTGGTTCATTCAATTTATCAAAATTTTTTATCCGAATTAATAGGTAAGTGTTGCTGCTGCCCGATTATGTCAATGGTTAAGAGCATTATGTGATTGCTGTGATGCTGGAGAACGTTTACAAAATCACATTGATGATTATTCTTCAATTGAAGCACAAGTTAGACGAAATGAATCAGCATTAGGCAATTTACATTTATCATTACAACTAACAAAAATAAACATAGAAATGGCTAATAATCATTTAGTTGGATGTGAACATCAAATTAAACGTCTTTCAGAGAATATCGATGTAAGCTTAATCGTTTTCCGTATTGATTTTAATGCTTATTAAAAAAGTGATATCAAATATGTCCCAAATATTGATAGTTTTAATAGAAAAATATTACCAGTATGGAGACCGTCGATCTCGTGCGCAAACGCATAACCTTTAGATCACTGAGCAGTCACCTGACGGTGTTGATATCTAACTCCAACCAATCCACGATCGCGGATGCACAGTGCTGATAAGACCCATACTGTGATGAAACGGCCGCCCAGTGCTTCCAGGTTTTCAGTGGTGGTCTAACATTCATCAATTAATGATCTCAATCAAAAATTTTCCGATCACCACAACGCCACGCTGATAAAGTATATCCAAAAATTAGTACGTGAATGAATGTATTTTGTTCTAATAAGCGATTTAATTTTGAACGTGATTTTGAAACTTGTTTAGGGAAATGTTTTTGGAAAGCTAATAAATCTTCATTGCACCAGTCTTTCATGTCCACACTTTGGATTGTGAGAATTTCAATGGTCAAGTATAATCAGTAAGACTTCAGATCTAATAGAGTTCATACATATTTAACAACGACGACAACTCCCAATATAGACGTGACAACGCAGATTCAACAATTACCATTATTATGATGACTGTAATGTTTCCCTGCATTACTCCTGCTAATTACCATCGCCTCAGCAGTTCATAATTTTTCGACTCGGCCTCTCTTTGATCTAATTCTTTTAAGAGTACTGCTGGGGCGTCGACGATCCCCAATTTCAAGTTTAAACTCTACGTACAAAAGTGATACATCCAACCTCTCATCCTTCCTTAGCACTAATTCTCTTCTTTATTATGTCTTGTTTTTGTTTATATTATTATTTTGTACACTTTTTAAACCGTAGTCATTTGATATTATCCTCTAGTGATTTTCCGAGATAACTATTCACTTGTTATTATGACCTTTATGTCTTTCATTTTCTCTTCATACTTCGCACTTTCCAGACCAGTAAATCATTTCCATCCTCTTATTCTTCTCTAAACGCTTGACATTACTCAACCTTCTCTTGATATTTGAAATCTCAGATCACTTTATGATGTAATCTCTTTCTATTCTTCATAAAGATTCATCTATCTACCCAAACAACGATAAATACGAGCGATTTTGTCGGAACGAAAATTTTCTTCGTGGAATTCTACTGTTTTTAATCAATCACAGAATGAGTTATATGAACCAAAATCCAGTCCCTCTGAACTTAATATAATTGGGCAGCTTATTAGCATGTGGTGTAACCTAATACATTTGAGCACAAATTTAATCAATACTAGTTACTAATCTGATAATGTCATTGGTCAGTCCTACAGGAGTGACCAATGGAATCGATTTCTTCTAAGGATAAAAATCCATTAACTAATTTTTTCTTATTATAGATATTAGATTATAAAATTCATGAAGCTAAAGCATTGGCATCAACTATACAGAGTAATTTATCTGAATTATACAATGATACTAGCAATCATGATGCAACTAAAAATTTTTCATTTTGGTTCAATATACTCGGAGCATTGGGGACAGTGTATTGTCAAACATTACCAATTAAGCATAGGTAATTAGTATTCTACTTTCCGTCCTTTTGTGTGTATGTTTGTTTCGAAATGAAGGTCGTATTTGTATTTTTTATTGAATATGCAGTGAAGTAAGTAATGTGATGGTAATTAGGTTATTAAAACTTTGACTAGTGTTCTATTTAAAGTTACAATTCTATCAATTTTTAAATTATGTTACATCAGAAGTAATCCAATGATTATTGTTACGATTCACAACGCTGGATTCTGGTACTCATGCTTTCTACATTTTTGTCCAACTAATCGTGTAAGTGAAGAAAACTGAGAAACGACTAGAACCTCGAAATTGTCCTTCTGATTTTAGACAAGGACGTATAAGCTAAGAACTTGACTAGGAATATAATCTGCTTCCCTTAATATAGTATTGCATCTACTATTTGACCATAAGATGGCATGTAAGCACAAGGACGTGATATACTGAGACTTGTCAAACAATTGCAAATGCTCATATAGCTAATAAGAACCCTTGTATAACACTTTTATAGTAATTTTCATTGTGTAATGAAAGGACATAGATGATTTGAAAAACAAACCTGATATAGTTGCTTGATAAGATTTGGATTAATCTAGTGAGGAGATTTTTTTAGACAAGAAAATAAACATGCACTTCTAAACAATAATCAATTTAGGGGTTGTGGAGATTGTTAAGTTTTTGATTGAAATCACGAGTCAATTGAAGCTAGACCACCATGCAAAACCTGGAAGCACTGGATGGCCATGATTACAATCAAAATCTAAACAATAAACTGAATAAACAACTTTTTAGCTTTTATTCTTTTCAAACAAATTTTGCCGTGATTTAAAACGGATTTGACAAATGAATAGGTTATAACTTTCAATGTAGATAAATCATGAACTAAACCTATTGTAACAGTTTATATTAATGATAATTTCTTCTGAATATATTCTCTTTCTTAGGTAAAAGTTATGTGTACATTTTATTTTGTCCTAGTACGATAACAGAAACAGTTTGATTGATTTCATTGATGACTGATATCACCTTGAAAACCATTTTAAAATAGAAAAAATGGAATGGTTGTCAATTGTAACTCATGAACTTCTTACAGCTGTTCGTCCAGAATGGTAGGACGTATTGAACCCAGGACTTTCGGGTCTCTTAGTCAGCAGATTAATATTTATTCTAAAAATAGTCAAATTCTATGGTCACATTATCTAACATCAGTCAGTTCATAATATACAGTGATTACTTACACCATACTAATTTAGCATTGTTTAGAACAATGTTACAGTTTCATTTACGAATAAGATTATTTTACAAGCCATAACTTCTTATGGGAATTTCGAGAAATCCTCATTAAAGATAGTCATTAGTTTTTACAGAATTATTATTCATTTATTTAAGCGGTTTTATGGGCGTTTGTAATTATTTGGAGATAAATTTCATGATGAATCAGTAAAGGCAGGAGAGCTACATTAACCATCATTATTCTAACAAATAAAATATGAGTATGGAGGTTTATGAGAGTTATTGACCGTCACTGATATTACAAACTGACCTAAGTTACACATCCATTATTAGTCAGAAGGTACTAACCAGTTGCTTTATTCAAGTATGTGACACCACAGTAGTACTTATTCACGACCTCACTGTTGGGGAACGAACTCAGGACCCACCAGTAAAGCGCATGAACGCTAACCCTTGAGCCGGGATCTAATCTTCGACGTTTTACCTTGCTATAGTACGTCAAAACCTTCTGTTTTCTTCAGTAGTTAATTGTTGTACACCTGAAACGTTCGAACTCCTCTGGTCACAACTTCTTACTAGAATTCCACAATTACCTTTTAAAACTAGTCACTAGTGGACCCGTCATAATTATCACTGTGGTGGTTTGAGGAGATTACCGAATACTAGTGATATTACAAACCGATCTAGGTTACTCATCCATTAAGAATCAATAAGAATCGAATAACTGAGTAGTCCTAGTACATAGTTCAAACAAATATTTTGGTTCTTGTATTATTTATTTTACGTTATTATTTTACAGATCTTCATTGTGGAATAATTTCAAAACTCTCGTTTGGAATAAAATGAAGGTGAAGTTGATTACTTTAAAGAAACACTCATTTTGTTATTTATCATCACTTTTCGTAAATTTTATCATTCTTCTAAAAATGACTGTTCGAAATTAGTTCAGCAAAATTGAGTCATATATATATATTCGACCAAAGACTGTCGGAAACTAGAATGAAAAAAGCTTTGTAAAACATCGGGAATCAATCGCATTCAAACCAAACAATTATGTCGGGTTCAGTTCAAGTTGAGACGGATTGAATTATCCCGTTGTTGATATTCTTGACTGAATTTTGGCAAGATGATTAGTTGGTGTATATTCATCCCATGCGAATCACGTCGATACATCGAATTATGACACACGTTAGCAAAGAAGAAAAGGAATTTCACTAGTAGTGAGATCCGAAGAGCGGGTTCCATCCTATTTAGGATTCATCAGCTGAATTCCATCACACCCCAGAGTTGGAGTTCACTCCAGGATTCAAAGCCAGTGCCGTTCGCTCCAAACGCCATTATGTTATTAATCTAGCTACTGATTTCAGCAGGGTGCCTGGTTGTGCAGTAGATATGAGTTTTAATTTTAATTTAAAAGAAGTCAATTTCGATCAAAATTCATGATTTTTTTCGATTGTAATAAATTGTAGAACTAAAAACGCACATTTCGTCCTTTTTGGCCACTTCAGTTGAATTTATAAACAATACAGTCTTGTTGTTCAAACTGAAACTCACACCCAGTACTGATCGTTTTGTAAAGCAGTGTGTTATCTACAGCAAATAGTCCCTTTGATAAATTTGGGTAATGTAATAATGAGAAGAAAATTATCAGAGCTATATGATATTTATTCGAGCAATACCTTTTGAACAAATCGATCACACGTATATACGTTAAGAACATATATATATGAATAATAAAAGGTAAACTAAAATGGAAGGTGATGGAAAATAAAGTTAATAAGGAAAATAATGTGAAAAACAATGTGGAACTCACCACGCTGAACAATAAATCACCGTAACCAATGTAGGTTTATGGTGTTATCACATAAGCTACTGAGTTCCGATATCCACATCATCAACGGTACTATGGAAGTATATGCTAGTGACTCATCCCAAATAAAAAAATCTTATTCTGGATTCCTTTGCTAGTCACGACCTGAAATTTTCAAAACTCTTAACTATAAATAATATTAAGACATAAAATTAGGTTGCCAGTTTGTCTAAATAGAAAAAAACTATGTGCATTCTTGAATATCAACAGGTGGAGAATCTAAACTATTACATATGTATCAGAAGGGTTATAGTAGAGATTGTAGTAATTTCAATGGCTGAAATCATGGGTCAATTGAAGCTAGACCACCATGGAAAACCTGGAAACACTGGACAACCGTTTCGTTCCATTGTGAGATTCCCCGGTAGTGCACATCCACGACCCCGCCTCGCAGGATTCGAGCCCAGGACCTATCAGTCTCGCGCGCGAGAGCTTAACAACTAAACCACTGTGGAGTCCCACAGTAGGAAGAAACGGCCGTCCAGTGCCTCCAGGTTTTTCATGGTGGTCTAGCTTCAATTAACTCATGATCTTAACTATTGAAATTATTACTTGTGTTCATTATTGTTTAAAGTTTCACCATGTATTTCAATTCATACTATTCTATTTACAGTATACTTCTGAAGAAAGTCTAGAAAATAATACTTTTATACTTGTTTTCTAGGAAGTCTATCACCAAACTACGAATGATCAAAAGGAAAATTTGATAATATGTGAAAAAATTCTTCAAAATTTACCATTGTTTAAAATTATTCAAGCACAGCCATACGAACTAATGAAATGGTTTACATTGAACAAAAACTTTCCACCAGAATTAATACTGTTATATAATGATCGACATATTAGTTATATACTTGAAGCTATTCTATCTATACTTACAATTCTATGGTCGGTTAGATATGCTCATACTAAACAGTGTGATAATGATAATGTTGATGAATCAATGTTATATCTGTTTATTTACGATCCAGATCTAACTGGTATCAATGTAATAAAATCATTATTACTAACAAAAGATGATACTGATGAAAGTGATAACATTTCTTCAAGGTAAGTTTGTCGTTCAGTTAAAGTAAATGTTTACAATTGATTGGTCACTGGGTGTTGATCAATATCATGTATGTCAGGTCCTTCTTAGTGCAGATAGACTCCTATCGATCAAGTTGCAATGTGGCTACCAGTCTAGGTTACTGGTCATTGCGTGCACTATGTTGAGATAAGATGGTGGTTAGAGGTGGTCAACAGGAAACTCTGGACCTAGGTTTCGATCTGCACTAAGAAGGACCTGACATACATGACATTGGTCACCACCCAGTGATCAATCAATTGTAAATACACTTCATTCCTACAGGATGTCAATCGCGGCCTGGATAACTCAGTGGTAACGTCTCTGACTGCGAAGCTGGTGACACGGGATCGGACCTGTCAGAGGTTGTCGATTCCTTCACTCTAATGATCATTGTATCCCATACCGAATTATTCTCTAGTTGGCTCAAGTTAGTTTTTCAAAGTTAGAAAAATTACTTTATCAAACTGTAAATTCATATCGAAGTCGTCATTCACACGATTAAGTGATGCGTAAAATCCAGTGTATAACTGACATAAGATTATCTGCAAAGACAGTATTATTATTGCGAAATTAATATGAAGTGCTTTATGAACATCAATTCATGAAGTGTCTACGATACATACTGTGTCAAGTTATATAGTCAAAGAAGGGTAATTCATGAAATGTATATGGCTACTAATATTTGGGTCCAAATTATAATTTTAGATAATATTAAAATTAGAACTAAGAACACGAAATATGAAAATTGTCAAAAACATTCACTGGATACAATACAACTGAAAACGACTGCTTCAATCTTAAAGAATTGAAATTACAGTAGTAACTTAATAGAATGTTGCAATTTCGTTTCTTTGTTTATAATGGTTACACACAACAGAAATACGCTACACATTATTCTTGAAGTTATTAGAATCGAAATTGGTTACTGAATATTAATAAGTAATATAAGCTAATGCACTCAAAGAGAATCGGGTTGAAAGACAACAATAATAAATGCAAACATTTATGGTACTCAGTTAAACTTAATTTGCTTGCCTTATTATAAACAGTGAGAATAAATGATGGCATAAAATCTGCAGGCATACAGTTTGAATACTTTAGATAATTTAATCTACCGAATTCATGATTTCACTATATATTTATCAATTATTATCACTCTTTAGTATGTGTATATTCCATTAATAATGCCAATATATGAGGCAAAACTCACTAATACAAACGTTCAGAGGTTCGCAAAAATAAAGACGTATAAAATTAAACCTGAAAGTCAAAGGTATTGGTTTATTTACAAAGGGAGTTGTCTGAGTCTCATCTAATTAGATAAAGCATTTGAACGGTATACTTATCGGTGAATAAATAATATAATTTATAGGCTAACATATCAAGTTCGAATCTCCTGGGGTGGGATTGCGGATACACACTGCTGAAGAGTCTCATACTAAAACGAAACGGTCGTCCAGTGCTCCCGGATTTTCCATAATGTTCTAGCTTCAATTGACTCATGAATTCAACTATTAAATTATAATAATATCCACAAAAACCCTCTCTGATTATATCAAGTTATACCCAATAAATGAATTTAATTCTATTAAGGGGTTAAGAAACCAATTCTAGTAATATTTTGACACTTCTATATTTCACTGATTGAAATCATGAGTCAATTGAAGCTATACCACCATGGAAAACCTGGGAACACTGGACGGCCATTTCGTCCTAGTATGGGACTCCTCAGCAGTGCTCATCTACGGCCCTGCACCTCGCGAGGTCCAAACCCAGGACCTATCAGTCTCGCACCAGGCGCTTAACCAACCAGACCACTGAGCTGGACGGCATCCAACGGTGTTAATGTCTAACTTCAATTAATCCACGAAACGGCCGTCCAGTGCTTCCAGGTTTTCCATGATGGTCTAGCTTCAATTGACTCATGATTTCAATCAGTGAAATTTCTAAAATCTCCACAAAACCCCTTCTGACTTCCATATTTATTTATATAACTAACTGTATCTGAATTAAATTGTCAATGGTTTTTGTTGGGTCATTTAAATGTAGAAATATCAAGTAATATTACCCTGTACTTTTCTTAATCTAATTTTTAGCAAAAAAGATCAATTAATTTGTGATCTTTACATAGACATGAAAGAATTTATATCCAATTTTAACTACACCATTCATACAAGTAAGTTAATAGGGTTATTTATCATTGATGTTTTGATAAAAATAATGAGATGATGGAATTGTTATTAGATTGTTCGAAATATATAGTGTAAATTACATTACATTTTTCAAATCAACTTTATTTTATCATTACTCTATTGAAATTTATAAAAGGGACTAGAAACTGCTTGATAACTTATATTCTATTCTACGTTGATGCTCTTCACCAATATGAACAAATAAATTTGCTAGTAATAAGTGTTTTATTTCTAATTCAAATTGATATTTAAAGATTTGATCCTTAATCTGGTCAAGATCAATCTGTAATATGAGACCTTAAATTCAACAATCTTCATAACATGATATTGTAGTACGAAGGATAATAAATTAATAGATTAGTATTTAAAATCTGGGTCAGAATTGAGATTAAAATACGTAAATATTTAATAATAACTATCATTACCTGTGGAATAAGTCGTACAAAGTTTATGATCATAATCGGTTAACGTGAAGATGATATCAGCTGGAAAGCCTACTATACTTTTCATATACTTCAGAATAGTAGCCATTGCCCAATTAGAATTCTTTCTATAATCTTCAGTTTATTAATATATATATATATATATATATATATATATATATATATATATATATATATATATATATATATATATATATATATATATATATAACAGTGGGCCGTTTTCTAATTTAGAGACAAAAAGTATCAGCCAATATATAAGACCTAGGGATGAACCATCACGACACTGTTTATTTATCTATATATTTCACTATTAAGTTTGAAATGTACATTCATAGTACATTTTATTAATAATTCTTTGATGATCTCCATTGGGATTATACTTTCTATTTCTTGTTCTCTAAGTTGTTCACAATTATATTCGTATTATTTCACATATTATGATTTGTATATTCAGAAGGGGTTGTATGGAGATTGTGGAGATAGTTGAAATTATTAAAATCTCCACGAAACTCCTTCTGATACTAATCAACATATGCTCATTAGTGACTGGCTTCAAGATGTATATCCTGGAGTAATGGTGAGAAGCAGTGACCAGTGAAGTTCAACCGGGTCAGTTGTGACGTAGTAACTCACTGATGACAATGGTGGATTTGTCGCTCAATTTCGTGAATTAGTTGAAGTTAGACATTAACACCGTTGGATGCCGGCTTAGTGGTCTAGTGGTTAAGCGCTCGCGCGTGGGATTGATGGGTTCTGAGTTCGAGGAGTCCTACAATAGGACGAAACGGTCGTCCAGTACTTCCAGTTTTTCCATAGTGGTCTAGCTTCAATTAACTCATGATTTCAACTATTGAAATTTGTATATTCATTTTCAAACAAGTTCATTACCAATGAATCATTTTCATTATTTATTATTAATTATAATTTATTCTTCTTAGATAAGATAATCTTCATTAATGTGGATCAATTTCATAGTTTTAATGCAAAAGAAAATATTAACTATTTATTAAGATTTTATTTTAATCAAGTCTTCAATAAAAATATATCCAGTACAAAAAATAGTCAAATTGTTTTATGGACATCATTTAGTCAATATACTGAAATTGGTAAGTAATTAAAGTAAATGACATTATACATTCTTTTATTCAATTCATTGATGATCTAGTTTGATAACATCGACTAGTTTTTCTTTTCAAGGTAGAGTTTCGTTCTTTGAGTTTTCATTGTTATCATCATTATCAGTATAAACTGTAGGTGGAAGTGAGTTGTTCAAATTTCTTCACATATGATTGATAGTTTGTTCTGTTGACTTTGACTTGATTGGTTATTTATCAGTATAGGGGTTGTGGAGATTATTAAGTTTTTGATTGAGATCATGAACTAATTGATGTTAGACCACTATTGGAAACCCGGAAGCACTGGACGGCCGTTAGACACCAACACTGTTGGATACCAGCTCAGTAGTCCAGTAGGTTAAGAGTACGCGCGCGAAACTGAAGGCCCTGGGTTCGAATACCGTGAGCAAGATCGTGAATGCGCACTGCTGAGGACGAGACGGTCGTTCAGTGCTTCTAGGTTTCCAATGGTGGTCTAACATCAATCAGATCATGGTTTCAAGCAAAAACTTGATTGGTTATTGTTGACTTTTAACATATTTTTGTCTGTATATTTAATTTGATTGTCTTTCCCTTTGACCTGATTTTTGATCTTGTCACATATCATGATGTATCTTCTCTTATATCAATGAACATAGATATTTGTAGGCACACATTCGACTAGGAATATGTTGAGATTTTGTATAGTGAAAAGCTTAGAATTCAGGTCAATCAATGATCAAAAAACACATTGAAATTGATCCAATTAATCAACCAAATAGAAAAATCAAAGACAAATATATGAATCAAAATAGATAATACAGACAAGGATATGTTAAAAGTCAACAATAACCAATCAATTAAGTCAACTGAACAAGCTGTCAATCATACATGAAGAAATTCGAACAGCTCACTTCTAACTAAAGTTTGTACTAATGATGTTGTTCAGTACAACAATGATAGTTTCACGATTAAACGAATTAGCTTAAAGAACGAAACTCCATTGAAATCGTACACCTGAATTACTAATCTTCTCCACCATCTCAAGATCAACGACTACTTTTACTTAAATTGTTATCGATTTATTTGAACCTTGAAACAAATAACATCGATCATGTACTTTCTTCAATATTCAGTATGTAGAATGGAGTGAGTAAATGTGAATTGAAATAATTCACGATTATAGATAAGTAATATCTACACCCGCATCAATGGAATATAAGCCCTCTACCATGTTATTTTAAAATATCAAGTTACTTCATTAGCTTGTAGTAGCCAGTTTGTGGATGATATTCTCGAATCTAATTGTTAGCAATGAAAGTTAAAATACATAATTTAGTTACCATCAAATAACCAGAGTAGTTATGCATAAGTAACGAATAAGTGTATGTTTACTGGATTAGATGATGGTGGTGTTAAAAATATTTCGATGTATATGATGAGGTGTGACAAGTTAAAAAAGTATCTATTCTGTGGAGCATAATTCTAATGCTTTGATGAACAAATCTTCGATTATCTAAATAAAACGGAAGAATGATAATCAATAGAAGATATACAATAATACAAGGTGGCTGAATGATGTCTGTTCATGAAAGCGAACTATTGTTGACTCAAGCCATGGGATGATTTAAAATTTTAAGAAAGATCGTTAGTAAGATGTTCACGTTTTCGTGTAATGAGACAAAACATTTATGGAAAAAATTACTGACGGTAAAATGACAAACTCAGATATCATAAACCTTTGGACACCATTCATCTTATGCGTCAATCATTCTCCAGTAAATTAGGTCCTAACTGCCACGCTTTCCCATCATATCAATCTAACAGTCAAACCTTATTTGTATTGGCAGGTAAATGGTCAACAAAATTTATATCCTACTGTCTCATGGGTTTTAAATTAACTTGATTGAAGTTATCGAAAACATTTTTAATATTCACTAAGTGTGAGATATCTGATATTTTCGGCCATTTTTCTACATGTTTAATGTGTGAGCTCCTCATAATGAAGTGTAATATTTCACTAAAGATTTCATTTCAGTTATCTGGAATTATCCACAACTATCTGTTATGAACATGTCGGCATAGTAAAGCCCAAAGTGGTTCATTTAAAACAGTAATATAGTACATGTTATGACTTGAAACCAAATCTCTAATGAAAAATTATAATCTAATATGTAGTACTCTTAAACTAAATAGTATAGGTGAGCTAGAGTTTAAACAGTTCACCTTGTATATCAAGTAGAACTGTAGGTATTCAACCTTGAATCATAGTGTTTCTATGATGCCTAGTGATACTATTTATCTGGTTTAACTAAAGTAGATCAGTAGAGTTAAAATTGTTCCTGTTTCAACTACTAAACCATTGTTTCTCCTTAAACGCTATAACCTAATTATTATTAAGTAAATGAAGTCATAAACAGAAATGATATCTGTTATAGACATAAGTACAATTGTCGATTGACTCCTACTGTAGTGAACGAGAACACAAGTGGGAACAATCGAATGTATTCGAATACAAAATTACAGAACATCTTAGTAAAATCTGAGTATCATACAGTAAATACTTCATTTGCAAAATGTCAATCAATTGTCTCAAACTTGACTGTTTCTTTTGCAAATATCAGTCAATCATCTCAGACTTCATTGTTATTTCGTTTCCAAACAAATCATTCTTTGTTCTCGTTCTCCTTTCTTTGATTTTCTTAACCTTGTGCCACCAGGCATTTCGTTTTCGATTGATGATATATACTACTTATAACTGTCGCCACCAATAGCACACACCATACTACTAACGATTATTGTAAGTAGTTTCGAGCTTTTTTTTTCAATCTTAATAAATGGTATGTTTCACATTCTAATGTCAATGTATAATGAATAGAGTTCAATTGGTGAAAAATACATTTAACAAAATACCTTTATTTAAACAGATTTTCTTAAATGGATATCCTTTCTTTGCTTCAATTATATTTTCTTCCTATCTTATATTTATTAATCCTTTAGGATTTAAATGTAGACAGAAATTTCGCCAAGTTGATTTTATACCAATTGATTTAGGCTTATCTCATTTGGAATGTGGCAGTGCATTAACAAGTTGTTTGTTAGATCTATTGCCTAACTGTAATATTCTTAATTCACTTCAAAAATTAAGGATTCATGAAATTGAAACTTTTGAAAAGATTTGTGAAGATAAAGTAAGTGTAAATATTTGTATTTGTATTAAGTAGATTACATTTAATCTCATTGATGAATTCAGTAATTGTGCTACTAAGATTATTAGTTGTATTATAATCAAACTCCTATTTCAATAAGGCAGACTGATTCTGAGGTTTTGTCTTTATTCAGTTACTCATTAATAGTAGTAGAATTTCCTCTCCATGTTCTATAACCGCGTGAACTCAAGTACTAATGTTTTTAGATAGAATTGTTTATTAGTTTCTGACCTTTGATTTGATCACTACATAGGTTTGAATGTAACTTGCTTCTCTACTTCGCAAACTAGCACTATCTAGACAGTTACCAAAAAGAATTGCGAACTAGATGCCCGTCTTATTCTCGCTTATGACTTTTTAGAAGTGCACATTTAGCACCATCAGAGATCAAACGAATGATTTCCAGATAACTTGGCGCGTATGCTACATCTAAAAAATTGAGTCGGAATACATTAGTCTGTGGGCTGAATTCAGTCTCAACTATCATATAAAGTCATCAGTGATCACCGTTACATTTCCTATATGGATGGAATTCATTGGTAATGAAGTGCCAATAGAATTTTTAAGATCATTGACAGAGGTAATCGCTAGTGATCACATGTTTATTGTTTAGTTGATTGGTTCATAGGGATTAGCTTTATTATATATTCATCGCAAGTTGAGTAATATTAAAAATTCGGATGGCTGGACATCGATTTAGTGATCTAAATGTAATGTAAGCTCTTCGTTTCAATACTTGGCCGATTCGCCAGTACTCTCCGTCTGAGATATCCAAACATGTTTAAAACAGTAGTTTGTGCTTCTTGATTTTCAACGCTTCCTCAACTGATGTCAACTCACGATAGGAAAAACATCACAAATTTCGTAATTTACATCATGCACTGATTTCATTTAGAATATGAGCGGCGTGAATCAAGAATAATTGATTCGCTACCCTGTCTTATTGTGGAACTCTTCGATAATACACACATACTACCCGCCCCGGGATCGAATCTAGAACTTACTGGTCTTGTAGTCAGTGCTTTACCTTCAAATCACTAATAATTCATCCAGTGGTTTATATTTCTAAATTTAATCAATTCATGATGTTGTAACACTTTCATCCAAGGCCATTAGTAGGTAACTGCCCCACATTCGGTATGGTTAAATTTCATCGATCATGGTCTATCACTAGAACTCCTAGAATTATTTTCAAGTTTATTCATTGATGAATAATTTACTTATCTCCACAAACTACCCAACTAAATAACGATTGAAATATTCAATTCACTATAAACTTTATAAATTAGCATAGATCCTTTACTGTCCAACTAATACCTAATCTTAAAAAAATGCATTCTAATACAAAAGTACAAATACAATTTTTTTATTGAGATCATGAACTGATTGATGTTAGATCACCATTGAAAACCTGGAAACACTGAACGACCTTCTCGTCTTAATGTGGGACTCCTCAGCAGTGTGCATCCACGATCCCGTTTCGTGAGATTCGAACCCAGGGCCTTCAGTCTCGCGCCAGGCGCCTAACCAACTAGACCACTGAGCCGGCATCCGATCAGTGAAATTTATAAAATCTCCACTAAACCCCTTCTGATAATAATCATCTGCTCACTAGTGACTGACTTCAAGAGATACTCCTGGAGTTCTAGTGAGAAGCCGTTATCAGTGGAGTTCAACCAGGTCTGTTGTGAGATATCAACTCACTGAAGACAATGGTGTACGGTGGCGCAACTTCGTGGATTGGTTGAAGTTATACATTAACACCGTTGGATGCCGGCTCAGTGGTTTAGTCGGTTAAGCGCCTAGCGCGAGACTGATGGGTCCTGGGTTCGGATCTCGCGTGGTGCGGGATCGTGTATGCGCACTGCTGAGGAGTCCCATACTAGGACGAAACCGCCGTCCATTGATTCCAGGTTTTCCATGGTGGTCTAGCTTCAATTGAATCATGATTTCAATCAATGGAAAAAATCAATAAATAAGGGATTTTATTGGTATTCGTTTACATTGTAATTAAAGATTTTGATAACTATTACGTAATAATAACAAGCTACGTAAAACAAATGAGTGTATTCAAATGAAAGGGGTTTTTATTTTTACTGGACTGAATTGTAAAAATGTAAAGATCATTTTCATCCAATAGTGTTAATGTCTAACTTCAATTAATCCACGAAATTGCGCGACCATTTTCCATTGTACTAAGGTAGATACCTGTCTCTACTCGACACGGATTAGCTCCACTGCTGAGGAGTCTGACAATAGGACGAAACGGCCGTCCAGTGCTTCCAGATATTCAATGTTGATCTAACATCAATCGATTCATGATCTTAATTAAAAACTTAATAATCTCCACAATCCAAACAGAAAACTTATTTTCTTATTCTTTTTTATCTTTTTTCTTATAGATTCAACTATTGAATATATCAAATGAATTAACAAATTACAAACTATTCCATTCTGATATGAATAACTCAATAACCAATACTAATTCAATTCAATTCAATGTAGATTGTTTAAATTTAACAAGACAACATATTGAATTAGTTAAAATCTTTTCAAGATTATCAAGTAATATGATTCATTTAAATGAATTACAATTACAACATGAAAATTTAAACAATCAACTTAGTATATTTACCAATCAAAATAATACAAATGGATGTATCATAAATTTTACTCGTAAAATATCATTATTATTCCATAGTTTAGAAGATATACAATATAAAGATTATATTTCATTTCGTTGGCCATGTAAACGATTGTGTGAATATATTCTATCAAAATATGATCAAGGTTTATATTCTTCCCATTTGGAAAATGTTAATGAAATCAACTCCCCATCTGATTTATTTATCAGTTATGAACATGAAAGACAGGTAGACGATTAACATATTTTCTTGTTTGGAATAGTTACTTGTTCAGTATTCTCGTTTGTTTACTGTTTTATGTTTTTTTTTGACATTTAATGCGTGTAACTAAAGTAAATTCTAGTGAGATACAATTCATGTTTGACTTGATTCTGATTATAGTCACCTTATCTTTGTTGTTCACTGGAGGATAATTGATTTATGTTATTCTAAACAGTTGAGATCATGATTCAATTGAAGCTAGACCACCATGGAAAACCTGGAAGCACTGAACAGCCGTTTCGCCCTGTTGTGGGCGCATTCACGATCCCGCCTGGCGGGATTTGGACCCAGGACCTATCAGTCTCTCGCTAGGCGCTTAACCAACTAGACCATTAAGCTGGCATCCAACGGTGTTAATGTCTAACTTCAACTAATCCACGAAATTGAGCGACAAATCCACCATTGTCTTCAGTGAGTTACTATCTCACAACTGACCCGGTTGAACTCCACTGGTCACTGCTTCTCACTACTACTCCAGGATATATATCTTGAAGCCAATCACTAATGAGCATATGTTGATTAGTATCAGAAGGAGTTTTGTGGAGATTGTAGTAATTTTAAAATTCTTTAGAGGATCTGTCATCTCTGAGCTAGATAGTTTATTTGTAAAAAGTTGATTGGCTTTCTGATCAACGCTATCGGTCTAAACACCAAAAAGCAAAAAAAAGAGTCATCAAAATTTTTTAGTCGACTAACAAATGATTTCATCAACTTAATGCTCTCATTATATCTTCTTCCTTTTCCTGACTCAGAGAACTTCTAATAGTCCACTTCTTTTTGGAGCATTCGGCCTAGAGAACGTGAAACTTTTAGAATCTTTCTTTTATGTTACAAACCATGTTCATCATATTGGATTAATAACTTCTACATTGATTAGTTTCTAAATGGGAGAAATGGCTATTATATAACTATATGAGTATTCACTTTGGAACACTTCTTTACTCGTAACTGAATTTTATTTAATAAACGTTTAATATCATAGAACATTTAACTCACACTGTTTTGTAATGAAATGGAAACACTCATATTATCTACCACATTATCATAGCCTATGCTTCATTGTTAATAGGAGTTTTGTTGGTCAACAAATGTAACTATTCGATGATATACTGTAGTCAATACAATGTTAGATGCTTAAATGTTTCATACATGGTGTTCTCCAATTCCTAGAAAACATTTGTGGTCATCTATCAGTCACCAAACACGTACACTACTATGCAGTGTTTATAAACACATCAAGACTTATTTTACCTCAATTTGATAAGAAACTAGAATTTTAATATTTACGTCAATGGAATTGACATCTAATAAACACAAAATAAACTTTTTATGATAGTTACATGTATACCAACCGGATACTCGGTTTATAGAATTCAATTTAATTTGTTTTAAGATCAGATGTAATGGAACAGCTACTGTGATAATGTGTGATTAACCGCTCCATTGTCCCATGAAGTTTATCAAACATCTGGTTAATTCTGTAAAAATTAAACTTAGATAACAGTTAGATTTGAATTCAGGATGAAAATATTGTGATTTAGACTGATAGAATATAGCGGAATCACTGTGTAACCTTTTCCGACAACGAAATTCAGCAAAGTGACTTTTCGACTAATGATTGATTGTGAAACAGATTTCCTAACATATGGATTTCATTCATGTGTTTCTCTGAGATTCATCAAGAATTAGTCATATAAACTGAGGTCTAATAACTTATGAATGAAGAGTATAATCTTATCAAACCTTTTAGAGTCCTGCTGAAGTGATGAGCGAATTTCTTGTTTCGTTTCATTGATTTATTTCATTTTTTTATTCTACATTTAATTGGAATAATAGTCTACGATTTTTTATTATATGAGAGCTACCGAAAGTCAGTGAAGATAATTATGAATCCAATTTGTTACTAAATAATTGACAGTTTACGATTAACACTGATATGTGACATTTTAGCCTAATGTGTTATAACTTGTGCTCTGTGCCCCTATCAGTGTGTAACGTAATGATACCGCCAATTAGAGAACAGTGAATTATCGATCGGATCAATGACGCATAAAACTCATACGAGCAATCTAGAGTCCTTATCACTCCTGCTTCCTGACTAACCCAGCCTGCTTGCCTGTCAAGTCCACAACACCAATCTCAGCTCCTGCAATATTAATCATTTATTTCAAACATACTGGGGTTATATGCAAACCAGACAGGCCACATCGTAACATTAAAGAGAAAATGACATCTATACAAGATCTAACCAAATGTGGCTGTGAATGTGGGAGATAGTAATTGATAGTAATTAATAGACTGGGCATAACTCAAGAATGGTAAATAGTATAAAAGTAGTTCATAGGTGAGAATAAAGCTTATGATAAGAGGAACACAAATATGAATAGTTTAGTGACTTAACAATTATGTGATAAAAATATCCGTCTAGTATTGGTTCATAAATGGGTCCCAAATGTTCCCATTCATTATTCTTATCAGGATATAACATAATGGGCTTTAATAAATTACTAAATAGCTGTCTTAAATAATCTAACCACTTTTGAATTCAGCAATATAAACATAATAATAGTAACATCAAATTAATTGTAATTTGAACGTTTTATGATTAGAAGTTCATAAGTTTACTTAACTTTACTTTCTTATCTTTTCTACAAGGAAATTGGTCGGCGCATTATACATATGTTATTGGAATTCTTTCTCAATTCTTTAAACACTTGGAACAATCCATTAGGATTAATAATACAAATAAAAATTTCAATATATTTTAATATACTTCAATATTCTAAATTAACTATTTATGAATTACATAATCCAGATCAGATAATTGAAATTGAACTATTTAAACAAATCATATTCAGTAATATTTTTACATGTGAATATAACTATCAACATTGTTTCAATCACAATAAATCAGAGGTAAGCTTTGATAATTATGCATTTAGATTGAGATCATGGACCGATTGATGTTAGATAACCATTGAAAACCTGGAAACACTGAACGACTGTCTCGTCCTAATGTGGGACTCCTCAGCAGTGCTCACCCACGGTCCCGTTTCGTGAGATTCGAACCCAGGGCTTTCAGTCTCATGCACTAATGCTTAACCTACTAGACCACTGAGCCGGTATCCAGTGGTGTTAATGTCTAACCCCTATACTGATAATTATACATTTATCAAATGAATTTATCAATACAAAAAATTACTATAATTGAAAATCGATCAATTATTCAAGGTAATTTGATCAGTCACATTTCATTATGGATTAATAGTTGTGTAGAATATCTCGGAGATGAGAAGTGTACTGAAATCCTTATAGAGTCAATGTCACTCCCTAGCCAACTCACAGAAATCATTTGATTTGATATAGATCGAATTATACAACGGAGAAAAAGACAGAGATAACATTTTTCTACAAAGTAGATAGCACCACCTGTGAAGAACACTACACTGGTTTAGGAGGACAGAACCTCCACTACGACATACTAATAACGAAATGACGTGATATTTTATTTCTGATATTGACACACGTAGACGGCAGCGAACATTAATTTGATTGTGAACGTCAAAAATTACCGACCGAAGAGGTCCTAAGAATAACAGGGAATTTCGATTAAGGACCTTTCGATAGACACAGCAGTGTAGATCCAAACTATCAATCCACACGAAATATGCCAATCGACCAGATGATCAGAAGTCAAGCAAATAGTTAGTAGGAATACAAAGGCTAACAAAGACAAAGAAGCCTGTGAAAAAACCATTCATGAACAAGATCATCAGAACCAACTGATTTGGTGCTTGGGAGACAACTGAAAAGGTTAGTTCTACATGAAGTGGATGATGATAATGTTGTTCGGAATGACTGAAATTTCCACAACTAAATCAATCAGTCACAACGTAGAATCCGATACGTACATATGTCATTTCAAGTTGCCATACCTCATTAGCACCGAGAGATGAAATTGCCAGCCCGATTTCCAGAATAATACAGAGAGCACTAGTATGAGTAGTGATAAAAAATATTAGGCGTCGAAGAAATAATTCAAGAAAATATAAATTAGTGAAACAAAAACACAAAGAAAGTAATGCAGTAGGTCAGACTTTGGGGAAGAACAAAGAATGGATACACCTGCGTCATTGCAAGTGATTTTGAGCCATATCACTCAAAGTCTATAACTATTGTTTACGATAATCACGCGAAACCCGACCAGGCAGTCGACACCTATTAACATGGTTCAGTTCAATTGTCATTGACATTGTGGGCTGATGCTGTGTTTTGGTTTTGCCTCCCTCTAGCATTCTTCTAACCTATTCCTACACCAGAAAATATCGTCCGTCAAGATAGACCGTGGTCTGGGATACGTAATACATGTTCTTGTCCCCCTCAGCTGATGAAGATTTACCATCTAGTAGCCTATTTCTAACCTGGGGATTGCTTACTCGGTGGTCCTAAAATACACGGGTAATGCTTCGAAGAAATATATCACAGAATACTAGTAACCTATGAATATCCTTTACTCTTAATGGCTATTTTTCAGTACCCATAAATCAAGATTCAACGAACTGCTGCACACCAACAAGAAGTACATCACAGTATCACTGTCAAATTACTGATATCAGATGGTAATATATTTTTCAAAATGTATACTTCTCAGCAAAAGTTGCATAAAAATCCTCTCATCAAAAATCATTCAATTTCATTTCCATATATATTATCAGGTTCTTAAACGTATTCAACTGTTGGAAGAAAAATTGCCAACTTTAAAAGGCGTAGAAAAAGCATTAATGAATGAGCCACTAATATGGACTGAAATAGTTGAGGTAAGTAGTTCTATTCCCAATTAAAATTATTTCTGTCTTTTTATGTTGATATGTCTCCTTCCCAACACCTTTATCTGAATCCGTGAAGCTATACCTATTTTTCAGAAGAAAACACGGTATGCTTAGCGTCGCTTCTGTTGTATATGTGTTGGCTCTGTTGCATCGATGGTCTTACAGCTTATACTTGGAATGGAAACCACTACAATTCCCAAGAGACGAAGAGAAAATACAGGGACTAGTATCAATGATATTTTACTAATTCTCTAAAAACACGTCTAGAAAACAAATCATCAAAATTACACCATCAATAAACTAAATGCACTCATTTATATACAGATTTTACATACATTTGATGATTAGTTAATTAACATCATAAAAATGAAAAGATACCCATGGTTACTTTGAAACATATACGAAGTTCACACAGAATAATTCCAAGAATATAATTGTCACACTTGATGAAAGTTCATACCTGTCACACTGAATGAAATTTATACTTAATTAGTACAAACATATTGACCTACAATAGTCTTACACTGGAAACCATAATCCTAATGTGGACATGCCACATTGATAATAAGAATTAACAGATTGAAATCATGAGTCAGTTGAAGCTAGACCACCATTGAAAACCTGGAAGCACTGGACGGCCGTTTCGTCCTAGTATGGGACTCCTCAGCAGTGCGCATCTCCGTCCAGTGCTTCCAGGTTTTCAATGGTGGTCTAGCTTCAACTGACTCATGATTTCAATCTGTGAAATTTCTAAAATCTCCACAAAACCCATTCTGATAATAAGAATTAAGTCATATAATGTTACGTTGAGTCAGAGAAAACGTGAATTTGCCTTCTTATTTTGACTTATCAAAAAGATTATACACTGGGTCAGTCAGAAATCGACCAAAAAACAAATGAACATGATTAGCCGACATATGAATTCTTAGGAATGAGACATACACTATCAGTGGCCCAATTTTCCAAGTATATCCACATGCTAATCAGGTAAATAAATAACTTTCATTCTGAGTTCTGTTCCTGGGAGGATAATGACTTCACACTACTGAAGAATTTCATATCTGAATAAAACAACTGGTCAATATTTTCTAAATTTTCACTGATTGTGTGATTGTCGTGTATGCTACATATGTTAACAGATATAAATTAGTATGTAACACCAGCAGAAGTGGGATGTATGGCAACAAAAGATTGAGAAGATCGAATTGAACAGAACAGGAATGTAAACAGTGAATAATTGTAATAATAACAGAATTCAAAGAACCATAAAGTATGTAAAGGACAACTCAAAGAAAGATGTTCAAATAATGTATTTAATGTATAGTTTTTAAGTTTTACGAAAGCATTGTATAATTTTGTACTAAACAATAAATTGGTTATTTCCACCAAGCTTTCGTTTACTGCATGACTATTGTTAATCCATTTGATAATAGTCGCCACAAACCTACTGTACTAAAGATATTTATCAATATTCATTCAATGATGATATTATAGTATGAATTGGAATAATTATCTATTATATACTTCGTTTTCTGTTTTCTTTTCTTTATTAACATCAATTCATTATTATCATGTAGACAAAGTTGAATTTATTTCATTCATTGCCTGGATTCTCTACAAAACTACCAATACCTGAATCACATGTATTTTTAGTTTGGATTTCAATAAGACCTGACCTAGTAAGTTCAGTAATAATATTACATATTGAGATTTTCTTTTAAGGAGATTTTCTTTAGAAAATGTTCAGCTAGACAACAATCAATAACTACAAGGAACATAATATCTGTTTTGTTATAGTATGGAACTTCTCAGTATTTCATACTCTTTCTTTAGTCAGGGATTGAGCTTATATTCTTCAGTGTTTGTAACAAGCGTATAATGTTTAGATTAATGAGTTAGAATCTAGTAGTCCTGATAAGTCTTTTACTTGAACGCCTAGATATTTACTTTATAACTATTTGTTATTCCTTGAAAATTTGCGACTAATACCCCAACCGTAAACAGGTGGAAAGTATGAATAAAGCTTTGCTTCAATGGCTAGGTTATGCACAAGAGTTAAGCGTCGCTTAAAGATCGTCCATAAATTATAGTCTTGTTATAAGTCTTTGACTATTTTCTGAAAAATTCTTCAAAAGCTAGGAATATGGTAAAAACACTTCGACTGATCAGCGTTTTTTTAAATGTTGAAGATTATTCTAGAGGACCAGTTTTAAAATGTTTTCCAGATGTTTTAAGGTCTCACGTATTCTTATAAATACGCTTAACTTTTGTAGGTGAGACTATAATTTATGGACAACCTTTAAGCGACTATAAAATGACCTTGAGAGTGTCTACCTACTTACTAAGGCTAAATGAGGGTTATATACCTGTGTGAGGAATTAGAATTATGATTTGCAGTTGCTAGTTAGGGTTAGGAATTAGATATAGGGTTTTCTTCACGAACTGACATCAGCTATAATGCCAAGACTCTATTTAGCCAAATGGATTAGTGAATTTCGCGCCAAAATCTAAGACCTGTTATCGTAAATCTGATTAGTTCTTCCATAAATTATAGTTTCGCCGTCTAAATTTCTAACTTGAATCAATTCATGAAATTATTTTAAATATACATGTTTCATACATCTATTACTGAAGACATAATAGGCGACTTAAATCAGCTAAGGCGAAACCTGTCTACTCAAAACATAATTCGTTGCAAATGTCAGTATAATTTAAAATATGCAGTGAATACTGTGAACACGGTGATAGACGTGTTAGTACGTGTTAGCACACTATCTTTGTCTGGCTATAAATATGGAGTCGCACTTGATCAAATACAGCTGACTCGCTCACCTTCTCCGCGTCACTCCGTTTTCTATTTCTCCAACGACATTCTTCGCTTCGCTCTCTCCTCTTCGTTTTCTCCATTTCGTTCCTTTGGTTGTCTGTCCAGATCAATTAGTGTACGAAATATAGATATTCAAAAATTCATTCTCATAGTTGACTTATTTTATTCTGTTCTTCTCTAACGTGAATTAGGTTGAGAATTATGTATGAGAGTAGCTGGGATATATATTTCGATAACTTCTTCGATAATATCATCATACCACAATAAGGTCATTTGACCCGTCCCTCATTCTCCTCTCCCCCAAGTAAAATTTTGAACTAACAATTAAGCTTCAGTTTTATGCACCATATTGGTGAATCGATTGTTATTTTTATTAAAATTTATCTGCATGTTATTTCATGTGTGTCTTTTATGTAGAATTTTAATGTATTTGCTAACAGTGTTATTCTTCTACTTAAATCCTACATTCATTTAACACTAGTTCCACATCATATCAAAAGTTTTCGTAAATCATATAATGGCTCAACACATTACAGTAAATAATAATAAAGAATATTCTAGTAGATCATTTGAAGCTGAAAAGCATTTACGTATCGATGAATTGTTTCAACCACAAATTATGAAAAGAGTACAGAGGTTTTATTCAAATGAAAATGACTTCTCATCTTCAGTTATTTATTGTGAGTTAAATGTTTTTTTTGTATTTATTATTGTCTGCTACAAGTCTAATCATTAGTTTTGAAATATACTATATTTTGTAAAATGGAGTAAATAACTACAACCTAATTTCCGTAACGCACTGATACCAACTGTAAAAGCAAAGTGAACCAACGATTAATGGAACTGCGGTTTCATTTGGCTATGCCGCCGATCAGGGATGATCTAAAATGATCGTGGATAGTTAAGTTAGCTTACCCGGTGTTCATCTTGTTGTGTTAATGAGGTATGGCAACTTGAACCGATGCATACATGTGTCTGGTCCTACGTTGTAGCTGACTGACTGACTAAAGTTAGCTTACAATCAGTCAAAAAATAAACCTCTATGGAAGAGCTATATGAAATGTAAAGCCTGAAAAATCAAACATTACTTACAATTTCAAAATACAGAGACACTCACAAGCTCCCTGGTTATTAGTATATACCATTGTGTTTGATTGAAAATACTTTTCAATTCTAGGTAATAAGCTTTAGACCTTCTGATACTTCACTTTCTCAAAATATCATTTCTGAATATTTCTATTGTAAATCCAGAGAATATGATGCAATTAGATTAAAAAGTTACTTACCCAGTCTGCTTTAAGTTTCTTTCTTTGTTATATTTTCATTTTCTTAGCAGCGTTTCTAATTATTTCAACAAAATTTCCAATACCATTGATCAATAAAAACAAATGAAACAATGACACACTAAATATATTTTGATAGTACTAATTATGTTGCATTGTTCAAACTTGGATAACATTTTTCGGGTCTACAACGCTGGTTACAAGAGGGCTTCTAACTCAGTATATTATAAACACTATCACTTGTTTCAGAGTCAACTTGAGATGGGACAGATTCAGTCAGTCAGTCAGTCAGTAATAACGTAGAACTTCGTACGTACGTACATCAGTTCGAGTTGCCGTACCACATTAACACAGAGATGCGGTTGTCGATTCAAATCCCATAGTGGTAGAGGTAGTAAAAGTATAAGCAGTAATCGGAAAGATTAGGGTTTGAAGATGTTATTCAACGAGTATAATCCAGTGAAATAAATTTGGAAAGAGAAAAAGAAAAGGGACATGAAGGATACAGAAAATTAAAATTTGGGAGAATACAAAGAGTGGATGCACGTGCTCCATTGCGAACGATTTTGAGCCATGTCATTCAGGGTCTCTAACCATCGGTTGCTATCATCTCGCGGTCCCCAACCAGATGGTCTACACCTACCAACATGACTCAGTCCACTTGTCAGTGACCTCATGGATAGATTAATTTTGATAGACTTTTTGTTCTTGGAATGAAAAGCATAGGAAAACTGATCCATTACACATCTCTCTACACTTGTTCAATGTTGTTTCTTCGTCACAATCAAATAATACTATTCTTTGAAATAATCCAACATTTTAAAGACATTCAATAGTAGTGTTCTTATTAAGACTATAATCTATCAACGATTAACGTTCTATGACCCCAATTTCAAATCAAAACACTAACTGGTTTGATAGTATTGTTTGATCTAATCTGGTTGGTCGTGATGGGTGAAACTCATCAATTCTAATAGTAATAGATGTCACTAATAAAATAGAATGACAGTCACTTAATATTGATTGTTTAGATGGATATATAAAGTGAGTTAGCGGACTAATTATTTGTGACATAGTCAAGGCTATAATAAATTCAATATTATAACAAATGAAATGAGATTTGTTTTGCCAAACTGTATTTTGTTACTTTTGGTAAAGAATTTTGATAGATATGGTGAATATCGAACTATATTGTTTGGTGATGATATACTTTAATAGTTCAGTTCTTTTCTCACATTACACTTGTATGTATAAATTTTTGTACATTTCTTTCCACAGTAATCCTTCCAAACGAACTGAATGAATTCAAACGTAAAGATTTCTTTGCTCATGATAAATCTGGAAAAGTAGTTGTTTCAAATGGATTAATAAATACATTGAATAAGATGGCGATATATTCAAATAGAACTTTGTTTCCTATAGACTGTGCAAATACTACTGATATCTCCTACTGGTTATCAGTATGTGGTAAGTAATATAATAATTAAAAGATTAAACCCAAGTTAGTAGGCTGGGTGTTATAGATTGAAAAGATAATGAATGTTGAGAGTGGGATATTGTAGATCACCAGCGTAGATTATCTATATCGAATGATTAGGGACCTACTCGAGTTAGACGGGAATGGTATAACGAACCAGCTAACTTTGAAGTCACACATCGCAGTCAACATCTAACGTGAATTATCAAAGTACTATGGCTGCTTTGAAGACCGTATAACACAAAGGACGTTATTATGGAAATATATTGGTAAGAATGAGTACAGAGAACATAACGAGACCACCACCGCATGTGCCAGTCCATGGCACACCATTAACTGATGAGCGTTGGTTATCCTTGATCCTGACAGGGACCGATAATCTGTTCGATATTCAGTGACCCAACTGCCGGATGATGTGGCAAGGCCTCAGTGACATTTCACTGACCCTACAATACATTTCCGAGTGACCGATAGGCATTGTAATTGTCTTTAATATTTGAAATTCGATAACAATTTCCGGACATTGTGTGCATTCTAAACTACACCTGGAACCATCCTAAGGTTATGGCTAATCCCAAACCCGGGTATAGGAGAAGGGTTGGGTATAGGATTAATAGCCTAATCCAGTAATAAATGACCTTGCTAAAACACGTTAACGCAAATATTCATTTGCATTCTAACAAAGTAAACAGTATCTCTAAAAATGAACAAAATGTATAAGACTTTTCATTAAAATGCTGTTAATTTTGACAAAGTTTAACCTGAATAAAATGCATGTAATTCGACAGTAGAAATTAGAAATTTGAAGATAATAATGACTGTATTGTAAGTGTGATAATTTAGTAAATAAGAAATAATCCATAAGAAATGGTATAATATTTTGAGGAAATCTTTCCTAATTTACATCATTTCAAATTATTTAGCACAAAATACAGTGTTCTTGTTATATCTAGAAGGTTTTTCTTGATATACCGCGTATAACGTGAACACTAGAACGCCAGAACCCTTCCAAGTCGCAATGAGAAGACAGAAGACTAATGAAGGGAATATTATTCCTAGACAGTGTCAATTATAGTGCAAAATTGTCAGGTATTTATAATTTTTAGTAAGAACAAAATCATCATTACAGTCCACCAATCAGCATACAGGGGGTTATTAGCATTGTCCAATCGGGGAGCTACACGTAGGAATTCTAGAACATTCTTCCAAAAGGTGATTGGATGGAATATCTCCGGCTCCTTTTGAGCCTCCTACAACTTCCTCGAGTTCACCTGTGGTTCGTAGTCACAGTACTTATCTGGCAAATAAATTAACTTTAATAAAAAGACATGATGAATTGAGTAATTGTGAGATTATAATTTATGGACGACCATTGAGAAACACTAGACTGATCTTGAGAGTGTTCACCTAATAACTAGGACCAAATGAGTGTTATATACCTGTGTGCAGAATTAGAATTATGATTTACAATTGATGATTAAGGTTAGAAATTATATTTAGGGTTTTCATTACAAACTGACATCAGCTATAATGCCAAAATTTTATTAAACCAAATGGATGAGGGTAATTTGTGCCAAAATCCCAGACCTGTTATCTTATACTTGATTAGTTCGTCCATAAATTATAGTCTCGCCTAAGTAATTATTAGTATGATTGATTCACCTGTACAAAATGATAATTCATTAGCGAGAGTAATAACTCATTCATATGATTTTTAATGGAATTCATTACTAAACTATTTTGATTTTTCAGTTTCGATATAAATAAACCACTGGAGTTCAACCAGGTCTGTTGTGAGATAGTAAGTCACTGAAGACAGTGGTGGATGTGTCGCTCAATTTCGTGGATTAATTGAAGTTAGATATTAACACCGTTGGATGCCGGCTCAGTGGTCTAGTTGGTTAGGTGCCTGGTGTGAGACTGATAGGTCCTGGGTTCGAATCTCGCGGGGTGCGGGATCACGGATGCGCACTGCTGAGGAGTCCCACAATAGGACGAAACGGCCGTCCAGTGCTTCAGGGTTTTCCACGATGGTCTAGCTTCAACTGACTCATGATCCTAACCATTGAATTTACTGTGATATCCACAAAACCCATCTGATACTAAACTTAAATAAAACGTATTAAAAAGGAAACACATGAAGAGCATAGCATCAAAAAATCGATTTCTCTCCAGATCTATTTTGACACATTTATATTAGGATGATTTTATAAAAAAAAGACCATGTTCAAGCTCGTTTAAGAATGAATACAACTAGGAAATTTAGAAGCTGTACTGAGAATAATAAAATGATTACTGGTTAACACAAAAACTAGACACAAAGTTTACTTATCGACTAGTTCAAATCGACAGATAATGTAAATGATATCAAATCATTAACATTATTTGCTCAATTTCAGCTTTATTGGTAGTATTTGGTCAATACTGAAGCCTAGATAAATATGAAATCGGTCATCACTAAATGTTTGGTCACTGGAGGTATCTCGATCCTACAGAATGCCTTGGTAGGGCCGAGGGTGGAGAGAGTCCACCCTCCCTCTCAAAATGCTCTCACATAACCATGCGTATACAACTACTGTCCTACTCACAACCTTCTCGCAGTATTAATGTTGTTTACGAAATTGAGAGGACGAAAAGCTAATGTCCGGCGCTTTAACCGAGGTGGTGGATACGGAGGATCCACCTACGGGAGTTGGAAAACCCTGATTCCAAACCAATGGTGTACATGAGCTCTAGGATCCTGAGGAAACAAAAGGCGAATGAACCTATTGTCGGTTACCGTCTAGCATGAGACTGTATCTCCTGACATCTCTCCAGTGCCTTGTGAATCAGACTTTTAGGTCAAAGGCTCCAGGTGTGGCCCCCTAAGAAAACCACCTGCTTCGGCCAGGACACCCGGTTAGCATCACATCCCACACACAACTCAAGTGACTTGCATGGCGCATACGTATTCGGTGCTCCTTTGTACCAATATTTATGTGTTCAAATAAATAAATGAAATAAATGAATATCAGTAGCAATGCGAATAGCTTATTAGTAACATTTCAAACTGTGAAGCCTGATGACGTGAATCTAAATCCGACACGGTACATCAGTTTCTTGAAGATTGAATATAAAATTTCATGTCGAGTGTCAACTAGCATGAAACCTAGACCCAGGGTTTACTGGCGATTACATTTAACTATTTCACATAAAGTATGTATCACTGACAAAATTTATCATTACAATGTACCAAAGGATTCTAAAAATAGACTAGATAAGTCACTTGAGATTAGTGTTGTATTGATTTCGTTTTTATTAAGTTCCTATATGAATTAACCCTTCTTCACTTGCTTTATGTCCCGATATATATATAAATTTTGAATTATTATGTTTTCTGGTTAGCGGTTTTTTTTGGCGAGTTAGTTTTCTACAGGATGGAGTCGTTAAACCCATGTCCAACCCTCCTCCTTTATTCGAACCTGGGGCCGGCAAAAGCCCTGAAGGGGATCCAGGCGGGTTATTTAAATTTTACTGTCTCTTTAAAGATTTAACGTTGAGCATTGAAATATTTACACAAACATGTAAATATATTTTTATTGAATATAATTTTTTTCTTTATTTATTGAGGATCCAATACAAATATACTTCCATATCAAAGAGTTTTAATTGTTCTTCAAAATGTACACATTATTCACAAGAGAATGGATATACTATTAGATGAATTATTACAATATGGTCTTTATAATTTAAGGTATAAACAAATTTATCATTTACAGAATCAAGAAAAGCTTATATTAATCAATAAACTTGGAATATGTTTTGATATTATAATTGATTTCACATGTTGTACATCCGGAAAACAAATAGTATCCGTGTATAATAGATTACCGGGTAAGTTATAATTTATAATATTTAACAATTGAAATAGGAAAATCAAGGTTTGTAGGTATGATTGATTTCGAAGTGAGTTCTAGGAGGAACCCATCATTGTTAATATTAAAATTATAACAAGAATGAAATCAATATCACCGATGATAGTGGCATTGTCATTTTAATGAATTAAATTTTGGACGTATACGGTATAGGAATGTGATTTAATGATCTGAAATAATCGTAATCATCTAACGATGTGATCATTCTAGTTTCGATCCAGTTTAGGGTTGAAAGTGTACGTAAAAAGTATTTTAACAGTAGTTAGCTGCCATCAATTACGACCAATCATGCTTTCAGGACAGTTGTTTTCATTGCCTAACATATTTAATATATAAATACTTATTGAATTTTTGCAGACATAAGTTGTGGACCTTTTGATGAAAGCACCGTAGTTTATAGTTTGGAAGACTGATGTTGTTCTAACCCGATGAGAATAATGAATGGGAACTTTTGGGACCCATTTATGAACCAATACTAGACGGATATTTTTATCACATAATTGTTAAGTCACTAAACTATTCATATTTGTGTTCCTCTTATCATAAGCTTTATTCTCACCTATGAACTACTATTATACTATTTATCATTCTTGAGTTATGCCCAGTCTATTAATTACTATCAATTACTATCTCCCACATTCACAGCCACATTTGGTTAGATCTTGTATAGATGTCATTTTCTCTTTAATGTTACGATGTGGCCTGTCTGGTTTGCATATAACCCCAGTATGTTTGAAATAAATGATTAATATTGCAGGAGCTGAGATTGGTGTTGTGGACTTGACAGGCAAGCAGGCTGGGTTAGTCAGGAAGCAGGAGTGATAAGGACTCTAGATTGCTCGTATGAGTTTTATGCGTCATTGATCCGATCGATAATTCACTGTTCTCTAATTGACAGTACCATCACGTTATACATTAACAGGCCACAAGTTATAACAGATGTATGACTAGTGACAATAAATTTAAGTGTCCACTGAACGTGGACAAATATATGAGTTCCTTTCTCACCATTGATTTCTACTCTGAATTTCACTAATTGTGACTGCTTTTAAATTGTATTGAATCAAGTATTGGCTAGTGTATATTCTGGTTCTCTTTATTTGGTCACGAATCTTATATCTGGTTTAATGGGATCCATTTTGTATATAGACTATTAATCAAGTTTCCCATTTTGTGGTAGCGAAATCCCAGTCACTGATTGGATTATCGTATTTTAATAATATTATCGTCAAAACGAGATATTATTTCCATTTGTCCATTATATCAAAGACATAATTAGCAGATTAAAATGTTTAAAACAGGGAATTGTATGACAGTGAATGTATTTTTGGAAAAAACAGTAGCCTGAAAGTTTCAGTAGGTCAACAGTTTCCCTTATATCTGTTTAGTGCTTATTAGTTTTTTTCTCCATATCTCTCTAGTTTAGTTGATATCAGTGGCTGTGAACGTGGGAGACTATAATCAATAAACTGAACATAGCTTAAGAACAGTAAATCGTACCAGAATAATCTATAAGTCAAAATGAAGCTTATAATAATGGGAATATAGATATGCATAATCTAATTACTGAATAGTTGTACCATAAGAATATGTAGATAACATTAGTCCATTAATAGGTCTCAGAAGTTACCCATCATCTAATCTTCGCTAGGATATAACAATCATCAAATTCGGCAACCATAGTTCTTCTTTTAAATTATTTAGGTTTTTGAGAGAGAAAAACTCAATCTATCTTCTTTTAAAGTAATAAATCATCGTTTCGTTTATTTCTGCCTAGGTTGGTTAAGATTAAAATGTCTACCGTTGTTATTCCAATATGAGAGTGATCAGTTGTTATTTACTACGAGTTCGTGGAAAGTGGTAAGAACATCAGTAATTGATGTAATTTTAGTATTGAGTAGTTAATATTTTAGTATGATAATTATGTATAGTTTTTGAAGCTTATAATCACCATTAACCTAAATCAGTTGGATAATTATTAAAATTCAAGGAGTGTTGAAAAATTGCTTTATTCGAGTTTGACAATTGTTCAGTTATGTGTACTTATAACCCCACATATATTAAAAGATAAAAAGATCAAGCTTTCTGGACAAGAGCGATCTTACGTATCTACTTAATCGGAACTCAGTGTTCAGCTATCTTAAGACTAATCTCTTCGCGATATATTTAGTAATATCAGTGCATTTCTGTTTGACTATGGAGTTGATTAGCTCTACCGGTTATGGTTTACTACTCGATATGTTCATTGCTCTTTGATTTTCAGTAGTTTCAGTTTGGAATCGAAATTACTTGTGGAATATTTCCACATTTGTACATATACTAGTAATTAGCTTTGAAATAGTCTAACTAAAGTTTAAATATATAAATTTAAGTAGACTAATATACGAATATGTAAGGTATATTAGCACTATAAGTACGAAAAGTTTGTAAGTTAATTGGTCTCATAAAGAGATTCATGAAAGTACGTCATCGGGACCGCACTTATGACTAAATGTATTGGTAACATGACATGGTGATAGCACAATAAATCCCGTAGATTGCTACAAAATGAATAAAGTAAAGATGGAATATTAGCCTACTACAACTATTGAGGGCTCGACGAGAGAAAAACTAAATGAACAATCCTAATTTCACGTAATGGTTTGTCGAATAAGAGGACAAAGATGAGCTTTTACAGGATATATACTACTTCGAGAAAATGTAAATACTATTACACAACAGGTCTTGTACACAAAATGAATAGACGATTTAGACTAATAAATAATACAGTGACAATTTAAGATAGAGTAAGGATAGGAGAGAACAGAATATGTCATACGTGTCCATTATAGTGTCCTGATGCGAACGAAACTGGAAATTCGGCTACTTAAATCAGATCCTTGAATATTTCAAATGATGTCACAATTATAGCTGAGGGAAGAACAAAGTCTAGATTTCCATGTGCTTTAGTTGAGTTGTAATGTGTTAACGAATTACCTATCTTAGATTTTGATGGTATTTCTCATGTTTTGAGATTACTGACTGATGTAAGTTATACCAACATTGACAACTCAAAAACACCGAATGACCAGGTTTTTCCATTATGGGACTCTTCAGCAGTGCTCATTTTCGTCCCTATCACGGTAATCGAACCCAACACCTACAGATCTCCCGTGCGAACACCTAATCTCCAGACAGCTGAGTCGGAACCAAATGGTGTACATTTTTGTCCTTCAGCAATTCGAAATATTGCACGACCATCTTCCATTGTCATCTATGGTTACCTTCCTCACACTCGACACGATTTAGATCCTTATTAAAACATTCGTGAGGCCAAAATTATCATCTGTTAACGTTATTGTACTATTGGGACACTAAAAATATATTACTTATTCATAACAATCTACCTAATCCTCAGCTTATTTGAATTTTTTATTCAGATCATGAACCGACTGATGTTAAACCACCGTTGGAAACCTGGAAGCACTGGACAGCCGTTTCGTCCTATTGTTGGACTCCTCAGCAGTGCGCATCTACGATCTCGCCAGCGAGATTCAAACCCAGGGCCTTCACCCTTGTGCACGAACGCCTAGCCAGATGCGCACTGCTGAAGAGTCCCACAATAGAACGAAACGGCCGTCCAGTGCTTCCAGGTTTCCAACGGTGGTTTGACATCAATCGGTTCATGATCTTAATCAAAAACTTAATAATCTCCACAACTCCCATACTGATTATTTGAAATTATCAAGTCAAACTGTAATAATGACACCTACAAGCCCATTAACAGTAGTATTGTTATTTATACGTAATTGGTTTTACTACTTTACAACTCAGACCTCATTGGTAAATAAAAAAGAAAAGCCGATTTGCTATCCACAGGAAAATGTCAATGACTCTATAAACGAAGAAAATTCACAGTTGTGTTTAGAAGAGACTGATGGATTATATGAGAAAATTGAATCTGTGTAAGTTACCAAAATCTCTTCATATTTCCAAGAAGACTAATGTGTTCATATGTTGAATATTTCTCGTGCCATGTTTACATGAGATATTCAAAAGAAGCATTCATACATTTTATATTACCCTGTAATGAGAAACGAAATCAAATTTAAAGTGTTCTGTATTAACTTCCCTTCTTAACATTCATCATATGCTCACAAGTAACTGGTTTTGAGATGAGTTCTTTAGGTCTTAATGAAATATCACACATTCAACTATGTCGGTATTAGGGCAATTATCAATCAGTCGTATTGAACCAAGTTGCACTGTATTATGTATCGCTCGAAAGCTGGATATTTTGAACAGTACATTCCTTATCAAGAGTTTAAAGATAACAATATTGGAATGTTGTATGTTCAATTCCTAGGGGGTCTTGGATATGCACTGTTAAGATGTTTTATGCTAGAACGAGAGAGTAGTTCAATTCTCTGGTTTTCAGTAGTTCTCCATTTCATATCAATTCATGAAGAAATCTAATTTTCAATTAAACGAATCATTAAAAGCTTTTCAAACCAAGCATCCATGTTCGATTCTTTGTTGGCAGTGATTTCTGTAGAAGTCATATATATATATAGTTTTTGATGTATTCACTATAAGATGGTGGAATTTATACCAGAAAGCTTATGAAACATGAATCCATTAGTTTAATTCCTATATAAAATGTCGTTGACTATGATTTCTCGATCATTATCGGAATTTTCGTTGATAAAATCTGTTGATTAGAAAGTCCAGATTTCTGCAGCCAGGCTTAATGAGTTGTAAGATAAGTTAATTATAATTTCATGCTCATCTTTTACATGATAATCGTGAACAATATTCGGTAGTTGAGACGGAACTGGTATCTATATGATAGTCAGGTTTTATAGCTTATTTCACATCTCAAAAATCATTGGTCGGAATTTATTTTTGGTTAAGCTCTTTTCATCTTAAATACATCACCTATATGGATAAAACTGATAAAATTTATGAAGAATCAGAAGTTTTGAGTAAGTCATAATCTAATACACTCTCCATTTCTTCTGTTTATCTTTACAAAATGTCAAATAATATCAATATATTTCACACATACAAGATGAGTAATATGTATTTGAATACCACCATCTCAATACTTTTCTTTGTCTAATTTTGCAAAGATCTAATAATCAGTGCATAAATCAGTGATAAATGAAAAGTTCTTAACAAACGATTGATATATCTACTGAATGTCTCAAAGGAATATATAAGAAGATTCTTTTCTTTCATTGAGTTGAACATTGTTGTCTGGTGACATAAAACCTTTGGTAAAAATTAAGCAAATACTGTGATTTTCTTCAAAATTAAGTCATAATTTCCTATACATATTGGGTAATCGGAGTCAATCGACAAGATATCTGAGATTTAAATTTCATGTTAATCTCAGTGAAACTGATATTCTTTTAAACTTACATCACCATGTACCCATCATCAAAAGTGTCAGTCTTGTAGATAGACCCACGTAGTTAATCTTAATTGACAGGAATTATCTCTACTTATTTCAAACCATCTAATACCAAAAAAATCACACTTTAATTCGAGTCATTTGGATTAATTACCACATTGAGCCTTTGTCGCGACAGATAGATAGATAATTCAATCAATACCACTGATTACACAATAAAAATATGGGTTGTTACCGATTGATCAGTCTGTATCTATTTATTCATGTAACAATAATGTCTATTTTATGTTTCTTGTTTTGTCAGCAAACTTTACGAATGTATATACAACAAACAAGACATGGATAAACGAAAACAATCGATAGATACAGTTTGGGCTACGATTGAGAAAGAATTAATGTGAGAATACGAAAAATAATCTTTAAGAGCTTATTCTATGTTACTATACTTTGGAAATTATTTTAAACCTTTAAAATTAGTATAATTCCTTCAATATCATGATAGAAGAATTTTAGTTTACATAACGCACTAACTTTAGCTAGATAGTTATTGAATTATTTATTTATTTATTTAAATACATAAACATTGGTACAAGGAGGTACCAAACAGTTATGCGCCACATAAATCACTCGATTTGTGTGAGGGCTGTGATACTCCCCGGGTTCCCGGACAAAAGCAGGTGGTTTTCTTAGGGGGCCACACCCCGAGCCTTGGACCTAAAGGTCTGACACACAAGTTAGTGGAGCATCGTGAGGAGATGCAGTTCCATGGTGGCCGATGACCAACAACTGGTTCATACACCATTTGTTTCCCCAGGATACTGGAGCCCATGTGCACCATTGGTTTGGAATCCGGTTAAAGCGCCGGATATTCGCTTTTCGTCCTCCCATTTTCGTAAACAACACCCCTGCCACGAGAAGGCAGTGAGTAGGACTTCCCTGGCAGAGGCTGTATACGCGTGGCCATGTGAGAGCATTTCGAGAGGGAGGGCGGGCCCACTCCACTCTCGGTCATACCAGGGCATTTGGGGGCAGATAGTTATTGAAAAGTGAAAAAGTAAAAAAGACTGGTTAGAAGAAGTTCTTTCATCCTAGTATAGATAGTTATTGAAAAGTAAAAAGGACTGGTTAAACGAAGTTTTTTCATCCTAGTACAGGACTCTTTAACAATGATCAACCATCATCCAAATAGAGGTCATATGTAAAACCTTCGTTCAGGTCTCACAGTTTGTGCTTAACTTTCAGATCGTTGAATTGACATCCAATGATTTATATCTCCAATTAACACACGATTTTGTGAAATCATTATCCGTTTGGCTTGACGAAATCTTTCTCAAAGTTGGCATAGCTGAACTCTACTAGTTACAGCTGTTCATCAAAATTCGGAAGTCATCTCTGAAAGTTGGCCATTAGTAACGACGTGATTATTACTAATAAAGGGGATTTTGCAAAGATTGTTGAGTTTTGTAATTTACATAAAGGACCGACTCTAGGAAAACAGTATCAACCATACATAAGTTTATATAAAAAATTACTATTGTTTGTTATTGAATTAATATCTACAGAGTAATAATTACTTAGTAAACACTTTTAACGAAATATTCATGGTGAAAAATAGTAGTATATGCCTGAATTAGTAGTACATTACACTAAGTTTCTTTATATTGTAGCTAAACGTTAGATAATTGAAGGCGTTTAACAAGAAGCCCTGAATTTTAACTACATCACTAAAGGTGTAACTATAATCTTCAAGAAGATGATGCTCACCTATAAGATTTAAATCGGTATCTCATTCAGAGAGATGATATTATCAACACACTATAACATTGAGCTTGATGATAGATCTTAATTTTTTTTACTGAAAACTCGTGAGTAAATAACGCAGTTAACCGACATAGTGTAATGGTTGAGATAAATTCGAAAAGGTGAAACAATATGGTATTAGTTGAACAGGAGAAATGTAATATACTACTGAAATTAAAACATATTGCATGGTAGTTGTTTCTGAGCACATTTAAACTATACTTTTTGTATTATTTACATGATATCATGGTGATGTTCAATACATTTTTAAAGGGGAGATCATATTTTGCATAGTCATATTTAAACAAAATTATAAAATCCTTGATATGGATATACAATCATTTCAATGAAATGAACCTTCTACTTAATTGACTGAATATAATATTATAGATTCTTGAAAATTTGTATATACTTTGTTGAAAACTCATTATCATCACTAAACTTGATGCGTATTACTAAACAATTTCGTCTGATTTTTATATTGAATAATCTAGTTAGGTGGTGTTCATTAAAAGCACCAATAAAACCATCTTGATTTATAAATATTAATTAAATAGTTAATAGTAGTATGGTGTATGCTACTTATGTCGATATAAGCAGTATATAACAGTAGTCAGAAATGGAATGCGTGGTAACAGAAGGTTGAGAAGATCGGATCGAATAGAACAGGAATAGAGAGTAATTGTTGTGACAATCGAAAAACGATGAAGTTTGAGATAGTTGGTGAAAGATTTGTAAATGAATGGTTGAATATATGGTTTTCATATTTTATCAATAGAACGTTGTAATTCTGTATTAGAGATACATTTGATTGTCCCCACCTAAATCTTCGTTTATTACAGTAAGATAGGTGTATTTTTATGTCCTAGAATTGTAAGTAATAGTACGTACATTGATAAAATTGTACATACATTTTTAAAATAAAAAATGAATCAATCTTATATTGTTTGTTACTTTTATTCATATCGGTGTTAGGATACTTGAAACAACCTTCAAAGAATTGGAATCACGTTATTTATCATCATCATCATTGTCCATTAAAAATACTTCACCTATATTTTTGTTGACAACTCAGTATTACGCATATTTACGATCTATAAAATATTATCATCATTATGCCAGAAAATATCCATCAAACAATTACAAATTATTTATATGGTTAAAACATCAATTATTAATTGCAAAACACTTTTATCAATTAATGAATTCATGGGATATAAAGAAATTAATTGGTTTAACATTACCAGCTTCAATTATTGTTAATCCTAAATCATTATTTGATTGGATTCTATATTCCACATTAAATAATTCAATGGAACAATATCATATAATATCTACTGTAAGTTATGAGAAAAGTAACATCATTTACGGTAACTTTCTTTTTAGATCAAGGTTAATAACACTCCTTAAAAGAGTAAACTAACATAGAGATTAACCATCGTATAGAATAAGTAGAATATTATCTCAAGTTGATAGATGATATGTAGTGAATAGTTTTTCATCCACGGCATTGAGTTTAATTACATATAATCTATGAACCATAATGTGGTAAATATTAAAAGATTAATATTTGTAGGTTGCATTCATTATAGATTAATTTCTGTCGAGGTACCATTGAAAACTTAAGGTGACTAGGAATCTGTTTGTTTTTCAGTACAAGACTCACAACCGGATTGAGGATTGGACCCAGGAGTCTTATGCTAAATAGTTTGTCACTGGGTCGATCTCCACTTGTATAAACTTACTTTCAACTAGTTTAAGATATAGCTTAACGATCATCTGATACCACTAATCACAATTGTTTCATTCACGATATATTTGAACTCCATCAGTCACTATTTCTAAATGGAATTTTAAAAGCGTTTTAAGTGAAGTAACTAGTGAGCTAACTATTTTAGTTCAGTTAAGCTTGTGCAGATCAGTTTGACCTACGGGTTATATTTATCGTTTGTGCAGTCCCCTTGTGGGGTTGTGGATAAACAATGTTGAAGAGTCACATAGTGAGACGAAACACCTTTCCAGTGATTCCTGGTTTTCAATGATACCTCACTTGAGATTAATCTGTGGCAGATAAAACCTACATATTAAAGCCATCTCTACAAAATTCTTTGAACTAGACTATTATTTGTGTTTAACCAATACAGATATGTTATATTGCTGTTATTCAAAATAGATTAGATATTACATGGGCATCAGAAGAAAAGTCACACAAAATAGTTTAACAGAATTATACAGACAGCAATCCAGAAAAAAATTAACTCGAATGAGTTTTATTCGCAATACTCTTTCTAGTCATACCTGAAATCAAAGCATAGCCTATAAAACTTAATTCATGGAGTTGAGATGCACATACCAATTGTCAATGATTCCAAGACATAATATCCTAAACAGGCCACTAAGTTACTTCATCTTAAACAAAGCAAGAACGACAATATTTCCAGAATAAGCTAAATTCATTGTATTGCACAGATTTCTGTTCAGATACATACAAACTAATTTAATTATTTCCGATTATCATAACAATCCAAATACCTAATGAAACAAAATGAATAAAGGGCTACTTAAATACATAATCTAATGTATTAAAATGATTTTATACGCTGACCTATATCATATTCATGTAGAGATAGAATACCAGTTGAATATTCATATGTTCTACACTTGTCAGCATTAGAAGATAGTATTCTTTGCTATAACATAAACGTTGTAACTGCTCTCAAGAAAATCCGCAATCATACACAACAAATCATATTTGTATGTGAAACAGTAAATTGTTAGAATATGACTATATAGCAAATACGAATTAATCGTCTTATAATAGTCCGATATTCTTACTTCAGAATAATGTATTCACACCTTTAGGCTATTTGCCTTCGTTTATTTATGTTAAGGGACAGATTTTTTAGCAGTATTAACCCTGATGAGTTCCATATAAAGACGAAACAGATGTTTAGTGTCTAACTCACGTCAATTCGTGATCTCAATAGTATCAAGCGTTGTTGTAAGAAATAAAATGTTTTCAAACAATTCCTACCTATTTTTCGTTCTAATTAACTGACTAGTACTTGCTATCACTTAACACTTTAACAACAAAACTGTACAAAGTTGATAATAAAATGAAACTATAGCCACCCCTATATATATATATATATATATATATATATATATATATATATATATATATATATATATACACCCTTATATGTATTCTTCCTGTCATAATCATTCCTTAGATTCGAAAGCCAGGAGACAAAGAAATATTTAAAAATGGATTAATTATCACTTCTATTCGTTTAATAATTCATAGAAATACTAAAAAGCGTATTCATAATCAAACGGAGTATAATTTAAGTAGTCTATTAAAAATTACTAAAGTAATTAGTTTACAATTAACAACTGTATCTAATGAAATATTTAACAAAATGAATTATATCAATGCTAAATGGATTAAATCATGGCCTCCTAATAAAGATGAAATATGTCCAAAACTACCTATATTATTAACAAATTATAATGAATTATCAAAGATTTACATTATAACTGATTACAATTTGTAAACTTTTGATTAGATAATATTAATAAACCTTTTTTTAAATATATTTCCTTACAGTGTGTTTTTAATTCCTTTCTAGTATAGTTCTTGGGTAAGAATAAGTTAATAGTGCTTATTTATGTAGTTTTTAGTTGATTCTATAGAATATACAGGACAGAAAAATGAGAATGATCAATCTCGTACTATCGACTCACTTCCACATCCAAATAATATTGAGTCTGACTGATTACATATAGTCTGTCTAATAAATACGTGAACTACTGGGATAACAGGTCAATATTAAAGATTACTGAAACTTGAAAAACCCTCAGGAAACGTATGACATCTCCTATGTTGGAAATATCGAAAGCGTATGGTTTCCTATACTTTATGATTGACAATTCACTATCCGGACGATTATTGATTAATCGAATTTAGAACGATAAGATGATAACATCGACATAGCTGACGAAGTCGATTTCTAGGGACTTCTATGAATTTTTCGAACAATGGGAAAGGAAATGAGACTAATTTATTGCCACAAATAAATCAATCCCCATTCAAGTTGATCTGTGCTTCGTGATTTTGCCCTTCACATTACATCGGAATTCAAAAGTATGAGCCTAATATTTTTGTCTATAAAACGTTTATATAAACTCCCATTTTATTCCATTCAATTAATATGGTCTCCTTATGTGTTACACTTACGTAATCAGCTGTCAATAACAAACTAATAAACTAATTTTCTCATTCACTGCATCTCAACATTGTCAGTGTGAGGTTGTGGAGATCGTAGAACTTCATAGTTTAACTCACATATCAACCTAGGCTGGACTACCACTGAAAGCCTGAAAGTGCAGAAAAGCCGTCTCATCCTTGTATGGAACTTCTCAGCGGTGTCTATCCATGTCCCCGAACGCAGAGAGCGGACCCAAGACCTCCGACCTAGTGAGAAGCCGAGACCAGTGGAGCTTAACCATGTCGGTTGTGAGGCAACTACCCACCGAGAACAATGAAAGATCGTACAATAACGCGGGTTGAATTTAGAGGTTGGGCGTTCGCGCGCGGCCCTGGGCTCGATCCCCATGTGCGAGGATGTAGATCCGCACTGCTGTGGGGTCCCATGCTAGAAAGAAACGAACACCATAGCTCCATGTTTTTAATGGAGGTCTAACTAACATGGCTTCATGATTTCACTGAAGCGATAATTCTGTTGGTCACTATCTTTGTAAAAACATTTCGTCGATTTGGACATGTTTTATGAATGCCATCCCAGAGACTGATGTATTTCACATTGTTTGCTGATTCTGCAACTACGTCGAAAGGGCAGAGGTGGTCACCTTGACGATATAGCACCGGAGTACTAGGAGTAACTGTTTAGGATTAGGATCTATCAGTCCGTCACGACTCCCCAGTCGAGGTCCAATCTTAGTGGCTGGAAACGTTATCAGTCATGGCTCAAAACGAAAGTCAATGATTCTTTTATGGTTTTCTATTGCATCATTTTTACCTAGTTTTTTACTGTATTAGGATTTTCATGTAATGAAATAACTAAGAAAAACCTTCCAGTTCACCAGAAATGGGTCAACAATTCAGTGTTACTATTCCGTTAAATGTTAATTAACAAGTCCAGGAAAGTGAAAAATACACTCACATAGCAGTAATCAATATATATATAAATGAATATAAATTTTTATTGTATATATAAATTTACATTTATACAACTTTTGTTACATGTACAACCCAATTCCCTTGTTCGTAGAAAGATTTGTCAATTTTTAGAGCAGGTACTTTTGATATTAGGTCATCCAATTCTCCCATAACAAATAAGTGATAATAACGACCATACATTGAATTGGGTAATGGTTGATTAGACTCTATGATAAACAAAATAATACAAATGATTGTCATTCTTATCATCTGTTATATTAAATTGGAATTATTCCAAAAGAGAAAATTATTGATATTCCTAAGAATTTACCACCAGGTAATTAATTGTCGGATGAACGTGTATCTACGAAGACGTAGGCATTCTTGACTGATATTTGCGGAATAATCGTTATTTACTGTTAGATATCTTAATGTTGTGCGTTAACAATCGACCAAAGTAGTGCAGCTGTATTTATTCATTACCATCTTGAATATCATATACTGCTTTTTATATTGGATTTCATTTGTTCTTTCGTAATTATATTTCATTTGCTTAATTTAAGATGATCGCTAATAATAGTAATATTTAGACTCCTATCTTTTTTCATTATGTTAACTTCGTTTTGCTATACTAATGTATATATTGTAGCAAATTGCGGTGATATACAACATTTATATGTCACATAACCTACGTTATTTAAGACTACTGATGAACTGTATGAAATAGACACCTAATTCATGTATAAATCTACAGATCTAAAATAATATCAACCGAGATAATGACAAATAATAAGCTGTTTTGAAACCTATCAGACACTAATATGATAACACCCAGAATATTACTTGAATAAAAATGTGATCAAATTCTTCCCATCTTCGAGTTTGTACATCAATTATTCTAACAATGTCTGATATGTTTACTAATGCTTTAATAAATTTCTCATACCAAATGACTATCTGTTCAAACGTTTTGAGAAAAAAGGTGTTTCTGTAAAGTTTTTTATTGAGAAATGTTATATTTTCCAACGACTCGATCGGAATAAATTAAGAAAAGAATTTTCTAAATCACAACATTGAATTCTCCAAAGTGTGAGCATCAAGTTATATATATATAACCTTAGTAACTGACTCTCAGGAACATCCAGTCTTTCCATGAATACGCATGGGGACAAGTCTACTTCCGATTGCGTCCAAACAATTAGCTTCCGTTAGACTTCGTACTGTTCAAAACCGGAGAAAATATTGACTCGCGAGGAGCAGGCTGGTTTTCGTTCTGGTCGAGGATGTATCGATCATATCCTCACTCTCTGCCAAATGTTAGGACACCGTCATACTTATCACCGACCAACAATCCTAGTGTTTCTTGACATCAGAGCTGCCTTCGATTCGTTGGACAGGACTATTCACTGGGATTGTCTATTGAAGAAGTGTGTACCTGAGAAGTTTATTAACATATTAAAAGCCCTATATACAAACACCTCAGGCACAGTGAAGGGATACAACCACCTCTCACCATTTTCCCACTCAAACAGTGGTGTTAGACAGGGTTGCCCGGATCTCATCATTCCTCTTCAACTTTGCTGTCGATGATGTTCTAGAAATAGCTCTGACGAATGTAGGGAATGGCAGTGTGTATCTATTGCCCGGAGAAAGACTTCTCGACCTTCAGTATGCGGATGACATTGCCTTGCTGTGCGATAATGCCCAAGCCATGCAATCTGCACTTAATCAGTTGGCAATTAGTGTCCGTAGGTATGGTATGTGTTTTGCACCTTCGAAGTGCAAAGTACTTCTACAAGACTGGCAGGATTCTAATCCTGTACTCACCCTGGATGGTGAGCAGATAGAAGTAGTTGAGGAGTTCATGCATCTGAGTAGCTGCAAAGGTGCTGTTCGTGGCCTGAGTGATGAGATCAATTCATGTATAGTGAAGGTCAGAGTGGCTTATGCCAGTCTGGGCCACATTTGGCGCCTTCGTGATGTTAGTCTGGCTGTAAAAGGTCGGATCTACAACGCGTCGGTGAGAACAGTTTTGCTCTATGATTGTGAAACCTGGACTCTCTGAGTTGAGGATGTTAGATGACTCTCTGTGTTTGACCATCGTTGTCTCCGAAGCATTGCTGACATCCACTGGTAACACCATGTCAGTAATGCAGAGGTTCGGCATTGTGTACGGACACAGCGACGACAATTCAATTAGTATCACTATCTTGAAACAGACTTCGGTGGCTTCGACATGTTCTACGAATGTCGTCCAAGAGAATTCCACGTCGTGTGTTATTTGCGGGCGCCGGGACTGGTTGGAAAAAAGCGGAGAGGTGGTTAGTGTATGACATGGTGTCATGGTGTGAAGGAAAGCTGTACAGGACTGGCTTCTGTTGGACCTTCACGACTCCCTGGTTGGGGTCCCAGACACGGTGCAACACAGTGGATTAAGACGTTATCAGACATGACTCAGTATAAAGGCCAGTGGCGATACTGCTGTAACTTTCGCCTAATTTCTTCATAAAAAATGAACGTAACTTTTTTAACTGGAAGAATTCTTTCTGGTTGTACGTTCGCTAACCGAACTACCTCTCCTATCATTATTATTTCACTCTCGCACACTAATTTCTTTTCGTTTTTGTTCTCTTTTTCCCTATACGCACTTTACATTTTGTATCTTTTCACATTCTCATTGTTACTGTGTGGCGCATATGTACCTGGTGCCCCTTTGTACCAATATTTATGTGTTGAAATCAATAAATTAGTCAAAGTATATTTACCTTTCAACTGATCGGTCACCGTGTAGTTTTTTTTCTTCCAAGGAACTAACATATCTGTATTTTGAAATTCTGTACCATTGACGTGTAAAGGTAAATAGGTACCAGGGACAGCCTCAACGATTTTCGAGAGTGATTCTGGAGAATCGTTGACGTTACAAACAGTTTTTGTCTTACGATTAACGTAATATGACGGTTCAGATTTTGAAATACCATGTTGTTCTTTAGCCCAAACCTTGAAAGGAAGTATGTAAGAGGAAATAAGTGAGAACGATAAGTATCAATTGGTCAAACAAAGCAAGCAAAACGACTTTGTAAAATAGACATTTATGAAATTTTGGAAGGTTCATTTAAAGATCAAGCTATATTTCTTTTATGTAGGATCGATGACGTTGTTTTACAGTTGGGTATTTTTTGACTGATAGCTCTGGGAATACAAGTCGATTAGTTGAACCACTGATACACATTTTTAAGATCATCTGCAAAATACAGTGAAGTTCGTGATGGTTATTAGGCAGCTTATTCAAAGACAGATGATTCTACTTTTACATTATAGACTACTGGACTCCGAGCGAAATGCTGAATGACATCGATTTCGTTATAAGACCTGTAAAAGTCATGGAATATTTACAAAGATAAAGTATTTAAAAATCTTTTAAAGGTTTACATGAATGTTTGAACAACTAAAATGGAAATGATGCAATTGTGTTGTCAGAAATAGCAGAGGCTACTTTAAAAGCGACAAGGTTGTTATAAAATACAGATTTAATGACTTTAGTTTGTGTATTTATTGGATATGTTAATATGTTATTTGCAAATTACTTGTATTAACCCTCGACCTCCAACGCGTAGAATACGAGCCAACTCATTAACTGCTTCTATACGCCTAGCCATAGTGGATAAATGATGAATAACAGCTATGCATAGAAAAAAATCAAAACGTTCTGAACAATAAGGTATTCGTAGTATGTCACCTATGACTACATCGAAGCCTGAAAAGTTCAAAAATAATTAATCGAAAGAATTGATAACAAATATAAACGAGAAATAAAGTGATTAAAAGATTGCAATAAATCGATTACATGTTTACAATATAATCATCCCGTCACAGACCTACCACTACAATGAGTAATAAGAAAAAGTCAAAATGATTGTGTTTTTTTAGGAATACATATCCACTTAGTTTCATTCCTGAAAGATTATCAATTTTATTATGGAACACAGAACTAGAATGAAGAAACAAAACAGATGGATTCGCCTATTCTAAGTAAAAATATATACGAAAATAAAATCAGGTCGCCGAAATCGTTAGGAATGTGTTATATTCCACAGGTGAGTAAAATCTCACCAATCACAATTATCCAATCTGGAATACACAATGGCAAGCGGGAATAATGAGCTGAATATAGTCTGATGCAACTGGAGGACGCATGATATCGAACAGATTGATCGTCTTCATTATCTTTGTTTACATAAACACAAATTCATTTTCTGGAAAGTACATATTTTATTAATACACATACAACGTTTAGAGCAGAACAGCACCAAGGTTGATACATCGAGTTATTATGAGTATGGTCAAATAAAGTTTTAATTCGCAAAAACACTCGGCGCACAATGTTCGCCGGTGTAGAAATGGGTTTAGAGTAAGCTATGGACGACCAAACCGGAAATTGATATCAGTTTATGAAGTTGTCGGCTATTGGACTGAGTCATGGTGGCAGATGTGGAATGCCTAATTGAGTTCAGGATAACTACCGTAACTAATGGTTGGAAACGTTCAGAATCAGTTGCAATGGCGCACACGTATTCATTCTTTATTTTCTGAATTTTAAAGTTATTCTACATATTTTTTAGTCCAAGAATTTATATTTTCATCTCAAATCATATTATGTATGTTTAATCTTTCCTATTACAACTGATGTTATCACTACCTCCACTACTCTGAGGTCTCGTTGAGCCGGTGTAATGTGGCTATTCAAACCGGTGCAAAAATGTGTCATTCTCTGTTGTATATGAACAAATGCTTTTCTGAATAATCCGAGATTATATAATAAATGCTCTTGAGACAAAACATTTAGCTAAGTTGTGAATATTTCAGAAACTATTAATTTTTTCTATTGATAGCTACTTTGAAACAACCGAGCCAATAATTCTAGAAGACTGAAACGATTCACAACACACTATTAAACTTCATTGAGAACAACAAGTTGTTACAACTATTTATTGAAATCTACAATGAATTTCAAGAAATCGGTATATGACAATCTAGTAATTCTTATCACCTAAATTTGATATTAGCAGAACAAACATAAAAAACTGACATCAAACCACCCACGCTATCAGATTTTGGGAAGTTAACCAGTCTCCCGTTAAAAGTAATAAAGCCTAGTGAAATTTAATGACACACCAACCCCCAAAGACAACTTATCAGCTAATTAGCTCCGACTTTTTTTTTAGAAAAAAAACCGAAATTTTCAAAACTGGAATTAACTTATCTATCAGGTAATTGAGTATGCGCCAGATAAAGTGTGGGGCTAATGATACTACCCGGCCACAGAGAGTGAAAAAGCTGGAGTGGGACAGCAACCCAGGACTTAGTGGCTGTAAGCTACTAAGTCACTACTCAACCCTACAATTTTATAAATTCTTTGAAACCTATATGTATATTATTATAAACAACCTGTTAAAGCACTCGTAATATTCACATTAAGTGAAACGTTTACTATAAAACGATAAGAAGATGCTTGATACAATAGATAATTACACAAGGCAAAACACCCTACCTCTGTTATATACAATCTCTGCTAGTTTGGGGCTTCTCTCCATAGCAGCGATAGGAATGAAATTAGAAGTGGCAACTATACTTTTGCACTGTACACTAGTTGATGAAGTGCTAGCTTTCATAGCAGCATAATATTTTGATGATGCAGTAAGATATTTTCCATTTCCACAACCTACGTCAACACCAAGGCTATCCGGTGATTGTGCTTCAATAAATTTCACAACACTAGGCCAAGGTGAATGTCGAGTAGAACTGAACTCAGAGGCTATCACATCATATACCTATGCAGATAACAGATATACATGTTGAGATTTAAGACAATTGCATGAAGTGAAATAAAGGACCTCCTTCATGTTGAGAGGGCACTTATCAAAAATATTGCTCACAATATATGGCGAAATACATGACAATCTAAGGTATGTATACATGAGAGAAAAACAGGGATTCCACCTGTAATTCTATTATATTTTCTGGTTAATACGCCTCGTTTCTGATACTGTCAAGCACATAAATAGTGGAATGATGTAAGTGAACAGATGCCGTAATGGCGCACAACCGAATAAACCACAACATCGAATCGCTTCAGCAGTATACAAAAAATAGCTAGATCATATAGTTCTTACGGAGTCACAGGAAACTAGACTGAAAAGTATTTTATTGCGCTTAAGGATTTATCCTGAGTCACTTTATATATATATATATATATATATATATATATATATATATATATATATATATATATATATATATATATATGTTTCATCACCCACACTTTTAGTAAAAGGTCTGTAATTTACAAACCAAAGTAAGCAACAATAAAAGAGCACCTTATCATCAACTTAACTACTAATACAGAATCATTAGTTTCTGGTGAAATAAACGATACATTTTAGCTCTATACAGCAGTAACAGTAGTGTGAGTACATTTATAAAAAAAAATTTCAACATGTGATAAAAATAGAAAAGTGGAGGAAGTGATTATTTTTGGTTTGAAATAAGTGGTGAAATGCTAACCAATTATATGTAGTTAAGTTAAGGTAAAGAGTGGATGCACCCGCACGATTGCAAACAATTCTGCTCTGTCATCCAAAACCAACCATCGGTTGGTTTACGAAAATGGGAGGACGAAAAGCGAATGTCCGGCGCTTTAACCGGATCCCAAACCAATGGTCACATGGGCTCCAGTATCCTGAAGGAACAAATGGCGTATGAACCAATTTTCAGTCACCGGCTTGCATGGGACTGCATCTCCTTACGATGCTCCACTGCCTTGTGGATCAGACCTTCAGGTCGAAGGCTCGGGGAGTGGCCCCCTAAGATAACCACCTGCTTCGGTTTGGGCACCCAGGCAGTATCACAGCCCTCACACATATCAAATGAGATTTGTGTGGCGCATATGTATTTGGTGCCTCCTTGTACCAATATCTATGTGTTAAAATAAATAAATAATAACCATCGGTTGTGGTCATTGCGCGGACGCCAACCAGGTTACCTTATGAAAACAACTTGCATTAGCACTAACTGACTTCCCTAACAATATGATTTAAGTAACATAAACGAGGCTAAAAATTACCACATGGTAGGTTTAAGATGGTGAAGATGGATATCATCACAGGCGAAAATGTAATTTATGAAAGAACCAATCAGATTTAGGATAATAGGTCTTGGGATTGATTGTAAATGTAAAGCCATCAATAGCATCAATAATATAGTTATAATCCCATTGTTGCATACTTTATTGTAAATGCATTTTGTTTCATTAGTTCTTAATTAATGATGATAAACCATTTAATTACGTCTTATGTTATTGTTAGCCCGCTAACAAGCAATACGTCATTGTTGACGTACCAATCAAGAAAGAACTTATGATAGCATGCAAGGAGTGGATTGTCGGCAAAGGACTTTGTCTATTTCCAAAGGACCTGATCGAAACCCACCTGCAAAACTACGATCAACCAGATAACAACTGGTCAGTTATGAAATGTAATGACATTCACAAACTAGGTAAGTAACAAACATAGAAACAACAAATCACTATAGATTCTTTGCAGTCTGTGAAAGATTTATTAGTTTATTTACAATTACTGGAATCTCGCCATAAAAACACTTCAACGGATGAAAACACCTTGCCGCAGAACACTGAGAAGCCTAAGAGGTCAGTACAATAGTCTTACTATTATTCCCTAGAGGTGCATTGAAGCGTAAAGAAGACTTTCTTTACAATTCATTAGACATGGATATTGCTGAAATGCAGGCTAGCAATAGCCACGTACAATATCCGAAATTTCGGTTGTTTGAAAAGGTCGTCTCGCCAATTGCCAAGTATGTTTCATTACTATTTACATGTTTACGAACTAGTTCGACACAATTAGAGACATCACCTTCAACGTCAGAATCTAAGCAAGTCGGTGGTGCTATAGCGGCCCAGTAAGTCACCAGCCTCATCAAGTGAACTTTTTCAGCTTTGATAGGTTGTACACAATGATGCATAAAATGTCCTCAGCCATTACGGATTTGAGTGTGAATGTAAAGCAATTGCTATCAAAGTTTAATGAGCGCGAAAAGCCGCATCAATTCGATTGCTGACTCTCAAGTCAGCAGTTCCCTTTGCCATCTGAAGAGGAACTGCAGATGCTGGAAACTGGTTTGCAGCAGAAAGAAACCAGGGACAGATTTGTAAGTCATCAATATTAATTTAATAATTTGTCCCGATTACAGATGGCAATGGTTACCAGGTTATCGGGTGATGATCCGGAAGCCTCGATGCGGTATGTTCTTACGTACCTCTTGACACCTGACATTGCCAGTAACTTTACGTTACTTGGAACTTCTTCGAAACGACCACTTCAAAAATGCCGGTTTTACGGCTGCATACGAAGTAACCCATATTTAGTATTTAAACTTCAGGTGCGTTAACAAATCGCTCTCTATCATCCTCTGTCAATGAGAAGGACCTTGCGAAGCTGTACGACATGGCGACACAAGGTTATTTTCACGATGTCAGAGACAAAGTGATAAAGCGTAAAAGAAGGAAAGGGCAGGTATGTACTAATTTAAAGTGATAACTTTCCTTACGGCTCTATAGTTACAGTCATCAGTGTTAACGGACATAACCGTAAGTTTAGCTTAAAGTATTTGGCTGTGCCAAGACACGTCATTCAGATATTGTTGTGACTTTCTTCTGTTTTTTAAACTTCTGAATTCACAGGACGACTATTTCAATTCTCAATAGGCGAACGAATGTGGCTGAAGGGAATAATCCGTGCAATTTTTTGATGTCCTACCTACATTTTAATAAACATTATTTTGTCAAAGAGCTTACTTTATTACTTACATGGGAAACTATAGAAGTGTTGAGAATGTGTTTGAGTGTCAGTGAACTTGATATTAGATGCACATGCCTTATCAATAATACATCACCTGTTTCATCTTTTGAAGATCTTTTCAAATAACAATGAGTTGGTAATTACACTGGATATACAAAACGATTGGTGCTCAAGCTTCTGTTACAATGTTGTACAATAATACGCTTTTTCTTTACAATAAAATTACTTGAAAATGTACCCGTTTTCCCGTGGCTTGAAGTTTTGGTGTGGTTTTTTTTAATAAAGGCGAACATAGGAAACCTTAAGGGTTATGCCAATGGATCAGAAATAGGCAGTTCTGTATGTCTTTAGGCGAAAAGTAGATTAAGCGTATACGTAGGCGAAAAGTATGCAATTTGGCGGATATTTAGGCTAGAAGTGGGGAATTCAGCGGATATTTAGGCGAAAAGTGGGCAATTAAGCGGAAATTTAGTCGAAAAGTATGCAATTCGGTGGATATTTAGGTGAAAATTCGACAGTTCGGCGGTTATTTGTCGACAAAGTGGCAAAAAGGGGGGAATCCGCATTATTTCCCCCGGACAGGCGAAAAAGGCGACATTCTGATGCGTTTTCCCCTTTCTTTTCCAAAGCATTTACCCCTTTATTTCCCCTTTTTGGTTATCTGAGTCAAATAACAAAAGTGCCACAATGTATATATTGGGCTGAAATTAGGATCTTTGAACATAGAAAGTTTGTACGCGAACTTACGGAACACCTCATGTATTTAACGTAGTAACACAGCTTTTGTATAAACGTACTTGATGAACATATCGATTTTCCAACTCGATCGGATCGAACTTTTCGTTAGAGAGCAAGATATCATGTGATTTTCCGGAGTTATCAGTGATCATTTAAGTTAAATTGTAAGTTGTATATGACAGATAATTGTTAACCCATTTCAAATATGCTGTAACTGGAGAAGAGATTATAACCCACTAATAACCTTCGGAAGACAATACGGCGGCCTTGAGAACCCTTAACCGCCAATGACACTAAACACATGGATAACCTCAGACTACTCAATAAATGGGGGGAGGTTCAAATGGTTCAAATGGTTGTGGACGGAATAGAAGAAGCTTTCGCTTAACAGGCTTCCGTGTCTAGTAGCAGGGGATCACCAAATCCTCCAGGCAGGAACCTAGGTATGTCGACAATAAAATAGGAAAAGAAATTGGTAAATCATAGTGTGATGCTGTCCTTGGTCCTTAAGAATAGGTCAAGTTGCCTCTTGAAGGACTCCTGAGAAGTCGCTTGGACTAGCTCGGTATATCACATGCTTTCATGTACAGATGTTTGTGACAGGTCATCGATTTCTTAACTCGTGTTCCTTTTCACGCTTTTGTCCGCTTTTAGGTTTGTAAATGTTCATACGTGAATGCACTGTTGCAATACATTATAATTCAAGCACATAAGCAGAAAAGCATTGAAAAAAGTTATAGTTAGTAACTTTACATCTCAGTAGCCCTTTAGAAAGTTTACTTACACTGGCAACGAAATTTTTCTTCAGTTTAGTTGTCTTGGTATGTACCATGGTGTAGAGATAGTTAAAATAGACTTAATTCCTAACTAGTTTTTGCTACTATGTGAATTTCGTTCACTAATTCTCATAATTGGTACAATTAATATAATTGGCTTTAAAACGGTTGTTTAAAAGACATAAACTTGGATCTTCCATTTCGTTTTTGAACCCCCTATATCATGACACCGTTGCACACATATGCTTCTTGTTCTGAATTTCCTGCTGTTATGATAACAGAGGTTTGATATAGTTGCTAACTAAGTCTACAGATCACAGTGATATTCTCACTGTATGCCTTGTCTGGATATAAATCTCGAACCATAACAATTATAATTGGAATTAATAACTACTTATAATTGTGGATTACAAAAGCAATGAGGAACTCGAACACGCCGATTCCTGACGATCTAAGTAACGTCCTGTATATTTTTCTTGTGTGTGTAATTTATACTTGATCTATCAGTGCATTAATTTTTGACGCAATAGCTCTATCATTATTGTTTGAAGTGATATATCTTTGGTCTCCCACAATGGTGCATGGATCTATTACGGAAGTTATTAGGTAAGATTCCACTAATTGGATATATATGATGTGCGCAATTATCAACAACTACCTAATCATACGATTAACAGCCCATACATCGCTATGTAGGAACCAACTTAGGTAGAAATTACAACTGTAATAATAAGCAGAGATGGATTATGGCTAACAATAGGATCCAGGACGCGCATTTCGTCCTGTCTAAAACTGACCGATTGCGGTCTTAAACATCACTGGGAAGATTCAAGTAACCGATGCAAGAATGAATGGAACTTCTGTATTAGTTTGTCACATGTTTGCTGTAAATAAAAAGATTAAGAAGTAGATCTCGTGTCTTATAGTTTAAAGGTATTCAAGCTCAACCTGGTTGGCTAACATCTCCGCCTGGAGTCCCTCCGAAGGCTACTGCCGGTCCCAAGCTCGGATAAAGAAGGAGGGTTGGGCATGAGGTTAGCGTCCCCACCCCGTAGAAAAATAACCCGCTAAAAAACGCTAACCAGAAAAAATTATTCAAACCTTTTAAACTCTGCCCTGGGAGTCAGAAGGTATTCATTTAGAAGAACTATGACGTCTCATGATGAAAGCCGAGTTCCTTCGGAAGTTACGAGGCCGATGCCCCTTCTGAAAACCAGAGAAACCATTTATTTAGGTACATGGAATACTCGTACAATGTGGGAGACTGGAAGAGTCATTCAAATTGCTGCAGAAATGAGGAGATGCAAGCTAGAGCTGCTTGGGATCAGTGAAACACATTGGACGAAAGTTGGACAACAACGACTAACTACAGAAGAGTTCCTGTTATACTCCGGCCATGAAGAAGAAAATGCTGCACATACGCAAGGAGTTGCATTGATGCTGTCCAAACGAGCACAAAATGCACTTATAGGATGGGAATCTCATGTACCAAGGATCATCAAAGCCTCCTTCAAAACAAGGAAAGAGGGCATTTTAATGAACGTCATCCATTGCTATGCGCCTACCAACGACTACAATGAAGACGCTAAAGATCAATTCTACAATAAGCTGCAGTCAATCGTCAAGAAGTGCCCAACAAAGGACCTGACCATTCTGATGGGAGATTTCAACGCCAAGGCTGGAACGGACAACACTGGATATGAAGACATCATGGGACGATATGGACTGGGAGAAAGAAACGAAAATGGTGAGAGATTTGCAAACCTATGTGTTTTCAATAAACTGGCCATAGCCGGCACCATATTCCCACATAAACGCATACACAAAACCACATGGACTTCACCAGATCACACCACGCAAAACCAAATCGACCATATTTGCATCAACAAAACATTCAGGAGGATTATAGAGGACGTGAGAACCAAGAGAGGAGCTGATATAGCATCAGATCATCACCTGCTGGTCGCCAAGATGAAATTGAAACTCAAGAAGCACTGGACAACGGGGCGGACAATATCACAAAAGTCCAATACAGCCTTTCTTCAGGATACTAGCAAACTCAACAAATTCAAGATAGTCCTCAGCAATAAGTTTCAGGCCTTTCATGATCTACTCAATGGAGAAGGAACTACTGTGGAGAACAACTGGAAGGGGATCAAATAGGCAATCACTTCAACATGTCATGAGGTCCTGGGTCACAAGAAGCACCATCACAAGGAATGGATCAAAGTTGATACACTGGACAAGATTCAAGAAAGGAGGAACAAGAAAGCAGCGATCAACACCAGCCGAACAAGAGCAGAAAAAGCCAAGGCACAAGCTGAATACACGGAAATAAACAAACAAGTGAAGAGGAGCATCAGAACCGACAAACGTAAATATGTGGAAGATTTAGCAACGACGGCGGAAAAGGCTGCAAGAGAAGGAAACATGAGACAACTGTATGACATAACAAAGAATCTCTCTGGAAATCGCCGCAAACCAGAACGACCAGTGAAAAGCAAGGAAGGTGAGGTAATCACCAACATTGAAGAGCAACAAAACAGGTGGGTAGAACACTTCAAAGAACTCTTGAATCGACCAGCTCCACTGAACTCACCCAACATTGAAGCAGCACCCACGGACCTCCCAATCAATGTTGGCCCACCAACAATTGAAGAGATAAGCATGGCCATCGGACAAATCAAGAGTGGCAAAGCAGCAGGACCAGACAACATTCCAGCAGAGGCACTGAAACCAGACGTATCGGTAACTGCAAGGATACTCCACATTCTCTTCAATGAGATTTGGGATGAGGAACGAGTACCAACAGACTGGAAAGAAGGACTTCTGGTCAAAATACCAAAGAAAGGCAATCTCAGCAACTGTGATAACTACAGGGGCATCACTCTTCTCTCAATACCGGGAAAAGTCCTCAACGGGGTATTGTTAAACAGGATGAAGGACTGCGTGGACGCCCAACTTCGTGACCAACAGGCAGGATTCTGTAAGGATAGATCGTGTACAGACCAAATTGCAAATCTACGGATCATTGTGGAACAATCAATTGAATGGAATTTATCACTCTTCATCAACTTCATTGACTACAAAAAGGAATTTGATAGCGTGGACAGAACAACACTATGGAAGATAGTCAATATCATACAGAACTCATATGATGGATTACACTGCAAAACTGTGCGTGGAGGACAATGGACAGACTCGTTCGAGGTAAAGACCGGTGTCAGGCAAGGTTGCTTACTCTCATCCTTTCTCTTTCTCCTGGTGATCGACTGCATCGTGAAGACGTCAACATCTGAAGGGAAACGCGGGGTACAGTGGACACCTAGGACGCAACTGGACGATCTAGGCTTCGCAGACGATCTGGCCCTTCTATCCCAAACGCAACAACAAATGCAGGAGAAGACGACCAGTGTAGCAACAGCCTCAGCAGCAGTAGGTCTCAATATACACAAAGGGAAAAGCAGGATTCTCCGATACAACACAGCATGCACCAATCCAAACACAATTGACGGAGAAGATTTGGGAGATGTAAAAACCTTTACATATCTGGTCAGTATCATTGATGAACATACTGGATCTGATGCAGATGTGAAGGCGCGGATCGGCAAAGCAAGAGCAGCATATTTACAACTGAGGAACATCTGGAACTCAAAGCAACTGTCAACCAACACCAAGATCAGGATTTTCAATACAAATGTCAAGACAGTTCTACTGTATGGGGCAGAAACCTGGAGAACTACGAAAGCCATCATCCAGAAAATACAGGTGTTTATTAACAATTGTCTACGCAAAATACTTCAGATCCATTGGCCGGACACTATTAGCAACAACCAACTGTGGGAAAGAACAAACCAGATCCCAGCGGAGGAAGAAATCAGGAGGAAGCACTGGAATTGGATAGGACACACATTGAGGAAAGCAACCAACTGCGTCACAAGACAAGCCCTTACATGGAAGCCTCAAGGCCAAAGGAAAAGAGGAAGACCAAAGAACACATTACGCCGGGAAATGGAGATAGACATGAGAAAAATGAACAAGAATTGGATGGAATTAGAAAAGGTCCATGACAGAGTGGGTTGGAGAATGCTGGTCGGCGGCCTACGCTCCATTAGGCGTAACAGTCGTAAGTAGGTAAGTAAAGTGATTGGCCAACATTTATCTTCAAAAATGTTTTGGTGAATCATGTTTTATTCTTTGTCTTGAATAAATATCGGATGACATCACTCTTTTTTAAAATAACTGATACTCGTCACTATTTAACTTCAGCTCCGCTATTCGTAAACGTACAGGAAGATGGAAATTATTTTGGATTTGTCGCCTTTTAAACGGCCCCTACTTAGTGATGTCATCTGGCCCCTGGAAAACTGCTTATT